ATATTGAAGAAATTCTTAAGGAATGATTTTGAAAAAAAAAATAAAAGCAGGGGAAATATTTGATTTATACTCAATATAGTTTTCATGGTGTACTTAACATAACGATGAAATCTTGTTTAACATAGGTTTCCTTTGTAGAAATATTAAATGAATGAAATTGTGTTTACTATCTATGCTATTAAACTTTTGAAATGCCATGCTGTAAGAATGTACTATTTTGATCCATCAAAAAATGGATATTTGTAAATAATCCGATTATTTTCTAAGTTTTTTTACTTTAAAGAAGATGGGCGAACAAGGAGAGCAAATGCATATTGTGCGGCAAATTTTTGTTTGTTTGTTGTTTCACGTCCCTCTCAAGAATTTTTCACTCATATGGAGACGCCACCACTTGCCGGCGGAGAGCTGCAAATTTTGACCTATGTTCGGCACTCAGGGCCATTGAGCAGTGAGGGATCTTTTTCGTGCCAGCACCTACTGCGACACGGGACCTCGGTTGATACGGTCTCATCCGAGGGACAGGTCTCCACGTCCCACAGTGGGATTCAAACCCGCGACGTAAGGATCAACTCCTTACTCCGCGACTCTGGACCAGACGCTCTACCACCGCGCCTAGCGGGCGACGTGCGGCAAATGAGTATGAAAAGTAGGTCTTAGTTTTGATATTTTTTTTTTGATATTTCACTTATATAACTTAATACGTACTTTTCCAAAATCTTCACAATTTGCAACAATCTCACAAAAATTCAAATTATTCGTCTGTAAAATCACATACACATACCAAAGAGGGCGAAAATGATCATTTTTATACTATAACACAATTTCTCCACATGAGTAAGTCTTCGCTTCATAGTTTTGAAAGATAACAAAACCTTATGATAAATGCGATGACTTCAACTTTTCTATCCTCAACTTTCCATAATTATGTAGCAATATACCAATATCAGTGGGCAATGATACCTCTTTTAAGCTCGGATGCCTATTTCCAATTCAATCGATGAGATTTTATGACATAAAACAAATTTGTGAATAATAAAAGTACTCAGTAGTATTGAAGTTCTCATCAATTTACTCAAGAATAATTTGGAAACGAAGTTTGTATGTACCTCCCTACAATTATATTCGCGTTTAGGCTAATGTTATATAGTTGGTGTGTTTCAAGGCACTTTGAAAAATTACACACTTTGATTGTCAAATTTGAGACCAAGTTTGCAGTTTGAAAAAAAGTATATTTCTTTTCAAAGTGCGTAATATCGACCATATTAACGCATTTTGAAAAAAAAAATGTGTACAATATTCTTGTAAATTTTAGGTATGATAAATAATTTTTTGGACCTGGTTGAATAATTTTTCGGCGATGGCGTCACTTCAGGATATGAGATATAGACGTTTTAAAGATTTTTTAGGGGTTGTCTTGTTTCCAAACGTTCTCGTAAATGTTATGAGAATGTTAGGGAAATGAGTCTTTTAGAAATAATGGAGGAATGGTTGTTTAATAGAATGTTCTCTCTTTTTTTGGTTGTTTTATCTAGCCTGTAATAAGTTCGGTAGATGTAGGGTTCGATAAGTGTCTTGAAGCATTGAATTTTTCGTCGGCAAAAGAGAGAAATTATGATTATTCCATTGAAAATAATTTTCCTGCACAATATGATGTTTTTTATAGTCATTTGATAAGTATTTAGAAGTATGAAAAAATTGTTTATTCCCGCACAATGTCATTGTCATTTTTTTTTAACAGTTATTTGATTAGTATTAAGAGGTATGAAAAAATTATTCATGTATTTTTATATTTTTTTATTTGTATTGTTCTTGATTTTGTAAAGCTACTTTGGCCAAAGTATAGTTATTTGACTATTACAAAATATTGCTGTCTATTACTTAAAAACTCCAGAACTTTTTATTTATATATATTTTTTAAAGTGCGTTATGTGTCTCCATAGTAAAATATGTACTCTCTTAACGCATTTTGAAAAAAAATTCAAAGTGCGTTGATTTTGTCACAAGTTTAATGCACTTCGAAAGTTATTTTCAAAGTGCGTTGTTTTTGTCCCAATTTTAACGCACTTTAAAAAAGTGCACAATTTTTTTTCAAAGTGCCTTTTCACACTGGTGCAATCAAAATAATTTAGAAAGCATGTGGTTTTATTTTTAAAGTCATGTGGTCATCAGGTACCTGTCAATTCTAAACTGTCTTATCTAATCAGAATACATTTCATGGCTCCATTTTTAAGTTTCTGTACTTTTTAAAGCCAACATTCCATTCTTCTTCAGTAACCAAAAGTCATGTAAGTTCGTCTTTTTAAAATCAGTGTAATACAGTATCTAATTAAAACAATTGACTTTCGCATAAATCTCTTAAATTTTGACCAGACGATTATTTCGTTAAGGTAACTTTTCATTAGTTTATAATAAAGGTAACCATCTGGATCATTTCTTTTCAATCCTCCATGCCCTACATATAACTGTAAAAGATAAATATCAGTTCTCAAATATTGGATGTATTTCACTCAATCAGGACAATCGTTATAATTTTGATACTAATAGGGTATCGAGTTAAAGGTTAAACGTAAAACAAGACGATAACAAAAACATAGGAATAAAGGAAACACACTATTTAATGAGGCGAAGAACGCTTATGAAAGATTAAAATGTTTTTGGGACATTGTGAAATGAGAGTCAATTAGTAGAGATGGAACCTAGCTATTATGGTGGAACGTTGATCATTTTATTATGTGTTGTATCAGTTACTGGACGTAAGTTTGATACTGATATGTTTTTCATTAATTTTCATTAAACTGCACAACTGTTCTGATTGTATTTATTTTCACTGTAATGGCAAGTCCTCTACACAGTCAACTTTCCAAGTGAATTAAACATTTACAGAATTTCTATTCTGCTTTTAAATACAGTTTCAACTATTTTTTTTAATGTAATTATCATAATCATTTCATAGATTCCGGAAAGATTAAAATTTAAACAGAGAAAATCATGCTAACATATAATTAAAATATAATTTCCAATCAAATCGGTATCAGAGTTTTGAGTCCAAGACCAATAATATAACTGATGTTTTTAAAAACAGACAATCAGTAGAACTCCCTTGCAACAACATGCGATTTACCTTGTCAGAACTGTAATTATATGTAGGGCGAAATTACAAAAAATAAACGTTGTGTATATTTCCCAATAATTTTGTCTCTCAGCTTCTCCTAGACACCTGATCCCTTATAAATCAATCTTTGACCTGTTTACCTTCTTGTACTGTTTACAGGCTTTGTCCGATTGATAACAATTCGTTATTTTTGTTAATTTAAAACATCGTTAAATCAAATATACATACAAATGTACATACACTAAGGCCAACTTTAAAATAATGTGTGTTTGCCCTCTCCCGACTCAGGACGGAAAATTTGAAGAAAAAATGGTAGATGGGAAACTTTTTTTTCACAGAAAATTTTCAAATCAATGCTGAATTTTCAAAATCTGTTTTCCGGAATGCAAAAAAATTGTGTCCTGGAGGTTAAAAAAGTTTTGAGTGGGGCCCTTTTCAGCCAGATGGTCGGGGAAGGACAAACAATCAAGTGTTTAAAGATGGCGTAATAGATGCCGTTTGTATTTTGACATAAAGAAAATATAATGTTTGATTAATTAATTGATTGTATGTTGTTTAACGTCCCTTTCGAGAATTGCCACTCATATAGAGACGTCACCATTTGCCGGTGAAGGGCTTCAAATTTAGACCTATGCTCGGCACAGGGGGCCATTGTGCAATGAGGGTTCTTTATCGTGCCAACGTCTACTGTGACACAGAACCTCGGTTTTTAATGTCTCATCCGAAAGACCCGTGACTTCTACCGCCGAGTGCCTGGCGAAGGAATAGTCATTACCTATGTTTACGTCTTAGGTTTGACACAGCGCGACGAATGAAAATCGAACCTGGACCTCCTGATCACGAACCGAGCGCCCTACCACAAGGCTACCGTAAACGGCAGTATAATGTTTGAAAAACTTTTCCACTGCCAATTGTAATGTCGCTTCACTCAAAAACATGTTTCTTGACTTGAAATTTTCATCTGCGTAAGCTAAGTTTATTTCAAGGATTATAGAAATGAAGGTTTCCTATATTAATTGAAATTTAATCTCTTCTCCCAAAAAAAAATGCATGTCCCTGTTCCATACGAAATGTGATCATCATGTCACAAAAATATGTTAACATCGGTATCTTTTTTTGTTTTAATTGTACATCAACCATGCAAATCAGACAATAAATTGGAATTTAGCGAAATGGGAGAACAGAAAATAGTATTATTGATTCTATAGTTTTGAATCAGATGCTTATAATAAATAATTTCTCGAAAAACATAAATAAGTTGAATAGAATTTGTTGTCTTTCTTAGTATTCTATCTTCCGGTAATCCTGGAATTGTTTCGCCTTTTCGTTGTTGTTGTGGTACATATTTACGCGATGTACGCAGTCTTAATTTATCAGCGGAAATTTTGTCTCAGTGTACTTAATGCGCATTTAAGACAAACAGTGGCAATCCAAGATATCTGCATAATTTCCTACTTACGGATTGAACATACATTGTGATTCCACGGACTATAGATCCCGCTAAAAAAAGAGATGTTTACAGTTTATCGTGACGTTATCATGAATCCGGGTAAATGTTGGATAGGACCATGTGCCTCGTAAATACATATTCATTAGTACGAGGTTTCGTATCTCTCTTATTTTTTATATATTTATGGCATCATGGTCTATTTTAAAATATTATTGAAAATATTTTCTAGGTTGTAAATGTTAACAAAACAATACCATGCGTTCATGAACTTTTAATACAACCCTGTTATGTTTTCCAGTTTAGATGAGCTATTTATGCAGCCATTTCTTCATATTCAGGGAACTGAATTTGTCCGATTTCTTTTAAATGACTAAAATCTTTAGCTGCAAAACAATATTTTAAATCATAACTTCAATTATCATATACTTTCAGACTGTGGTGTGCACCAGACTCTTGACGTAGTTATAATGTATGATGAATCGACTAGCTCTGGTACTTCTGGTTTTTCTTACCAGCGGCAGTTTATCGTTTCACTAGCCGACGCTCTACATCTGAGTTCTACTGACACTAACATTGCCGGATTTGGTGTAGATGTCAACGCCTATTATGGATGGGGACTTCGAGATTATTTCACATCATCTGCAATAAATTCAAAGCTGATAAAAATATCGTCAAATTTAGGAAATGGAGGCTCAAATTTGGCACCTGGATTTGAAATGGCATGGGACTCTTTCTTATCCAATAGTACCAGACCTGGGTCCCAAGCGTGGCTAATAGTACTAACTGATACAACATATACGTCCTCCACAAAGGGATTAGACGAGGCTAAGGCTGCTGGTGTAAAAGTTGGCGTTGTAGGGACGGGATCAGTGACAAGCTATTCAGCTTTTGCTTCTGACTCTAAATATGTAGTCAGTGGAATGAGCTGGGGAACTCTTTCCTCTTATATTACGAATGTTGTGGAATTTTTCTGTCCTGCTTGTAAGTTGAAAAGTCGTTGATTTATAAATATTAGTAAGTTCCGTAATCTTTGTAAAAAATCTCCTTTAACTACTAAACATTGAAAAATGTCAAACCATGTTTCCACTAAAAAAATCGTAAGTTTATGTGACGAAAAATTATACGGTAATGATTTTGATTGTCTCTTTTGGACAATATACAATGATCTCAATGTTCAGTGAGATTTACAATTGTGAATGAAGTAATATATGTAAAAATTACACCTGGGCAAAATACTTGGTGTACAAATACCTCAATAGATAATTAAAATCGATATTCAAGAAACACGACGATTTAAAAAAAGAAGTAAGATTACTTTTTTATTTAAAATACTATTAAGCACTTCCAGATAAATGTTAACTGAAGTTCTTAGAATTTTGCAGGAAAAGCAAGAAAAGCAATTTTTCTTTATTCCATTTATATATATATATATATATATATATATATATATATATATATATATATATATATATATATATATATATATATATATATGTATATATATATATATATATATATATATATATATATATATATATATATATATATATATATATATATATATATATATATATATATATATAACATCAGGCCACACAACCATAAACTGAGAAAAAGACAGTTCAGAATCTTGAATTTTGAATACTAATACCTTATTTTTTGTTCAACAAATGTTAAAAAAGCTACAATTTTGTATCATATTAAAATAAATGAAATGATCAAAATTTTCTTCTATTTTCAAAATTTTTTCGAAACTAATTTTTTTTTGTAGTTTTGACCTTAGTTTTTTCTGTTTTTTTTTCTTTCTTCGATACTGATAATTTGCATTCTTGAACAATAAAGTTTAAAGGAAAATAAGAAAGTAAATATTCTTAAGTACTCTAAATAATAATGTTATTGCTAAGGATAATTGCTCTGAAAAGGGTTTGTCATGTTCATTTGCAGATTGTGAAAATTTTGTGTTTTACTACGATCTTCCAAACAGTATGAGCGTCCAAGCTGATACACATTCGAGTAAGTATTTAAAGTAAGACAATAACGTACGGAATTACACCATTCTGAATTAAGGTTTCACCCCGAGGACCTATTGAAATTAGAATTTAAACTTCGTGACGACAAGGCCGCTACAATCATAACACATGGTTTATTCATTGCTATCCGTTTTTACGTTTCGTCTTGCTTTACACTGTTCCGATTTTTCCTCGTAATTTGAAACGACAAGGCCACTTATGCCAGTATTATCAAGCACACCAAAGACCTATTTTCATACTTATACACCAAACATAGTTACAAATTGCGTACATTTTCCATTCTTATCTCAAAGTAATTTTGAATCAATCTCTGGTCATGGGTCAAAGTAATTACAAAGTAATTGTTTTATCAAATCCCAATCTGGTTTCTACTGATAAACTAGTGATTCCTTGACAACCAAATTGTTTCAAGAAAGTAACACAAGATGAAATATTTTTTAAAATATAACCCCATGTTTATGATATGTAAATTATTGTCAAAAAGAGTCAAAAAATCAAGTTTTAAAAATGCAAACAAATACATGAATACTTTGTGTAAATTGAATTTTATTTCAATATGAAATTATCATTAAAAATTATTTACAGACGTAGGCTACTATTTGAGCCCTACAGATATCACCTATGACATTCACTGTTGTGGAGCTGTATCCTCTGTTGAGTTCAAGGCCACAACTTCCGGAACATTTAAATTTCAAATATGGCGGAACTATGTCTTAGTGTCCGAGACATCAGTATCAGCAGCAGGTAATTGTTAATGGTTCAATTCTTCGCATCAATGACTATTTCACATGTATGTCTTTCAATTGTACGTCAACTGAAAACTACAGTAAATAAATGGAATAACGTGAGATTTACCAATTTGGACGACACATAACAATATTGAAAACTATGGGTAATCTCGTTCTCTTTGTAACATTCAGTTATTTTTTTTTCTTTATTTCCAGCTGGATTTCAGACTCATACGTTTTCACCCAAGCTTGCCGTACAGGCTAAAGACGTTATTGGATGGTATGTTACAATTCATTGTAGATGCATTAAATTTGAAGTAGCATTTCTTTTTTACGCGTGATTTATCTCATAGATTTTGCAAAGCTAAAGAACAATTGTATTTTGTTTGAATTCACAATCAAGTGTCATATTTTAATAGAAATCCATAAAATTGGCAAAAATTTTATTCATTTTTTCCTCCGGTATTCAGATTCTCATATATGAAAAAAATGAACATACCAACAGTGATCGATCTCAAAAATCTTAAAAATAACACAAATTTGAGAACAGGGCATAAAACACGGACCCCAAGATATTAAAGAGACGGTATCAGCTGCCTAGGGAGAGTAAGCTTCCAATTATATTTTTGTTTCTATTTCTAAATAAAATTACAATTTGGGCATGTTTAAAAGATACTTGTAATATGTCAATTGAGATAAATTTCATTGTAATGAATTTTGAATAAATGTGAAAAATTAACCATCCAGTTTCTATTATCCTTGGTCGAGATTTATTGCAAGAGTTTTTTTTCACTCAGAGTACATTTTTTGTTTGGTATGGAATAGTTTCTTTAACTGGGGAAATTTTAAGATCAGTCATACAAAATGCCATTGAGGAAAAATGATTGTATTTTTTATTACAGAATTAACAGTGTTTCAACAGGATCCAATGAAGTAGATTTTCATTTAATTTGTTTAGTTTAGAAAACTAAAATGCAAACGATTATTATATAATCGGATTCAATCATATCGGTAAATGGTTTGGAGGAATTTATTTTCAATGTAAAATATCTAAAGCAGAGAATACAACAAACAAATCCATTTATAAACAATCTGTCTTTTTACTTATTCAGGTATTCATCTGGGGTTAACCCTATTGGTATTGCCTCAAATTGTTCAGGAGACCTGTGTACCAGTGGTACAAAACGAGCCACGAGCATGGGAGCAGTTTCAGTGGGGTCTTCCTATTCGTGGTCTAACGCCACTGACCTACCAGACACAGCTTTTGCTATCAAATTTACGATAGTCAACAGTAAAAAATTTTATTACAATATTAAGCAGATTTATCTTTCCTTATATTTGTCCATGGTACATATAACAATATTTTGTTTTGCTGTTTTTTAAGGACGGCGGACCTAATTCAAAATTTCACGCCACCGCACAGAAAACCGCGCATATGCCTTGAATTAAATTGACTTAATTATGTATTGCAAAAGATAAAAAATATACATTTTTAATACTTTTAAAAGATATTCAAACATTTCCTCTCAATTCAAAAATATTGTAAATATTTCATTTTATATTCATTTGTTGATTTTATAAATAAATGATTTATTTGGTCAAAGTATTTTCAATGAAAATTTCCCCCAAAATGTGCCCTACACCTGAGTTTGACATGCCCCCTGAAAAATCTAAGCTGATGACACATTTATTTTTAGGCATTATTTGCTGATAAATTGTCTTGTTAACATTGTCCTTTAATATGATGAAAAATTCTATTGCAGAATTTTTTTAATGATCACTCTTATACCCTAAACTGGCAATTTCCCATTACTTCCTATAGTAATTATCGATTTCCATTGCCAACTTTTGAAACGCTCCCCATTAAAAATCTACATCGATGACCATATGATTTTTTTTTATTGATTTTAACTCACCAAAAGTCACTTTACCTCATATTAGAATTTGAATAAAAAATCTATTGCAGAAATGAATTAGGTCCGTCGTCGTTAAAACACTGTTACGAGGGTTGTCCCTGAAAAACTGAAAAACGCAAACTGTTTAATTATTTTTATAACGTTTCCAATGTAAAATGTGAAGATAACAAACAGAGATAAATCTCATAGATCCAGTAAACAAAACGAATCGTAAACGGTGCAAAACAAGGATTTCTGGAAACAACAGAGGTGAGATCAGGTGTCTAGGAGAAGTAAGCACCCCCTGTCGACCGATCACAACAGCTGTGAGTCTTATGTATTGATCAGGTATACGGTGTACTCCATTGTCAGATTTAGTTTAAAAGCAATGACTTATAAATGGCATCACGCATGTCAGATAAAACCCAACGACAGGTTATATTTACTAGCAAGGTCATTATAAAACGACCGTAGCATTTGCTAAAAACTGACTTTAAACGGGGTTGTTGAAATCCTTGTAACTTCAATTTATTTGTAAGTAGCCTGCCTCGGTTAAAAAATCGATCGTACTTTATCGTATCGAATCAGTTGGGAGACATACACACCATATGCAGGTGATGTTAACGATCGAAATGCTGAAATTATCCCGTTTGCCATACAGTTTAGTAATAGTTGGCCATTATCGTCTATAGTCAGTAAAACATCCAAATATGAAACAGATGTGTCAGACTCTATAGTGTCTTTTATTTCGAGTTCTCTGAGATATATTGAGTCGACGTATGAACTATTGTTAAATTAGAAAACGTTGTCGATATATCAAACTGTCGAGTTGAACTCCATAGCAAGAGGTTTCTTCTTATGTGGAATTTTTTGAGTACACTCTTCTTCATATAAATCATATACGGTACCAATTTTGATGCAAGAGATGCGCATTTCTACAAATTATGTCTGTTATGTCTCTTCAGTGATGCTCATGTCGAAACTTTGGAAATCCGAAATAATGAATATTTTAACAAGTCGGCTAATAAAGGGGTAAAATTAGTTCCCACTGGATTTCCTTTAGATTGTTGAAAGACATGATCTCAAAAGAATACATAAATATTGTGAAAAAGAAATCCAGCATGTTTTTTAGTATCAACTTCAGAATAGGTATGTAAAATTAGAATAAGTTTTAAAAAAGTATTTCTGTAGATGACCAATCACATGATATGAAAATCTGCGAGCTCCATTTTCATTCAGGAAGTAGTTGTCTATGATACCAGAAAGCCTGCTTTTTAATTTATCGTGAGGAATGGTTGTATTAAGCGTAGAAAAAAACACATGTTTTAATACTTTTGATGTTTGAAAAGTTTTGAGATTTAAAATTTTCAAAAAGTCCTTGAAATATCCTAACGATATATCCAAACGATATACATATTTGACAATTTCTTTTTGTAGGTACGGTTCCTACCTATACCCAGTCTTCTCCAGTGTACATATCTGAGACTCTGGCTGTGGGATCAAGTATCACTGTCTTTAGCGTTACAGACGATACCGGGGATGTTTTAGTATACAACGATCCTTCGAGTCCATACTTTGCCTTTGATCAACTATCTGGTAAAGAATCCTTTCAATAAATTTTCCGTTTATATTATCGATGATATTGTATAAGAGCAGCTGGAGGTTTATTTTCGTTGTTATCCTGGTATGAAAAGCCTACGAATTCACGATATTTAACGTTTTTATTTATAGAATCATGTTTATTCTTCAGATTAGTAATTAAATTCTTTCTCCACAAACCATTTGTTTTTCAGAACCGCACAATTTTGACCTTAAGAATATGTTATTTTAAAATATTATTAAAAACTAGACCAAAACTGATTATTTGAGTTTTACTGAAATCCTGCCATCAAAAGTAATGAGAATTCTTTATCAAGTATATTTGTAAAATTTAGACACATAGCTTAATTAAAAATCAAAACAAAAAATGGGGGTCAATGCACTTCTTTTGGCGCTACAGAGCATTTAATTTGACCTTTTTGTACTGTAAATACGTCTTAAACATAAACCAATTTTTAAAGTTTTTCCTCCAATATTTTTATTCAAATAAATTATAGGAACAAACACAGTTTTATTTCATATTGAATAGACACATTAAAATTTGTGACAACAAAACAATTTTCAAATTACTTCGCATGTTCAATTACTTGACCTTTTTGCACTCAAAAATTTTCATTTTATTGGCATTAAAAATTTATCAAGCAAAAAATCATTTGAAATTAATGACATTTTACTGAATTTAATAAGAATGGTTAAAAGTATCTTATATATTCATAAAAGAATATTAAAAGTGGGGGTCTGGTGATGTTAATTTTTAGATATTACTAAAATAGTGCTAATTTTAAGCTTAAATTGGGGCTTTTTCCCCCCAGATTTTCACAATATATTTGCTATATTTATCAAATATGATCAAAGAATTCATGATAGTTTATTTGATGTAAAATTTAGGAACCAGCATAAAACAGTTCACGACACAAAATAACCCTGTGTGCAGGCTGCATGGAAAAATAGGAATCCAAGCTTAACATACTTTAGATACTTCGAAAGAGAGAAAAAAAGATCATTTTCTTCTAAAAAAAAACCTTCCGCCACAAAATATAGTTCCTCACTTAATGCTTTTGTTATGGAATTTAATCATGGAGTTTTAACTGAATATAGTTTAACTGGCATTGTAGAACCCAAATTTATTGTAAGAATTAAAACATTATGCAGAATTTTTGAAATATAGGTTAAGACAAAAATCTCTCAATAGCTCAGGAGCGAACCTCGTTAATCATGACCTCTATTCATTGCTTCAATTAAGGAAGCCTAATTCAAATATCACTCAAATGCATTATAAGGTAATCTAAGCACCAACGGTATTCAATGCGGGGAAATTTGATTCAATTGAATAAAGAAGCATCCATAATTCTTTGACATAATCTTGACGCTAAAGAAAAGATTGAAAATTGTTTCTTCTTTCAATGTTTTACTAAGAAGCACGTTTCAACCGGAAAAAAGCCCCTTTGAGTATTTTTCACCCTTACCCTTGTTTAATTACGATGCTTTATTTATAAATCATCCATCAGGGAAGCACAAAAGTATAATAAAGGATATCCTTCAATTTATATACATCTAGGCTAATCAAAATATGTTTTGCTTTGACATTTTATGTGTGATGGTTGATATATGTATGTTCATCTGCATGTATTTAAAAGGCAACTTTCGTTTAATTTTGTTTTCAAACTCTTTCATATATTCATAATTAGTAAACATTTTTCTATTTGTAACATATAATGGTACTTTTCTTTTCACAGGGGAAATAACTTTGATTGCACCATTGCCGACTCCTCACGTAGAGACACCCTATACTCTTACAATAGAAGTTATGGATTCTTGTTTCAACACAGCCACGGCCACTGTTAACATAACCTCATATGCTGTTGTATGTAGCGTTTTATTTATTTGAGGGATTATCTAATATTTTACAGGGAATGTAGACTGCTTGGTAGCATGATGATAATATTCTGTTTATTTAGCATTTATAATCTGATAAATGAATTAAGTAGCACTAAAGTTCTTAGGGATTTTTTTTTCATTCAAAACAAACAAGAGGCCCATGGGCCACATCACAAGTTTAAATATGTAAGTGGTTCCACTTACACCAAGAGAGATTTTTTATAGATTTTCTCTTATGTAAAAGTTTGATCTTCTGTTGTGACCCCGCTCTTACCCGGGGGTCTTGATTTGAACAAGCTTGAATCTACACTACCTGAGAGTGCTGCCATGTATCATGACCAATCGTGGCTTACTTTGCTGTTCTTGAGGAAAAGATTGTTAAAGATTTTCCCTACATTTTCCTATGTGATACTGTGATCGCTCATTGTGGCTCCACCCTAGCCCTGGAGGTCATGATTTGGACAAACCTAAATCTACACTATCTGAGGATGCTTCCAATATAAATATGACTGATCAGGCTTTGCTGTAAACATGTTCTTGAGGAAAATATTTTTAAAGATTTTTCCTATAAAATTTGCATCTGCACTATGTCAAAAAGCTTTTACGTGAGTTTGATCTTTTCTGAGATGGTGGTTATTGAGAGGAAGATTTTTTAAGAAGATGCCATTAAATTTTTAACTTATTCTTAATAATCTGCTTTTAAAAGAAGGCGTGGCCCTTCATTTTAACAACATTAAATCCTTTTACCCAAAAATGCTTTGTGGCAAGTTTGGTTGAAAGTGGCTGAATGGTTTTTGAGGAGAAGTCGAAAATGTGAAAAATTTACACACGACAAACAACACACACCAGACAAAACACTACGGACACTCTTCAATCAGTAAAGCTCACTTGAGCCTTCGGCTCAGGTGAGCTTATAAAGCCTTGCAACATTTTACTGTCTTTTCATTTAAAACTTTTAAGTTAAATAAAGTGAAATTAATTTAATTTTCCAGCCTCCATCATTTAATAATTTGCCGACGGAAGTAGAGCTAGGAGATGACGTCACAGCGGAGACCATTCTAATTGTTGTTAATGTGACAGATGAATCTGCCCCCATTATCACATGTACGCAAACCTCCATTTTACCAGAAACACAGTACTTCAGACTCGACGATTACATGAATGGCTGTAAGTCGCTTGATTGCAATGCTTTAAAAATGGAATAAATACATAGCAACGTAATTTCTGTTACATGTACGTAATGAACAATCATAAAATCATGAAGTTCAAACAATTCATATTATTTTGCAAAAATGCAAAATAATATATGTAAGGTACTATATTCTCTTTTTTGATAGACTGTTGGGAAATAATGTGAAGTTTATTTCATATTCAATTGATTAGTCATTTCTTATCCTGTAATTTGAATTGATTTCTTGAACACTAAATGACTATATAAGGACATTTTCAGTCCATTTATTTGAAACAAAAATTTCAGGACAGCTTGTGCATAATCATTTTCACCGTTACTTTTCTTATTTGTCTTGGAACTGATCATGAGTCTTTGCGAGTCGTGTTTGAACAATATTATTAACAATAACCTGGGGGAAAAATAATTTTTGCTTAATTTAATTGCAATTCTTTAAAATACTTTTGAGATATAAAATCATTAATGAACTGCATACGAAGATATTTAACTGACATATGTCACTTTAAACGCTCACAAATATTTCTGATGTGTTTGTGTATGGAATGAAAGCTTCTAAAAGACAGATACAAATCCTTTTGTAAACATACTGAAATAATATACAGTCAAATGCACGAACTGTATAAACTGATGGAATGAAATGAAAATCAATGATATTCCTTTTAATCGAGATATTATAAAATCATAAGACATGCATTAAAGATTAAAAGACATACTAGATACGTATATATTATATAAGAAGATTATTTTTTTAATTTTTATTAGCTGAAAGTACGTCACGTGATGTTGGTCCTGTTATAGATACTGACGCAAAAACGCGTCTATGAAATGATATCGCACGACTCACATAAGGGAAATCATAATCAGTTTCTATATTAAAATAAGCACTTAATTCTGCATAGTAAGGACTGTGTCAAATTTTTCACTTTGAGTGATTATATAATACCACGTATAACTATTATGGACTTCAGAGATGCAAGGGTATAAGGACCCATGCCAAAAAATATTGACTTCAGACACATAAAATGATAGCGGTCTCGTAGGCTTGATCGCTATCACTTTCTGTGTCTTCGGTCAATATCACTTGACTTTTAATCACATATCGACCTACACTGAAGTCCATAACTGTATACTAGTAAGAAGAAAAATTTTATCTACAGCTGCCGCCGTGTACCTTAACGCTGATTCGGTGTTGGACTTCGACACAGTTGAGGAATATAAAATGTTCATTACATGTACTGGAAGTACTCCTCTAGAGTCCGTGCTGACCATCAGAATTCTGGATAAATCCGTCACCACTCCTTACACGGTACCAGGTAAAAAAGTAGCTTTTAAGTTTGATTTAAAAAAAATGGCTGATAATGATTTTCAGATGAAGGTATTGGATAGAGTCTCTTTCAATGGGATTCTTTAAACAAAATATATAAATGCATTCTATAAGAGGCTACATCAAGTTAAGTCCTAAATATTTCTAGCTTAAGGTTTTCAAAGATTCAAGCCTACCTTCCATGCTCCGTCAAACTTTAAGTCATGGAATTGTTCACCATATCACCAAAACTATCTATTTCTAGATTAGGATAAACGTTCTATTCGTATTTCGATTTGGAAAGTTAAATTAACATAAGAAAAACGTGACTGCACAATATATATATATGGAGATAACAAATAGTATTTGTATTAAGGCTCAGAAGTCCATTAAACAATACAAAGTATGGAGCAGGGCAAACATGGACGTCTAAAACATCAGAGGTGGGATCAGGTGCCATGGAGGAGTGAGTATCCCCTGCCGACCGGTCCCACCCGCCGTGTGCTCCTTGTCATGAAAAATATAATAGTGTAGGATAGAGATTATACATGTACAATAATAATTGTACTAATATCATGCATAGAATAGTTAAATGCTTAATACAAACTCCGATAGATCTTTCTCATGTTATTAAAAAAAAGAATCTACTGAGTTGAAATTAAACTCAACATCAGCAAGCAGTTTGTAATACTGATTGTAACTTGAATCAATCTGGAATGCAATAATTTTTTTTTCTACAGCTTGGGCGGCCGGGGCCATTGTCGTCAGCGTGGGATCTGTGGGCGTGGTTATAGGAATGGTCTGTTTTTTGATTGTCGTAATTTTGGCAACAACCGATGAAGCGGAAGTACTACCACCAGTAGAAGAGGACAAAGACGCTAACAAGGAAGTGGATGATGCTGCTCAAATGTATAAAAATGTCGACCGGATTCAACTTTATAGAGAGGGCTATGGGGAATTTTAAACTGTGTTTAAATGCATTTGATGACTTAAAAAAAGATTGGGGAAAAAAAGAGTCGTATGGTTAAAAATCTGCTTACATATTTTTGATTTTTTTTAAAGATATATATGAGCTAACCTGCCTTACCTCTATCAATGGATCATGATCAAAACTAGACCCAAAGTGATTTTTTTTTTTCTTACAGATATTTTCACACGATAAACTTCATGATTGCGTACCTCAAAATGATGATGTGTTATTTTGTAAAATAAAATATTTGAAAAACTTTTGATTTCTTAAATGAATCTTGCTTGTTGAATCAAATTTTGTTTGACATCTGTTACGTGATTAATAGGAGAGCTAAGATTACACAACGAACGATTCCTTGTTTATAAAACAGGACTTCGCTAAAAGCGACAACCAGCTGGGTATCTAATAATATTTTGTATTGTTTACAAAATCCTTTGACTTCATATACAGCAAAACATTTGTCATTTCAAAGCTCTAAGTGCCTTACAATTGCTGTCTTGTCATCAAAATTTTAGGGAGGCTTAACTGTAAATATTTTGATTCGATAACTAGTAATTATTGGTTCAAAAATCATGTTTGTAAACATGGCAAATAAGACGAAAACAAAACAATGAACAGTGTTTACAAACATATCAAATTGATTGATGATTTTTTTTTTTACATTATTACTTTACCAACGCTAGGATAAAGCGGCCAATGTTCAAAACAAAAAATAATTTTTTGAAAGTATCTATTGCTTTCCTAAATTTTCCAGTCGCAAATGCAAAGAACTTGCAGATATATTAATTAAACTGAACAAGGCGTCAAATAATTAAATGGCTCGGATATATTTTTTACTAAGTTCCAACAATTACTTATCGAAAAGCAGAAATATGATAGCACGCTTTAAACCATTTTGTTAGTTTCTGTCGTGTTCCTTCACTGGTTCTAAATCAATGTTTAATCATCCACAATCTTTACGCTCATTGAAAATGAAAAATTATGAAAAACACAGTAACACAATACAGAAGGGAGAAATAAAATAACCTACTGAAATATTTGTTAGGTTGGAATAATAGTGTTGCGGTTCACGTTAAATATCGCATAAAATTTTTAATTTAGATGTTTTAGAAGGCAAGTCTTGAACGCACTAATGGTTCATTACAAAAATTATCTAATCTTAATGAATCAATTTTCTTATCAATTATTATGTGAATTCAATATTCTATTACTATTTCATTTATTCTCTCGACCTCTTAATTAATATAATAAAATTAAAACTTTATACGTTACGGTTTCCTTTTTTCATACAATATACTCTTATAATTGTCGCATTGATACCCAAATCCAAGATTCGATTAACCCCATATTAAAAGAAGATAACACTTGTTTTCAATAAGAACCTATAACAATTAATGCATTGATATTTTTGTTGCACGCTTCAAGCTGAAAAAACGTACGACAAAAGGTTAATTGTCATTTAGACCATAGCCACTGAGGCGATGATTCAAAACAATAAATCAAAAGACAAATTAACCAGGTGCAAAAGTTGGAAAGTAAACAGAAGGAACAAACATGCTATTTAAAGTGTGTGGCACTGCAGCTCTTGTTAGCCTGTTGATGATTCTTAGAGTTACTGGATGTGAGTTTTAAACTTTGTTCGTGAGGGGGATGGATTATGTTATCAAAATACAGGGCTTAAATTTTTACATTATTTTATTTTGCATCAAAATACTTTGCTTTATTAAGAACAAATGAACTGATCTATTTATATCAAGGTAATACAAAGCCATTTTGGTGCCATAGCTTATTAAATGTATACTGAAGTATTTTGCTGTAATCTTCTCTCCCTTCTTCGTTGATATAAAACTTTTTGATTTATTCAAGTTAAATATATACAGATTGATTTGAAATTCTTTCATTTGTTTTTGTTAATAACACTGTAGATCCATTTCATTTGGTGGGAACCAATGTTCCTAAGTAACCAAAATTTTACTGGTTTATAAGGACTAAATTTCGATGGTCACTCGTTCATAGGGAAGATTCAATTACCTAATGCATTGAAAAAGTTATAGTTTGTAGGGATGTAAATTCGTGGGTAAGGATGAACCCACGAAATCCACTAACATTGGTATCCCAGGAACAATGATGATTTTACAATACACTAAACTGACAGCTTGGTGTTTCCTTTCCTATTTGCATAATCATGCTACATCCTGGTATAACAATCTACTAAACAATTTTTAAGATCGTTGCATATTAAATAATAAATTCAAAAACTTTAATCAGATCTTTTATTATCAATTCGATCTCAGATCATAAGATTTTCATATCAGGCTGATTTTAATAATGTAGGCAATTTTATTTCAAAATGATGGAAGATTGACACAACACAAAAGAAAGAATAAAATTAAAATTTTCAAATTCAAAACGTCAGATGAAAAGTAAACACAATTGAAAGCAGAAAAGTAAACGCAATTTAAAGCAGTTTGTGGTATTGATGTATTATATTTTCAGACTGCGGTGTTCACCAGAAACTTGACATCGTGGTTCTCTATGATGAATCATCTAATGCTGGACAGTCTGGATTTGATTACCAGCGTCAGTTTATTGTTGCACTGGCGGATGATCTACACATAACTTCTAGCGCCACAAATATTGCCGGTGTGGGGGTGGACGACAAGGCTTACTATGGATGGGGACTTCGAGATTACTTCAATTCATCAGAAATTTCGTCAAAAATGTTGAATATGACTATTTCTAATGGAGCCAATTCGGATTTGGCCGAAGGTTTCAACATGGCATGGAACAATATATTGTCTACAAACGCCAGATCTGGTTACCAATCGTGGATTATTGCTATAACTCAAAAGGGCACAATAAACTCCACCACAGGATTGGACGCCGCTAAAGCTGCTGGTGTCAAAATAGGAATTCTAGGGGGAGACCCCGCCAGTAGTTACACAGCTATTGCTTCTGATTCGACATATATCATAGGTTCAATGACATGGCCGGCACTTGTGAGTCTTGTACCTACGGTCGTTCAATTCTTTTGTAATTTATGTAAGTGTTATAGATTATTATTTTTGAGTAAATATTTTATGCATAGATACTGGTCTGTATTTACAGTGTCTAAATTCTGAAGTTTTTAGTATAAGCCAATTGGGGAAAAATGTTTCACTTAAAATTTTGCAATATGTGTACTAGCATATAATTTGGACGAAACACGAACATTTCAGTATATAAAAAGAGCAGAAAATAAAAATAGCTTTTATACCCTTCTCCAACTATCCAGAACAACTTAGAAAAGCATAGGTTTATATGTATTTCTTACTTTTGATGTGTCCTTAAATAGAATGTGACTTTATTGACTCCAGCAATTAAGAAAAAGATTAAAAATGTCTAGAATTTTAGTTTTTGAGGATTAAATATACATTAGAGCAGAAGGTGATCGGCATAAAAATCCAAATTGTTTTTACATCAAATACTATGTACTCCAGTATGTGTTTGTTTGTTTATTGTTTAACGTCCCTCTCGAGAATTTTCCACTCATATGGAGACACCACCACTTGCCGGTGGAGAGCTGCAAATTTTGACCTAAACTCGGCACTCAGGGCCATTGAGCAGTGAGGGATCTTTTTCGTGCCAGCACCTACTGCGACATGGGACCGCGGTTGATACGGTCTCATCCGAAGGACCGGTCTCCACGTCTTACAGTGGGATTCCAACCCTCGACGTAAGGATAAACTCTTTGCTCCGCGACTCTACAACAAACGCTCTAACCACTGCGCCACGCCGGCGACCTCCAATATGTGTAATCCACATGTATATATGTGTATTCCACAAGTATATAACCCCAAAAGTGAAAAATCAAAAATCTAATCATGTAATTCTCGTATAAACATTTAAATATATAATAAATATTTCTCGTGTAGTTGTTGGTTTAGAACACTGCGCAATTATAGTGAAACAAATATAATTATGTAGAATCATACTGCAAAGTTGTGTTCATACGCCTTTCAAAGGTGTATCATTGTCTTAACGTTAGTTTTTTTTTCTAAATACATGTACATGTTATCTTACTTGAGCCAAAGGTTAGGTGAGGTTTTCTGATTAACATTTGTCCTTCATTTGTCTGTCGTCTGTTAACTTTTCAATCTTTGACTTCTCAAAATCTAGTGCACCAATTTCAAAGATGCACAAATCAACCTTGAAAAATGGGAAAAAAATATCTTTTTCCCCGCAATATTAAGCTTATTGATATTCAGCATTCCCACCTGTATAGATTCATGTTTAGTTTCTCATATCCATTTAGGGTAAGGGTAACTTTTGGTATATAAAGTAAAAATTCTTTTAAAATCTTCTTCTAAAGAACAGATGAGCCAGGGTGACTATAATGAACGTTTTTGCACTAAGAGCTCTTTTTGATTTTGTAAATTAGACTAAAACATTTTTTTTTCCATAAGCCCCATACCAAGTGAATGTATTCTGTAATTAAAAGTCAAACATTTTACTATGAGTTGCTCTTATTGAGACTTGAATGTAAAATAATTGAATGATATAAATAGAGTTAGTTAAAGCGTTTCAACTATCTTTTTTCGATGGGTTAATATCTTTGATTGATTGATTGATTGTATATTGTTTTACGTCCCATTCGAGAATTTTTCACTCATATAGAGACGTCACCATATACCGGTGAAGGGCTTCAAATTTTGACCTTTACTCGGCACTCAGGGCCATTGAGCAGTGAGGGATCTTTATCGTGCCAACGCCTGCCGTGACACAGGGCCTCGGTTTTTAAGGTCTCATCCGAAAGATCCGCAACTTTCACTCCAAAGTGCCGAGCGCATGGCGAAGGAACAGTTGCTACCTATTTTTTTATCGACTTAGGTCTGTCGCGGCCGAGATTCGAACTCACGACCTCCCGATCACGGAGCGAGCGCTCTACCGACTGAGCTACCGTGAACGGTGTTAATATCTTTGAGAAATAATCTTACTTTTTAGCTAAATAATCGTACATTTATTTTCAGACTGTGAAGATTTTGATTTCTATTACGATGAACCAAACACTATGAATGTTCAGGCTGACAACTTTTCCAGTGAGTATTTTCATGTAATATAAAATAGTACTTTTTTTTTTTACTCCAATTCAAATATACTGAGTTTATCATATGCTGTGCTAAACGCCAAATGCTTTGTCTCTAGCTACACATCAAAGGTAAATAATGAAAATGATATATAAATACTAATGTAAATGTTTCAGTTCTTTCTATAATGAATACGCCGACTTCGTATTTATTTCAATATAGATGTAGGGTATTACTTAGACGGCCTTGATCTGGCCTACAACATACACTGCTGTGGAGCGGTATCCTCTGTAGAGTTCAAGGCCACGACTTCCGGAACATTCAAATTTCAAATATGGCGAAAAGAAATGTTAGTGTCGGAGACATCAATATCAGCCACGGGTAATTAGAAACTGTATAATTGCCAGCACCTATTATGCCATGTTCATAGATTTGTGTTGTTTGTAAATTTTTTTTAAAGTCTTTTGCAAAGTTCGGCTACGAATATTTAAGAATATTTTGCATAAGCACGCATTTTAAAAGCAAAAGAGAATATAAATAAGCTTAAAATGGAGCCTGAAAAGTTGCAAGTGCCTTTCAAATTGCTATTTGTAGCCATTATGGGCAACCAACAGTCTCAAATTGTAAACAATGCAAAATAAGTGGGCTTAGATGCCTGGAATTAAAGCTTGAAATCGTCAATTTTGGATGCTCCGTGGTTTGCATGCTTGAAAAATGTTTCTCATCGATTACAATTGAACCTTTTTACGAATTGCACTGATTATTTAGTCACTTATACGTTGATTTGAAATGATGGTTATTGTTATAATATGATATATCAGGAGTATGCTTTTTTCTTTTATACTGTATACATTAAATTTTCTCTTATTTTCATTTCTTCTTACAGGTGGATATCAAACTTATACTTTTTCACCAAAGCTTGCTGTAGAAGCTATGGACGTTGTTGGATGGTATGTTGATCACTTGAGACATCTTGTATTCCTTTGAATAAACTGTTCAAGGAATGTAAAGGTGCACAATATGCTGGAAAAAAAAAACTGGTACTTAATATTACATCCATGTATCAAAAAGTATATTTAGTAAAATAGGTTCTTTGTGCGCACTTTTTGTCATTACCAGTCTTTACTCAAAGATCGTTTTTTATGAAATATTGATATGTAAAGCTGATAATGAGGAGGACTCCAGAATCAAGGCATTAATTTGTTTTAAAGTATGATTGTAGTCTTACATGGAATGAAAGGATACCCCAGTAGTCATGTTTATGTAATGTGCCTCACAACAGTATCTAACATTCATGTGATGAATATATGTGTACGTTTTCAATATTTTAGGTATTCCCCAGGAGTAAACCCTATTGGAATTGCTTCGAGTTGTTATGGAACCCTGTGTACTTCGTCCACAAAAAGAGCCCAGAACATGGGAACAGTTGCAATAGGGTCTATCTATTCGTGGTATAGCGCCACCATTCTGCCGGACACGGCTTTTGCTATCAAATTTACGATTGTTAATGGTAAAAAATATACGGAAGCCCAATAGTGCAAACCAAAAATTAATAAAGAAAAACGAAATTATTAAATAAGGAAAACGAAATTATTAGATAAAGAAAACGAAATTATTAAATAAAAAACGAAATTATTAAATAAAGAAAACAAAATTATTAAATAAAAAACAAACGAAATTATTAAATAAAGAAAACGAAATTATTAAATAAAAAAACTGAAACTAAAATACGGAATTTATAGATGTGCATGGTAAGGGCCTATTTAATAATTTCGTTTTCTTTATTTAATAATTTCGTTTTCCTTATTTAATAATTTCGTTTTTTATTTAATAATTTCGTTTTCTTTATTTAATAATTTCGTTTTCTTTATTTAATAATTTCGTTTTTTATTTTTTTATTTTTTTTTTATTTGCACTATTGGGCTTCCGTAAAAATATGTAATTACTCTTGTATTCACACACGGTTCCGATATATTTGTCTTCACCGATATGTAAGTAAAGATAACAGTGATTAATCTGATTAATGTGAATGCCCTTTCCCAAATCCATGGTTTGTTTTACTTTGTTGCAACATGTTGAAAATGATATTTACAAACTATCTGCCAATTGTCTTGAAGATGTCTTAAGATAAACGTTTGTGTATTTTTTGTAACCCCTGCAAACACAATGTTTCAATCGGTATGTGGCCGTCTGTTAATCTGCTTGTCTGTCAGTATAATCGAGCTGTCCGGTATTTAATACAATCGTGTTCAGACAATAAATATTGGAAGGTAATACTCGATACAAGTATTGCTTATGACCGGAAGTTGTGTCTTGTTCTTGATCAAGGTCATTTGGGCAATCTCAATGCCATTGAAAAAGGTAGAAAAAGTGCAACAATTAAATTTGCAGTGTGGATTTCCTTCTGTGAACCTGCTTGTACTACATCTAGCTGGACATATTTTTTTAACTATCCGAGTCTGTAAGCTATACCAGTGTTTATCGCTTAGTTTAAGATTCATTATTTTTAGCTCACCTGAGCCGAAGGCTCAAGTGAGCTTTTCTGATCACTTTTTGTCCGTCGTCCGTCTGTCCGTCCGTCCGTCTGTCCGTCTGTAAACTTTTCACATTTTCGACTTCTTCTCAAGAACCACTGGGCCAAATTCAACCAAACTTGCCACAAAGTATCCTTGGGTGAAGGGGATTCAAGTTTGTTCAATTGAAGGGCCACGCCCCCTTTCAAGGGGAGATAATTAGGAATTAGTGAAAAAATAATGGCATCATTTAAAAAACTTCTTCTCAAGAACCACTGGGCCAGGAAAGATGAAACTTATGTGGAAACATCCTCAGGTAGTGTAGATTCAAGTTTGTTCAAATCATGACCCCCGGGGGTAGGGTGGGGCCACAATGGGGGATCAAAGTTTTACATAGAAATATATAGGAAAATATCTTTAAAAATCTTCTTCTTAAGAACAGCAAAGCCATGATTGGTCATAATTATATGGAAGCATCCTCAGGTAGTGCAGATTCAAGTTTGTTCAAATCATGACTCCCGGGGGTAGGGTGGGGCCACAATGGGGGATCAAAGTTTTACATAGAAATATATAGGAAAATATTTTAAAAAATCTTCTTCTTAAGAACAGCAAAGCCATGATTGGTCATATTTATATGGAAGCATCCTCAGGTAGTGCAGATTCAAGTTTGTTCAAATCATGACTCCCGGGGGTACGGTGGGGCCACAATGGGGGATCAAAGTTTTACATAGAAATATATAGGAAAATATTTTAAAAATCTTCTTCTTTAGAACAGCAAAGCCATGATTGGTCATATTTATGTGGAAGCATCCTCAGGTAGTGCAGATTCAAGTTTGTTCAAATCATGACCCCTGGGGGTAGGGTGGGGCCACACTGGGGGATCAAAGTTTTACATAGAAATATATAGGAAAATATCTTTAAAAATCTTCTTCTTAAGAACAGCAAAGCCATGATTGGTCATATTTATATGGAGGCATCCTCAGGTAGTTTAGGTTCAAGTTTGTTCAAATCATGACCCCCGGGGGTACGGTTGGGCCACAATGGGGGATCAAATTTTTACATAGAAATATATAGGAAAATATTTTAAAAAATCTTCTTCTTAAGAACAGCAAAGCCATGATTGGTCATATTTATATGGAAGGATCCTCAGGTAGTGCAGATTCAAGTTTGTTTAAATCATGACCCCCGGGGGTAGGGTGGGGCCACAATGGGGGATCAAATTTTTACATAGAAATATATAGGAAAATAATTTTTAAAAATCTTCTTAAGAACAGCAAAGCCATGATTGGTCATATTTATATGGAAGCATCCTCAGGTAGTGCAGATTCAAGTTTGTTTAAATCATGACCCCCGGGGGTAGGGTGGGGCCACAATGGGGGATCAAAGTTTTACATAGAAATATATAGGAAAATATCTTTAAAAATCTTCTTCTTTAGAACAGCAAAGCCATGATTGGTCATATTTATATGGAAGCATCCTCAGGTAGTGCAGATTCAAGTTTGTTCAAATCATGACCCCCGGGGGTAGGGTGGGGCCACAATGGGGGATCAAAGTTTTACATAGAAATATATAAGAAAATATTTTAAAAAATCTTCTTAAGAACAGAAAAGCCATGATTGGTCATATTTATATGGAAGCATCCTCAGGTAGTTTAGGTTCAAGTTTGTTCAAATCATGACCCCCGGGGGTAGGGTGGGGCCACAATGGGGGATCAAAGTTTTACATAGAAATATATAGGAAAATATTTTAAAAAATCTTCTTCTTAAGAACAGCAAAGCCATGATTGGTCATATTTATATGGAAGGATCCTCAGGTAGTGCAGATTCAAGTTTGTTCAAATCATGACCCCCGGGGGTAGGGTGGGGCCACAATGGGGGATCAAAGTTTTACATAGAAATATATAGGAAAATATTTTAAAAAATCTTCTTCTTAAGAACAGCAAAGCCATGATTGGTCATATTTATATGGAAGCATCCTCAGGTAGTGCAGATTCAAGTTTGTTCAAATCATGACTCCCGGGGGTACGGTGGGGCCACAATGGGGGATCAAAGTTTTACATAGAAATATATAGGAAAATATTTTAAAAATCTTCTTCTTTAGAACAGCAAAGCCATGATTGGTCATATTTATGTGGAAGCATCCTCAGGTAGTGCAGATTCAAGTTTGTTCAAATCATGACCCCTGGGGGTAGGGTGGGGCCACACTGGGGGATCAAAGTTTTACATAGAAATATATAGGAAAATATCTTTAAAAATCTTCTTCTTAAGAACAGCAAAGCCATGATTGGTCATATTTATATGGAGGCATCCTCAGGTAGTTTAGGTTCAAGTTTGTTCAAATCATGACCCCCGGGGGTACGGTTGGGCCACAATGGGGGATCAAATTTTTACATAGAAATATATAGGAAAATATTTTAAAAAATCTTCTTCTTAAGAACAGCAAAGCCATGATTGGTCATATTTATATGGAAGGATCCTCAGGTAGTGCAGATTCAAGTTTGTTTAAATCATGACCCCCGGGGGTAGGGTGGGGCCACAATGGGGGATCAAATTTTTACATAGAAATATATAGGAAAATAATTTTTAAAAATCTTCTTAAGAACAGCAAAGCCATGATTGGTCATATTTATATGGAAGCATCCTCAGGTAGTGCAGATTCAAGTTTGTTTAAATCATGACCCCCGGGGGTAGGGTGGGGCCACAATGGGGGATCAAAGTTTTACATAGAAATATATAGGAAAATATCTTTAAAAATCTTCTTCTTTAGAACAGCAAAGCCATGATTGGTCATATTTATATGGAAGCATCCTCAGGTAGTGCAGATTCAAGTTTGTTCAAATCATGACCCCCGGGGGTAGGGTGGGGCCACAATGGGGGATCAAAGTTTTACATAGAAATATATAAGAAAATATTTTAAAAAATCTTCTTAAGAACAGAAAAGCCATGATTGGTCATATTTATATGGAAGCATCCTCAGGTAGTTTAGGTTCAAGTTTGTTCAAATCATGACCCCCGGGGGTAGGGTGGGGCCACAATGGGGGATCAAAGTTTTACATAGAAATATATAGGAAAATATTTTAAAAAATCTTCTTCTTAAGAACAGCAAAGCCATGATTGGTCATATTTATATGGAAGGATCCTCAGATAGTGCAGATTCAAGTTTGTTCAAATCATGACCCCCGGGGGTAGGGTGGGGCCACAATGGGGGATCAAAGTTTTACATAGAAATATATAGGAAAATATTTTAAAAAATCTTCTTCTTAAGAACAGCAAAGCCATGATTGGTCATATTTATATGGAAGCATCCTCAGGTAGTGCAGATTCAAGTTTGTTCAAATCATGACTCCCGGGGGTACGGTGGGGCCACAATGGGGGATCAAAGTTTTACATAGAAATATATAGGAAAATATTTTAAAAATCTTCTTCTTTAGAACAGCAAAGCCATGATTGGTCATATTTATGTGGAAGCATCCTCAGGTAGTGCAGATTCAAGTTTGTTCAAATCATGACCCCTGGGGGTAGGGTGGGGCCACACTGGGGGATCAAAGTTTTACATAGAAATATATAGGAAAATATCTTTAAAAATCTTCTTCTTAAGAACAGCAAAGCCATGATTGGTCATATTTATATGGAGGCATCCTCAGGTAGTTTAGGTTCAAGTTTGTTCAAATCATGACCCCCGGGGGTACGGTTGGGCCACAATGGGGGATCAAATTTTTACATAGAAATATATAGGAAAATATTTTAAAAAATCTTCTTCTTAAGAACAGCAAAGCCATGATTGGTCATATTTATATGGAAGGATCCTCAGGTAGTGCAGATTCAAGTTTGTTTAAATCATGACCCCCGGGGGTAGGGTGGGGCCACAATGGGGGATCAAATTTTTACATAGAAATATATAGGAAAATAATTTTTAAAAATCTTCTTAAGAACAGCAAAGCCATGATTGGTCATATTTATATGGAAGCATCCTCAGGTAGTGCAGATTCAAGTTTGTTTAAATCATGACCCCCGGGGGTAGGGTGGGGCCACAATGGGGGATCAAAGTTTTACATAGAAATATATAGGAAAATATCTTTAAAAATCTTCTTCTTTAGAACAGCAAAGCCATGATTGGTCATATTTATATGGAAGCATCCTCAGGTAGTGCAGATTCAAGTTTGTTCAAATCATGACCCCCGGGGGTAGGGTGGGGCCACAATGGGGGATCAAAGTTTTACATAGAAATATATAAGAAAATATTTTAAAAAATCTTCTTAAGAACAGAAAAGCCATGATTGGTCATATTTATATGGAAGCATCCTCAGGTAGTTTAGGTTCAAGTTTGTTCAAATCATGACCCCCGGGGGTAGGGTGGGGCCACAATGGGGGATCAAAGTTTTACATAGAAATATATAGGAAAATATTTTAAAAAATCTTCTTCTTAAGAACAGCAAAGCCATGATTGGTCATATTTATACGGAAGGATCCTCAGGTAGTGCAGATTCAAGTTTGTTCAAATCATGACCCCCGGGGGTAGGGTGGGGCCACAATGGGGGATCAAAGTTTTACATAGAAATATATAGGAAAATATTTTAAAAAATCTTCTTCTTAAGAACAGCAAAGCCATGATTGGTCATATTTATATGGAAGGATCCTCAGGTAGTGCAGATTCAAGTTTGTTCAAATCATGACCCCCGGGGGTAGGGTGGGGCCACAATGGGGGATCAAATTTTTACATAGAAATATATAGGAAAATAATTTTTAAAAATCTTCTTCTTAAGAACAGCAAAGCCATGATTGGTCATATTTATATGGAAGCATCCTCAGGTAGTGCAGATTCAAGTTTGTTTAAATCATGACCCCCGGGGGTACGGTGGGGCCACAATGGGGGATCAAAGTTTTACATAGAAATTATATAGGAAAATATCTTTAAAAATCTTCTTTTTTAGAACAGCAAAGCCATGATTGGTCATATTTATATGGAAGCATCCTCAGGTAGTGCAGATTCAAGTTTGTTCAAATCATGACCCCTGGGGATAGGGTGGGGCCACAATGGGGGATCAAAGTTTTACATAGAAATATATAAGAAAATATTTTAAAAAATCTTCTTAAGAACAGAAAAGCCATGATTGGTCATATTTATATGGAAACATCCTCAGGTAGTGCAGATTCAAGTTTGTTTAAATCATGACCCCTGGGGGTAGGGTGGGGCCACAATGGGGGATCAAAGTTTTACATAGAAATATACAGGAAAAAATCTTTTTCTCAAGAACAGAAAAGCCATGATTAATAAAATTGATATGGAGGCATCCTTGGGTAGTGTAGAATGAAATTTGTTCAAATGAGAGACCCCGGGGGTAGGGTGGGGCCACAATGGGGGATCAAATTTTTACAAATGAGTATATGGGAAAAAATCTTCTGCTCAGGAACAGCAATGCCATTTGTTATATTGATATGAAAGCATCATCAGGTAGTTTAAAATTCAAATCCCTCCCTCCCCCCCCCATTAACTTTTCAATTCTAAACTGATTTTTGCTTTTTTTTCCCCCTAGCCAATGTGCTCAGGTGAGCGATGTGGCCCATGGGCCTCTTGTTTTTTACTTATCAGCTTCGTATTAAGAGAATGAGGTCATTAAATCATATGCCAAACATCAGAATATCATACAAAAATTTGCAAGAATCATATTAACCCCTTATTTTACCATTATAAAAAAAAAAAAAATCAAAATTTGCAATCTTTTAAGGTCTTCAGTAATCATAAGTATTTGAAATATTTCTTTCTATAGTTACAGCTCTTACCTTTACAATGACCTCCCCAGTGTTTATATCGGAGACACTGGCTGTGGGGTCTAATGTCACAGAGGTCAGTGTAACTCACGATACAGGGATGGAGTTAATGTACACAGACCCCTCCAGCCCTTACTTTTCCTTTGACCAGTACACAGGTGAATCGTGATAGCCATTTAAATTTAAGTTTTCAAATTCAAGGTAGGCATGTCAGGGCTAGTATATGACGATTAAAATATATGGTATTGCTTGTTACAGTAAATAGTTTATGCTTGAGACCTTGTTTATCATTAAATTTATCATTAAAAATTACAAAATCAAAGTAACTTTTAAGAATAATTCAATATATCAGATAATATTTCCAATATATTGTAACGAATTTCGATGTTTTAATATTGTGCTTATTATAAAAATATTTTTCAAACTGTAAAACTGGAATGACTATGCTCACTAAACTATTAAACTATCTATCGAATAGTGGAACAATGTCTGATTTTCATGATTTTCTATTAATTTTTAGGGCTAATCAGTTTGATTGGACCATTGCCTGTAACAAATACCGAAACAACTTATGTTTTAGTAATAGAAGTCTATGATACATGTTACAATTCCGCCACTGCTACTCTTAACATAACATCTTATAGTGTGGTATGCTTTACATAATTATAATTGCGATATTGTATCGTTTTAAATTTTTTTTTATTTTTTAAAGGCTTGAAAAGTGGTCTCTTCTGAAGAAAACACTTCCTAAAAATGAAAATTCACAATTAATATCAATAGTAGTTGATCGCGTTATTCAAGAATTTAACTTTTTGGGTCCTGAATATTTATGTCTTGTCCTTCGCTGAATAAGCTGCGTCAAGGACACGTATATGAAATTTTAACATCACTCTTTTAGCCACCATCATTCCATAATTTGCCAACGGAAGTAGAGATCGGAGATGATGTCACCGAAGAAACTCTTCTTATTGTCATAAATGCAACAGACGAATCTGCTCCATTTATCATCTGTACCAAAACGTCGATTTTACCAGAGACACAGTTTTTCAGATTGGATGACTATATGAATGGATGTAAGATGCATCCCTTTAACAATCATATTTATTTGATTGACTTAACGAAAAGATGAAAAAAAAAGAATATAATTTAATCAGATAATAACAGAGACCATTCAGTTCTCCAAATCATCTTTAAAATAAGAACTTTATTTTACATCGAATTAAATAAGAATCAGCAGAAGCCGCGGGAATGAAACTTGAATCATTTAGTTCAAGTTAGTAGCATTGCATTAATTGATTCTTTAAAAAGTTAAAGTTTATGTAAATTCATGTTTAAAGTCAATGCAAAGATTCTTCAACAATAGAAAATTAGTAATTCAGAAGCTCTATTATGAATTATTGGAGTACGTATTAAGAATATAGAAACGCCGTAGGTATTGTTGAATCATCCTTGATATTATTAGAACATAAGTAAAATTAAGAAATAAATCAAGTTAAACATATATCAATTGATGAAGGGGATTCTTAAGAATATAGCTTAAGTTAAGTTAATCGACTTTTGGACGGAATTGCACTGGTTGTAAATACAAAATAACGGACAGCATTTCTTCAACATTACGTATAAAAGTGTTAAAAACCTGGAATGTTTTATCAACAGCCGCAGCTGTGTACCTTAATGCCGATTCCCAGTTGGACTTTAACACAGCCGAGGAATATAAAATGTTCATTACATGTACCGGAAGTTCATCTCTGGAATCCATTTTGACTATAAGAATTCTGGATAAATCTGTGACAACTCCTTATTCTGTACCAGGTAAAGTATGTAACGTCGTAAAACACTAAAACTAGTGAAGAAAACAGTCACGTCTCTAGTGCTTCATTGACATACCGCGTACAAAAACTAATTTGCATCATGGTGTTGCTTTTTGATTAATGTAATTCTTTTTATTTTGGTATGTATGAAGTTTTAAATTCTTCTATTATGTACATGCATATATGTTTATTCATTTGCCATGCTTTTACTAAGGTATGAAAGCTATATACATTTTTGCCGATGTATAATATATATTTTACCATTGAAATCATTCTTCTAATGAGATATGTAGATAACGAACAGTATTCAAGCTCAAAAGTCCAATACAAATTTGAGCAGAGCAAACACGGACGTCAAAACTTCAGAGGCGGGATAAGGTGCATGGAGGAGTAAGCAACCACTGTCGACCGGTCACACTAGCCGTGTGCTTCTTGTCATGAATGGGCAAATGGAAAAATCTGATTTTGAAAATAATGTTTTTTTCAAAGTCAACATTCGACTCAAAGAAAGATTGTTTTTGCGAGCAAGGTCATTGTATCGACCATATAATTTGAGAAATGTTGATTTTAAACGAGATTGTTTATAGCCTTGTTTGTCAATAGCCTTTCGTTTTAAAAACTTATTCGTACGTAGAACATGATCTTGCTTATCGAACCAACTGGAAGACATAAACTCCATATGTGGGTGATAATGGTTTATTGCTGCATAAATAAGGGAAGTTGACGATAAGAAACTTGAAGTAATAATAATAATAATAACGATGATAATAATGTCCTTTATTTATACAGGATAGCCCAATTAGTTAACAAAACTAGTTTACATTGTGGTCCTAAAACATATATTAGGACAAGTCATTATGTTAATTAAGCAATATCTTTCCATTTTCAGACTGGGCGGCAGGGGCCATTGTTGTCAGTGTCGGTTCAATGGGTGTAGTCCTAGGCATGGTCTGCTTTCTGATTGTAGTCATTTTGGCAACAACTGACGAAGCTGAAGCACTTCCGCCGGTAGAGGAAGAGGAGAGCACTAAAGCGGAAGTTGACGATACTGCGAAGATATACAAAAACATTGACAGGAAACCTAAATATAGAGAGGGGAGAGTGTTTTGAATCTTTTTTTTCTGATAGTTTTTATGTAATTTTTTTTAAAGAAAAATTCATTGTAAAACAGAGAGCTTGCAGACAATCGCTCCTTAGATCTTTTAATGTAAGAATTTGAACACATTATCATGACCTTAACTGATCTGGCACAATTACATTGTTTCCAAACATTAATTACATATCTTTAGTAATAATATTTTTCTTCTTTAAATCAGGTTTTTCTATGTATAAGATAAACAAATTTTAAAGAAGGAACTTGCATATGGATCACGATTTTATCTTATTTTTTAAATAGCAGAATATTGTTTTCAACATATTACTAATTAACATTAAAAACAAGTATCAGTCGCACTTCACTTGTTTTGTGCGACCTTTACTTGTAGATGACTAATACATTAGAGATGCATTAAGTTTTATAATGTTTTTTTACAAATAGAATTATAGTAATTGGTAAGTTTTATTGATATATAAGACTGCTTCTACTGTTATCTCTTTTACAATGATATTGTTAATTGAGATATAAGAATTTAATTGTTTTCACATATATGCCAGCATCAATGTTGAATAAACGAAAGTGTGGTGCATCTTGGAATGTATCTATTTACACATTTACGTTTTAATTCTTTAGATCGGGCGTAATTTTATCGATGTGGAATACATTTTATTATTTTAAGATCACACAACCATAGGAATAAACTGTTATGTGAATTATTAGTGTATTTGGAGGTATCAACTAAATATATTGAGTTTTAAGAAACGCTACCCTTGTTGAAATCATTTTAATCAGTTAATAGAGCAGACCGTCAGATCATGAACTTTCATATCTAATTAATTTTTTATGTGTTAAGGTATATGCACCTTGCAGTACACAGCAAATTATGAACGATTATTGCTATTTTGTAATAAAATTACAAGCGATTATCGCTCAAATTATTGCTTTATGCAAAAAATGTAAAGAAATCAATATTTATCGTTAAAAATATTAATATCTTATTTCTAATTAATGTCTTATCAATTTTGATACAGTGTTTCTTTGTCACTAGTTTTACTTATCAACTCAGCATTATCGTAGCTAGAATTGTTTTGGCAATATGCTTTTACTTTATTTCTTTGAAATAAAAATATTCATGTTTATTTCTTTAGATTCTTTTTTGGAGAAATACTTTAACATGTTTGCAGACGCTGCTTCGCATCAATTTAACTTTTCTGTGTTAGTTTATTCATTTATGAATTATGTTACAAAATGATTCTGTTTTTAGCACAATAAACTGACTTAATTAGAAAAAATATATTTACAATTTCTTATTTTTCATTTATTTTTTCTTTTGATTTCCGTAGTTGTTCCTGGGTACAAAAGCTTTCTAATTGTACTTGTGCTATAAATGAAGGTAAAATTAATAATTTGTGAGCATGTTATTAATCATTTTTTTTTAAATTGTCTTTTTAGGGTTTTGAAATTATATGTATTATAGGTGGTACATTTATCACTACGTGTGTAGCAATTGTGAAAAGGTGTTTTAAAAAAACGAAATAAAGTATTAAAAGTTTGTTTTATCTCTATTGACCTACATTTGACTTCGTCTCTGAATTCATATCAATAAGGTTATGAGGTTGAGCGATTTCATTTCAACCTGTGTAATCCTATCTTACCTCTAAACAATTTAAATGACAATCTTAAGTTCGATGTTAAGTAAATTATGCAATCTAAAGATTCATTTCGGTCTGCCTTTGTCTATATAACAATAACACTTGAACAACTGAAAATGGGTACAGCTTGAAATGCAATGGCAATTCAAAGTAGAAAAAAGAATGCAAACTTAATTAAGAAAGAAAAAAGGTTAAGTTAACATGTCAAATTTGGGAAACAATGGCGAGCAGATAAAATGAACATTTATAACCAACATACTACTTTGAAAATTCTACTACAGATTTTAACAATTTTGGGACGCTTGTTACTTTCTGTTCATTTTCTGAAGATAAAACAATGAAAAAGATGAATGGTTTAATAGTGAAGCGCTTTAAAAGTATGCAAACAATGACATAAAAATTATTTTTGTGCTCCAAAATAGACCTTTAAAAGACGGAAGAATGTGAAACATTTTATAAATGAATAACAAAAAATGGTTTATTTGCATCAGGAGGGTTTGCTACCGATGACGCATGAAGAGAGATGAATAAATTATATTTCATCCGTGTAAGACAAATGATAGAAAAATTATAATAGAAGAAACTGGGAACTCTTCGGAGGTTTATTTTCCAATAGCAAAATTAAAACTTGTTTACTAATAACTTTATCTCATTCCGTAATTCTTACTTCAAAACTTTGAACGTACAATTAAATTTCGATATAACTGTAATACAAGTCAAAGTGCTTTGTAGGTGTCAATACTAGAAATAATCACATTTATGTCTACTAATAAATGGCTTTAGTATTTATTTTTATTTTATAACTCGACGAAAATTTTGACCAAAAAAGTTTTCTATTCCAACTTATTTCGTATGATCCATGGACTCATGTGCTCCTAGAAGTCGTGTTTTAAAAACTGCAGCCTTTGAATTCTGCCACTGTCGACTTCTGATTAAATCTGATATATTTCGAAAGAAGTCGAAATTTTGAATGAGACAGTTAAAACTTGCCTTCACAATTGTATAGTAAATTTCTCGCTTTAAGTAAAGGTAGTCATTAAGCCTTTTTTACTCAGGAATGCTGAGACATGAAATTCAAGTAAAAGCGAGAAGTATTTTTTAGATATAGCATGCACATAGTTTAAAGCAAATATAGAACTTTTAGTTTTTTTCTTTTCCGATAGAATATATACTACTTAATATCACTAGATTTTGACCATTTGACAACCTTACCTAATATCAATCTAGAAAAAAATTATTTCAAACTCAACAAAATTTATAATACAATTTAAAAATGATTAATTGTTTGAATCTTTATTTGACTACAGGTGGTGTTCGCCAAAGGCTGGATGTTATTGTTCTGTATGACAAATTGACTTCTTGGTTCGATTACCGCTTCCCCTAGCGGATGCGGTATATGTGAATTCTAGTGGTAAAAACATAGTCGGTGTAGGGGTGGATCATAGAGCTATTTACGGATGGGGTCTTTGAGATTATTTTACATCATCTGCCATATCTCTTTAAAAATGCAGAGCATAAAGATAAGGAATGGAAACTTAGACCGGTCTCCTGATTTTAATAAGGCATGGAAAATTATCCAGTAGTATCAGACCAGGATACCAAGCCTCGTTAATTGTCTTGACCGATACGACTTTTGTGAGTTCAACTTCCAGCCTGGACTCATTTTAAACTGCCGGTGTCAATGTGAGGTTCCTAGATAATCAGTAAATAGCTAAACATCCACTGTAGGTGGAATCAGATGATAAAAAATTCTGGACTGTTTCCAATGTTGTCCAGTTTTTCTGCCCATTTATTGTTACTTAGATATTTGATCATAATCTGAGATTATGAAATACTTAAAAATATCCATCTGAAATATTCAAAAGATGGTCTGGATTAAAGCAGAACTTTGTTTTTCATTCAAAATGCATAATTTTTTTTAATTCCTTATCAATCATCTAAGTATATACTGAAAATACCATTAAAAATGAATTATATAATATAACAATTGACATTTAAATATTTGTAATCCATCAGGACTTGAAAAACAAATTCAATTTCCCTTGTGGTAAGATGGAATGTAAGCTCAGTTTATAAGAAATAATAAGTACTGCCAAATTGTATTCTCTGCACACTACACGGAAAGCTTTATATCCTTAGCTATCCTTTTAATTTCTTTTTCAGATCGACTGAAAGATTGTATTTTACTACGAAGACCCCTGTAACACGAGTGTTTAAACTTACATGTATTCAGGTAGGTTTTGGTACGTCCTAGCAAAAATATTAATATGGTAATGCTGATGTAATTATAAATTAGTGCATGGAATTCAATTTTTGCTCCTGAGTAATTTGCAAATATAAGTATAATTTAAAATAATTTAAATATTTCACTAAAGGATTTTTTTTCTTCTTATATAAAATATTTTACCTCATTTTTTTAGTGTATTTTATGACACCTTTGAGATGTTGGATACTATTTAACGGAGTTTGATTAACTTACAATATTCACTGTTGTGATGTCGTCTCTTCATTTTGAGTTCAAAGCTGCATTTTCGGTTACATAAAGTTTCAGATATGGCCAAATTTGTGTTGGTTTCAGAAGCCATATCTGCTGCAGATAATTAGAATACCAGTTTTTGAATGAAAAAGATGAAGATAACGAATAGTGTTTAACTCATAATCAGGTAGAGAATAATTATCGTAAACAGGCCAAAACTCGAACACTCTTGGAAACCTCAGAGGTTGGAATCAGGTGCTAAGAGGAGTAAGCATCCCCCCAACAATTGGTGGGAAATATGTCAGTCTATAAACGATAGGTTATATGTACAAAAGTCATTATAACAATTAAAGTCAGCATTTTACACATTTCTTAAATGCTGACTTTAAAGGAAATAGTTGAAAACATTGTAATATGAACTTATTGAAATTAACTAACCATAGTCTGCCTGAGTTTAAAAAATGGATTATTTTCAGAACATGGTCTTGAGTATCGAATAAACACTATAACCTTATTTTTTTTGGTTGATTTGGCGTTAAAATAAGTATAATTCCTCTTGTTTTATTCCTATATAGTTCACTAGCCAGTTGCTTTTAAATACACATATCGCTTTGCAGTTTCTGGATAAGGATTTAAAGGATATTAAGGTTGTTCTCGTGTTGTAATAGTTTATTGATCTATTTATTATAATTATATTAATTGCTATTAAAACGAATATTAACTTTTTCATTTGGCTTAGCTACAAGTATTAAGATGCGAACAGATCAAGCCACGCTATTTTTATCAAGAACACAACACTACTACTAATAGCAAATTGCGGTGCTAATTAGGTCATACTTCGCAGTCTGAGGCCGTCTTATCACTCAAATATTTGTACAGATATGGTCTCGTTACATGAAATCAAGAAACGCTCATTGGAATGTTATACTTTGGATTTTGTCTGACAGGTAAAACATCTGATAGAATAAATAAATTACTTTCACGCATACTTATTATTCTGTGTGCCTTTGTACCCTCATTAAGCAGAAACAATAAGCTTTATATTTTATAGTTTATATGATGCATTTTATAATATTTTTTAGCAGTAAAATACTGTTATTTTTAATTGAATAAAAATGATATTTTGTCACCATATAAAAGAATGACATTTATTACTTGTTACAATGTCAATCTAACAGACACTAAAACTGTCAATGTTTCTCCGAAAATCTTGTTGAAATCCATGTCTACAACGTTCAATCTCAAAATTGCTTAGCTATATGACGTCTCACAGCTGGCTGCTAAACTATGACGTCAAAGTCTTTTACATTATGTTACGAAAACACAGATTAATTAATTTATTTATTTATTTATAAATTTATTTATTTACTTATTTGTTTCTTTAATTTTTTGGTTTGTTGGTTTATTTATTTATTTGTTTTGATTTTTTCACTAGTACATCCTACTTATGAATTTAAAATGATAAATGATATATATATATATATTTAAATTTTTTAAATAAAAATAAGTTTGCATACACGGAAGGTAATATTTGATGCGATTGGGCATCTCAGTCGATATAAAATGCAGGACAAATACAACAAAGTTGATTCATAGAATGACCAAAAAACAAAAACAAAAACAACAAAAGTAAAAGACAATTTATAAGAAACACATAAAAATTTTGATTTGGTGAAGCAAGCTTTTATTTATCCTTAAAAAATCTGAAATTAAACTACAATTGAAGCTAAGTTGTAGAGAGGAAACATAACGCTACACTTCTCCCTTAGTCTTACTCAGTACCTACGTGAATCCTCTGTCGTCTGCCGTTTGCGATGACGCTGATCATGATGCATGCACCAAACTATCTCGTGTATCTGACGTCTGCAACGATCTATGTTTCGCTAAATATTGTCCTCGAACATGCGGGAAATGTCGTAAGTAAATATTTTCTTCTTAAAATATTGAATTGAAATAAATTCTTTGGTTATTAGGTTACTTTCCTGATAAATGGTAATAATCTTAAGTAATAGTTTTGTGTTTGTTTTAAAGTTATGAAATGAGCATGCGTTCTAATTCTTTTGATAAAACACATTAAGTTCAGCTTTCATTTCTAGGATTAAACACTCCTCTGACTACATTGAGATTGTTTTTTTTTCCAAATAACACAAGACAGATTTGTTCCAAACAATGTCATTTATTATGAAATGACAACATATAATATAGATCTAATACATAAAACTGAATGAAAAAGAATGGGAGACCATGTAACATTAAAACACAATTCCTGATTCAATAGCAGTGGATAGAATGATGCTAGTTCGCTTATCTCAAAAAGATGGAATTACCGGGGAGTCCCCATGGGTTTACTGATAAGAGGCACAAAGTGGGGATTTACACTCTTACATGAAATATATGGAGATAACGAACAGTATTCAAGCTCAAAAGTCCATTAAACAATACAAATTAGGAGCAGAGCAAACACGGACCTCTAAACATCAGAGGTGGGATCAGGTGCCATGGAGGAGTGAGCATCCCCTGCCGACCGGTCACACCCGCCGTGTGCTCCTTGTCATGATCGGGAAATAACGGAAAAATCCGTCGACAATTCAGTGTGTAAACAATGGCCTAAAAATTAGTATGAAAAACGTCAGTCAGCATTTGACTCAATGATAAATTGTATTTGCTGACAAGGTCATTGTATCGACCATAGAACTTACGAAATGATGACTTTAGACTAGACAGCTGATATTTTTGTTTCATCAACTTGTTTGTCAATAATTCACCTCGTTTTAGAAATTGTTCATACGTAGAGCATGCTCTTGCGTATCGAATCAACTGAGAGATATATACCCCGTATGCCGGTGATGAAGGTATATTGCTGCATAAGTAAGGGAAGTTGACGATTGAAAAGTTAAAGTCATCACGTTTATCATAAAGCTTGGTTGTTAGATTACAATACATACAATACATGAAACTTAACTTAAAATAATTTTACTAGCATGAAATATCATTTGATACTTAAAACTATGGTGAAGGAAAAAGTTAGGAAACTTCGACATGATATTCGGATCTCTTCTGAGAAATGAAAAAAAAAATAAAATTAAGAAATTGCACAATTTTTGATACCAAGGCCTTCATACAAAATGATATATTGTTTCCTTCCTTGATAAAAAAAAAATCCAAATTTTGAAAGTTAACATTTCAATTTAAGTGTCAAACTTCCCAATTTTCAGGTATGCTTACTTTGCATTAGAAAAAGCAATTAAACCTGGAATGATGCCATAAGATTATATAATAAAAAATACCATTCTTGAAAATAACCTAATCTTATTATTCACAAAGTATCGGAATAAAAAGAAATACTAAAAAGCATGATCTAAATTATCAAAAAATATGTACTTTGGAAAAAATGAATGGTTAAATTTGAATTTAAAGCAATAATGATAGCAACTGCAGCATGAAAATCAATAAATCTTGAAAAAAGTTTATGTCATTAAATTGAGATTGTTTTCAAAAATACTTCAATACATATTTTTGCTATTTCTTATCAAATTAATATATTACCAAGCTTTGAAGTGTTACAACTGTTCCGCCGAGCCAACGGTAGATGCTTGCAACGCCACGACAATATGTTCATCTCTTTCTCATGTATGTTAATATTAAATTTGCGAAATGTTTCCTGTTGACATTTACAAATATATAAATAAAAGCGGTCTTTAGAATGATATACCATCAAAATAATTTTTTTTTTTGCTAATTTGTTTTTAGAAGTGCATTGTGATGGAATCTTTAAACTCCGATTTATCGATAAGCTTTAAATCTGGGTGTTCCACAGATCATGTAAGTAAAAGAAAAAAAAAGACAATACTCTACAAATATGTTGTTCTACAACAATTTCTTTACATAAAAAAAAAATCATGTTCATTTACTTCATCTTTTCAATTATAACTGTATCATAGGTTTGTTCCTTGCTTTTTGGAGGACCAACGCATCAAGCCAGAGGCCAATGTTGTGATCATGATTTGTGTAATCATGAAATTCCACATTTCAAGCGTACAACTGGGCTACAAGAAACACAAACAATACTGAATGCGACATTAGAATTATTTAGAGGTCAAAGTAGATTCTATTCTAGATTCTCATAGTTCAACTATACTTGACTTTATTTTATTCAATCAGCATTTCAACTCGGTTAATTTCTGTACAATGTCTCTAGAGTGCCACGAAGTTGATCCAACTGCCTGTCAAATAATGAAGCAAAAAATTCACAATATGTGTGATGAAGCTTGCTGGGTACAGGCCTGTCCTCAAACATGTGGCAAATGTGGTATGTGTGTAATGAAACGTATTACTATGTTATAGATCTGCTCAATGTAAAAGGTGAAGATTACGAACAGTGATCGATCTCAAAAATCACTATTGTATCAGCAATACAAATATGTGAAGAGGGCATAAAAAATGAAACACGCCGGTGTATGTGGTTGCCATATTTTATTTTTGGTATAATATATAATAATGGTGAAGGCCTACAATATAATAATAACAAGTAATAAAATGTAAAATCAAAAGTTATTGTCATTTTGAATATAGTATGCTTATTAAAAGATCAATGCAATACATATTTTGCAATACAAATGCAGAAATACAAGTATACAATGAAATAATATAAATAAATTTCATAATACTCAGACATTTATATAAATTTGTAAAAATTGTTATTATGCCAAAATTATATAATATATAACAATATGCATGATCTTTATCATGGATAAAACATACCCTAAGTAAGGGAGAAATCAAAGATCCATGTGTGATCTGTCACATCATTGTTATTATCCTCATATGATAATATAACAGACCTTAAATGCATATTCTGTATCATTGATCAATATATTTTTTAAAACTCTCAAACTTAATGTAACAATAGCATACTTCGAATTATAAAAACTAGTTCACCGGTTTAACAAGACTACAATAGTATTTACTATTTCATGATATATGATATGATAATAACTTTACAAAATTAATAAATTTGGTCATTAGCTTCTTTCGTAAACAATTTATCTCATATGTAAACCTAAGCAATCAACTCATTTAAGAATTACAAAATAAACTCTTAATATGCTGTAAATGACACATAAATTCAGGATACTTAATAGATAAATACTTACATACTTTGATAACTTCTATGGCGATAAACTAGAATATATTTTAACTTTTACAGACTTCAATTTCACATGTACAAAGCTTTCGAATCTCAATATGGCGTGTCTTGTTATGGACCGACAATTCAAACAAAGGAATAAAAATTATTATTTGAAAGAAACACTATTATTTTATATTATTCATGTTTTTAGATGTATATATTAAATAAAGAACTTTAAAAAATAATTTTAACTTCAAGTATTACTGAAATAAGAATATATTGATATTACGGCTATTTAAATAATTTGCGATAAATTGGTCGTTTAATTCCATGGTAGAGTGGTTAGGCAGCTCGCCTCGAAAACCAATTAACCACGGTTCAAAACCAATCATGGGAACAATTATTTTACCAAAAATTATTTTGTCAAATATATAATTTTTAAATATAAGATACATTATCACAATTCCACTATATCACACACGGACCCCTGGAAAATTCCTGAGGTGGGATCAGTTGCCTAGAAAAACATTTAATAAAATTAAAAAATAAGTTTTTTTTTTTTAAATTTCTGAGCATTCTGATAAGTATGTATATTCTATACGTGTAGTATCATATAACTTTTGCTGGCTTAAAAATAAATCCATGATTAGGATTCTAATAGATTTTCATAACTGTGCCTGCAAATCAATCAATATTGCTTCTGTTTTGGACAAGTCTTCTGTTTTTATCTTCATAGCCAGCTGTTATTCTTGTGATCTGGTGAGCCATCCGAGATGTTGTACAAATACTACTGTTTGTGAACCCGGTGAGGTAAAAAGTTCTCTTCTGGATTTATGTAAATACTTAAGACAATAATTTTCTATAGATGAAATGGCACACAGTTCATGAGTTAAACTATTTTCATTTATTTTTTTGCTTTAGCAATGTTATTCAATGAAGCATTTTTCTACTGATGGTGGGTACGCATACAAATTGGGCTGTTTAAAACAGCAGGTGTGTTTTTTGATAAAGAACAATGCGAACTTCATACTCAGTAAATAATTATATTCATATACAATTTGATGCAGAGTAATTGGAACATGACTACGTCCATTTTAATGTTTATGGATAGTTTCTTGTAGGCTTGTTCAAGACTTCGCACATCATTCAGTAATATCTTCGGAAGAAGAGATGAGATAGAATTGCCTTTAGACGGAGATTGCTGTCAAGGTGACTTTTGTAATAAAGTTGTTCTGAGACATTCAACAACTAGTACAACAACAACGACGCCAACAACGACGGCACCAATGACAACTACGGCACAAACAACGACGATGCCGACAACAACAACAACTCGTGATCCCCTGGGTATTTGTAAATCTAATACGGAGTTTGCTATAACAAGAATCCACAATTTGCATTTCAACAAGTTTGTTTAGCTCATATGCTTTTGATTTAGGTTGCACTTATTCCCCCAGGAGTCGTTGTCCCGATACGCATCGACAAATCAGCAATAAATGTCTTATGGTTTCCAGCACGCCTTTGGATTTTGCTGAAGCAAAGGTTGGTTGAGCTTCACACAGTACAAAATAAGTTTACGACGCTTTAATGGGTATGGTTTACCGTCGAGAATATAAGGAAAATAATTCTTCTGAATTTATTAAAAGAGGAACTTAAGAATTTCTTGCATTTCAATTCAAAAATATCGTTGCATATCATATAAAAATGAAGATAACAAACAGTTATCAATCTAATAAAAAATCTATAAAGAATACAGATGTGTATAGGTCATAAAACACGGATTCCTGGAAATTCCGGAGATGGGATCAGGTGCCATAGTGCCTCAATAGATAGAGCGCTCGTTGGGAAGTCGGAAGATTGTGGCTTTACAGCCGGGGCTGTGACAAACCTAAGTCGAAACAAATATGTAGCAACAAGCGCTGACTACTTATAAATGACATTGCGGGTCATTTGGATGATATCTTAAAAACCCAGACCCCATGTAATGGCAGGCGTTAGAGGGCTAAAAAACCTATGATATCGACAAAAGACAACAAGTTAACACTTTTACTCGGCACTCAGGACCTTTGATCGGAGAATGAGTGAAATAAAAAAATAGACAGGACTCTATAAACAATCAGTCAATTAGTCATATTACTTACCATTTAAATAGGAACTACAATGTAGCAATAAGATGATTTTTAAAGCATAAATAAAGTATATAAAGTAAAAAGTATCTATATAAAGTAAAACGGTTTTATATATATTTTATGATTTGGTAGGGAAGAATAATTACAATATAATTTTTATAATAGTTGTTTGTTTTGCCAAGGTTATGACGAAATGGATGATAGTGGGTTGTCAGAAAATCTTTCAAAGAAATACAAATACGTTTGCCAATTTGTGGCCTTAAAAATGAAGAGTTTGTTATCAACATGCTCAAGTATAGGATTTGTCTGTAATATATGCTCTACACTGAATCTTTTGGATCATTCTTTTCATGCAAATGTTTAATGTTTTGATATATTTTATTTATATTTTTTTTCGAAATGCAAGGTTTCTGACATGTGAATTTATAATACCTTAGCGATATTGCTATTATCATTGCTCCACCCTGGCGGAGGAAATTGATGGAAGAAATATATACGCCATTCAGCAATATTTATATGGGTATTTTAGACAACATATTAACACAGGTAACTGAGATTTTAAAAATATCGAGAATATTTTTTTTTGCTTTCGATTTTATTAAAACGTTCTCTTCTTTATATATTAAAAATTTTGAATGTTCATTTTTTTTATGGGAAAAGTTGCAATAGTTAGATTTTGTTTTGTTAACGGTAATGCTTCATTTTGCGTAAAAATATATTTCTTTTTTTAGGCAAAGGTCTACAAAACATTAAGGTTAAATGGAGTTATATTTGGAAAATTTTAAGAAATGGTAAAATTATCATTTTTGCTATTGAACATGATGTATCAGAGAAGATTTTTCATAGTTGTAGTCATATATAGGTACTTCTTTTCCTCAGAGAGAGAGAGAGACCTTTACAACAGGGCAAAGCATTGCTTCAGATGTAAAAGTTCAGACAGTCTGTTTTTATACATTGATGGAATTTAATGTAGCTATATTTGCAGGAGAAATAGGAAATGTCTATCTTGGTGCAATTGATAGACACCATGACGGAAAATTTACCTGGATCATATCTGGGGACATAGCAGCTATACCAATCGGATCGGAATACAACCATTACTGCGGACTTTTAGTTTACACCACAGGGGTGATAAAACCAGTGTCTTGCAGCGAATCATATTATGCTCTTTGTGAAGCTCCATTAAAATAAATATTCATTAGATTTTGTGATTTTTGTGCCCCATTTGATAGAAATCTGACGAAGATCATGCAGATATGCGAGAATAAAATACAGTATAGTAGTAGGTTATTGTGATTTGATAATAAAAATGTTATTTTAAACCAAGGAATTATGTATGAAAAAAGGTAACTTTTCTTAGTATTACGAAATGTCAGTTTTTCTTTAACTTTTCTATAGCTATTGATCATGCTAGAGTAAATCCAGTTAACAATATTTGTAACGCTCTCTCTCTCTCTCTCTCTCTCTCTCTCTCTCTCTCCATGCAATCACATCCATATGTGTCGACAGCGTAGAGCAGTGGTGGTTAGAGCGCTTGCTCGTTATTTCACAGTAGACACAAATAAAAAGCTTTGCTAATTTCTGGCACACCATTTTAATCTGACCTTTGCAGACAAAATTACTCAAAATATCTTTGTCACTAGACGTGACAAGTTGGACTTCTGGATAGTGTGCTGATTTTATCAAATCAAAACAATCCCTAAACCCTCTCTCTAAAACAATATCTTTTTTTGCTCAGTTAAACATCGCATTCGCCTCCCCACGAAGATATTTACCAGAATAACAGCGCCATTATTTTTGCCATCTGCCAGATACTTTTCAAGAATTTAGATGAAGTTACGATCATAAGTGGTCTTACCAATGTCCTTGTGAACACTAAATAATTTCCGTTGATAGGTATGTTTTAACTTTTCTTAATGTATATATATGTTCATCTATCTAGCAACAGAATAGCTATGTCAATGCTACCAGATGCTAGAAATTCTTATGTAAAATACGTTGTATGGTTTTTAACAATACACTGTAATTTCTTTACATAAATTCTCAATGCCTGGATATTTTGGGAAAAAATAAGTCTCTTAAAATTCTTCTTTTTTCTTCTTTTAATTATTCTACTCACTTTACTTTTTATATTGAATAATGTTCGCAAAATGCTGCTAGATAGCACGGTTTTGAATTTTATCGGCAAAATAGCTAGAGCAGTTCTACCTGAAGCAATTCTCTTCCGTAAACCATACACTTGTGAGACTAGTGAATTAAATTGAATAGGTTTCAGACCTTTAAGACGACCATAATCCCTTTTGCTAAAGAATCTGATTTGTCAAAATAAATTCGAGAATTTTTCTTTTTCTTTGAAAAGCAACTATCTGTATAATGTCAGCTGCTCTACTAGTTCGAATAAAGTTATGATCTTTGTACTCGTTTAAGAGTAAGCGAGAATTTCAGAAGTTCTGGATTTTTAAATCTAAATTTATCCATAAAATGTCAAGGATATACACATGCATTGTCATAGCACAAAACATTGTGTGTGGAAAAAATGTGCACTTGCTCCTTATTTTCGTGACAAGTATGGTAACATATCAACGGGATTTTGTTCCTGAATAAAAAATCGACACTTGGACATTTGTATCACTTGTAACATTCTTGTGCAATAATTCCCCCTAAAATGACGTTTACGACTCTTACCAGAAATGCACTCATTTTCTGTGACTTGCAGACCCTATAACATTGTCAGGATTTAGCAAACTTCAAACTCTTTAAAGATTGGCGATATCGAGAAGCAGCTCTCTTGCTGCAGATATTATAAATATAAGAATTCGTCATGATTTTATTGTAATTTTACTTAATTTGAAACTTTCTTAATAATACTTTATGGTATATTTCAGACTCTAACTTAACAGACTGAGAGTATTGCCTTAACAAAATTATCGACCACAACCAATCAAGAATTTTTTTAATCAACCTCCTCAATGACGCAAAAACGATACTTTTTTTTTTAATTTATCATTAAAATGTTGCAAAAAAGACCTAAATGAATTTGCAAAACAAAAACAACAAGCAAACAAACAAACAAATAAATAAACAAAATAACAATGTTTGTGAAACACTGATGCCCCCTTACGGCAATTTATGGCAAAGGTTAAACTTTCTCAAATGCAAATCAAATATATGTTGGTACCCAAAGTATAAGGTCTTGTTTCGAGGAATATACCTGTGAGATATGAAAGCCCTAGCAGCAGCCATTGAATAAATATGGAAAACGTTAAAGTTTTTCAAAAGTATGTCAAACATCAAGGTCAAGGTCAAATGGTCAAAATTAATGGTGCCCACGGAAAGCCTTCTCACAAGAAATACACATCTGAAATATGAAAACCGTAGCACCAATCGTTCAAAAGTTATGGTCATGGTTAAAGTTTTTCAAAAATAACTCCAAGGTCAAGGTCAATGGATTACAATTGTTGGTATCCAAAGGAAGGTCTTGTCACAAGAAATACACATGTTAAATATGAAAGTCCTAGCACCAACCGTTCAAAAGTCATGGCCAAGGTTAAAATTTTTCAAAAGTAGGTCAAAATCCTAGGTCAAGGTTATATGGTCAAAGTTGTTGGTATCCAAAGGAAGGTCTTGTCACACGGAATACACTTGTTAAATATGAAAGGCCTAGCACAAACCGTTCAAAAGTTTCAGCCAAAGTTATAGTTTTTCAAATGTAGCTCAAACTCCAAGGTCAAGGTCATAGGGTCAAAGTTGTTGGAATCCAAAGGAAGGTCTTATCACAAGGAATACATATGATAAATATGAAAGCCCTAGCACCAACTGTTCAAAAGCTATGCCAAGGTTAATGTTTTCCAAAAGCAGGTCAAACTCCAAGATCAAAGGGTCAACGTTGTTGATATCCAAAGGAAGGTCTTGTAACAAGGATTACATATGTAAAATATGAAAGTCCTAGCCTTAACCTTTCAAAAGGTATGGCCAAGGATGAAGTTTTTCAAAAGTAAGTAAAACTCCAAGGTCAAGGTCAAAGGGTCAAAGTTGTTGATATCCAAAGGAAGGTCTTGTAACAAGAAATATACATGTGAAGTATGAAAGCCCTAGCACCGATTGTTCAAAAGGTATGGCCAAGGTTAAAGTTGGGTAAAATTTTGCAAAACTGGGTCAAACTCCAAGGTCAAGGTCAAAAGGTCAAATATACCCAAAGAAAGGTCTTGTCACAAGGAATGCACATGTGAAATATGAAACCATAGCTCCAACCAATCAAAAGTTATGAGCAATGTTAAAGGTTTTGCGGACAAAGAGACAAAAAGACAAACAGACAGCTAGACGGACGGACAGGGCAGAAACTATATGCTATGGGAGCATAAAAATCCTATAATATCTTATCATCCTTTGCCTTTAGCTTATCTGTGAATATCAATTAAGATGTGTATGAAGGACCATAAAATGATGATTATATAAAACAAAAAGAAATTAGGTCATATCACGACTTTCTGGTTTATACTTCATTCAATGCTTATGACTGATAAGGAAGATAAGGTATTAACCTCAAATCCAAACAAAGCATGACTGGATTTCCTGCAATTATTGCTGGTAAGATTAAAATATATCCATTGTTTCCATATTCGTCTTAAAAAAATTGTGCATATTGTACATTTACTTCGAATTCCATATCTTAAATTACAGTAATCTGCCTCTGTGGTATTAGAGGAATTTCCTCTCAGACAACCTGTGATGATGTAGATACCACTGTGTGTCAGAAGTTTCAGGACAAACGAGATATCTGTGTGGATCCATGTCTGTCTAAACTATGTCCCAGAACATGCGGAACATGTCGTAAGCCCTCTCTTTCTTTTTTTTCTCTTTCTCGTTACATTATATTCTATATTAAAATGTTTACATCCATACTATTACATAGTTTGTTATTAAGTGATTCGCCAGCAACTTTTTTACAGCATTAAAATGCTACAAATGTGATTCTGTATCTAACGTGAATGACTGCAATGCTACAATGGAGTGTCCTTCCAACAGTATGGTATGTCTCCTTGCGTGACATTACTCTATTTTAAAAAAGAATATATAATGCTTGCATAAACTTAACTCAGATCGCTGAAATGATATACATGTAGGTTGTTCCCTTTAACACATTTTTACTTTGTTCTACAGCGATTATCCATTATATACGTATAATATAAATGGTCACTACTTTTTCTCGGAACATAAGATAAAGTATCAAAATATCGAAATACAAAAAAAGAGAAGAAAAAAAAAAGAATTTTATCAAATAAAGATCAACATTTTATTTTTCCAGTGCATCGTTAGCGAGTCCTTGGGAGCAGACTTTTCTATGACTTATCGATTGGGGTGTGCAGCCAATGATGTAAGTAACTACACATGTAAAACTTAACTGAAGTGTATTTTTCATCCAAGGAGAGACTGTGAAAAATAGATGATTTTTGATATTTTCATCTGCCAATGTTTTTCCTAATGTGATAGAGAAACCTTGCTTGATTCTCGTTTGCCGCGCCGCGTCAAACCTAAGACGTAAACATAAGTAGTGACTGTTCCTTCGCCAAGCGCCCAGCACTACAGGTGAAAGTTACGGGTCTTTCGGATGAGACCTTAAAAACCGAGGTCCCGTGTCACGGTAGGCGTTGGCACGATAAAGAGCCCTCACAGCTTAACGCCCTGAGTGCCGAGAATAGGTATAAATTTGAAGCCCTTCACCCGCATACGTTGAGTTACTATATCAGTGAAAAATTCTCGAATGGGACATTAAACAACATGCTATCAATCAGTCAATCAATCCATATGTGACAGTCGAAGTTAAATTGACATTCAATTTTCAATGACATGAAGTTGGTCACATGATCAGACTTTCTTGCGTATGGAAAATAAACCGCACGAGACCTTTGGAAGGTCTAGAATGTGATGTTCATGTACGTTATGTCGCTCATCCATAACAAAGTCTACATAGTCCTTTTTTTTCTTTGTAACACGAATGAAAATAAAAATATAAGAAATAAAATATCATTTTTAGAGTTTCACTTTGATATGACATGAAGTTGGTACGCCCTTCGGGCGTTATAGGATTTGATCACGTGACCAACTTCATGTTATATTCAAATGAAACTCTAAAAATGATATCTAATTTATTGATTGAATACAGTCAGAAATCTTTTTTTTTACATCTTTAATTAATCAAAGTTCATTTGATATTTTTTTCCAATGCCTACATAGAATTTGGAATAATAAACAATTTAAAAAAAAAGGTTTGTTCGCGATTATTTGGATCAACTCCAACTGGATCCTCCCTGATTATTGGAAAGAGGGCACCAAAAAAGAGAGCAAATTTGAATGGTGATTGCTGCAACACAGACCTGTGTAATAGACACTCGCCTTCACCTCCAAGGATTAGGCGACAAGCCCCAAACGTAACTACAACAATGGAAATGATGACAACTACTGTAATGATGACATCATCAACAGGTGAAATACTAATTGTGATATCATATAAACAAGGAAAACTTCATGTTCATAAACAATAATCTAGCAATTCGACGGTGTGTCTTTTGTCCTTGAATAAAAACTCATTTCTTCTCAACTCCATAGATTTTATAGTGGCACGTAAATCTTATACGGTACCAATTTTAGTGCAGAATAGGTGCATTTCGACAAATTATGTCTCTTCATTGATGCTCATACCGAAAAATTTAAATTAAAAAAAAACAAGCTTGGAATAGCTGAAAAAGGGGGGTGCCAAAGACTGGAGCCAAACACGTCGAAGGGTCAGAGCTATGCATGAGGGAGATAATCCTTAATTTTGAAAGAAAAATTTAAATTTTACCACAAAAATAAATTATATATCCGTATTTTCATGCTAGTACAGAAGTACTTAGCTACTGGGCTGTAGAGACCCTGGCATCTGATCCTTTTTTGCAAATAATTTGATTTGAGATACTCTAGGGGATGCGTTAGTGCCATTGTTGTAAATATTTCTAATGCTTTTCTTCATTTTTTTTTCATTAAATGAAGCAGGGATATTTTGTTTACAGAAGCTACCAATTCAAAATGTATGGATATTGACACATCAGCTTGCCAGAGGCTGTCTAGTCTCAATAAAGCCATGTGTAGTGACCCTTGTGTGGTACAGGTTTGTCCAAGGACGTGTGGACAATGTTGTAAGTTCCATTTAAATAAACACGACGATTTCCGTCTGTGTTTCTCTCTTTTAGCTTAGGCTAACTCCATTTACATTACATTGCTTCAAAACTTTGATGATAGCTAGGCGTATGATATTCCTATCATGGTTTTTAAACGGATACTGATCTATGAAATCATATAAGATTTCAATGGACACCCAACTCTGTCCGAAAGGATATTCAAATGCTTCGTCAGCTTTTACTTAACACCCAGTCATCCGAAATCTTTTGATCAAACTCTACAGACTTCAAAAATATTGAAGGGTTGAAAATTCGTGAATAATTTGATGCCCCTTCAACATCTGCATATTTTAAGCCTACGTTCTTTGAGAAGTGTTCATAATTGATGCAGTATACATCTACATATATCGTTATATAATATGCTTACAAGCTTTAGCTATTATCTGTAACTTATTATTATCTGTAACTTACATTTCAAATTGTAAAGCAATTCCTCTAAAATTGCTCATAAAATAAACGGTCTTTAGAGAGCCTAGATGCTTCATATTTATTTTGCAATTTTAAACACTCAATTTGAATTTAACATATCCTTCAAAAATCATTTCGCTGATTTATATTGACGGCATAACGTTTCATACAAGTTTTCAGTAAGTCCTTATTTTGCAAAAAGAGTACTTTCTTCAATTCTTGTCACCTGGCCTAAATAATTAATTGTTTATTATTTATTTGCATGTGATTATTTTACACTTTGTTTTAATGTCAGCGGAATGTTATTGGTGTGACCATGTAAAGAATCCTGAACAATGTAATACGACCACACAATGTGAAAGAGAAGAGGTTAGAACTCGCATTTGCTCGTTTACTTTGTCTTTTTATTTTACGAATCATGTTAGAAAAACTATTATAACACAAATAATTGTAAAAATGCACAGTGTTTAACATATTGCAGACATGCTATGTATTGGAGACTCTATCATACAATGGAGAACATACCTACAACGTTGGATGTATGCACCAGAAGGCAAGTAAATCAAACTGTTTTGGTTCAGAAGTGGAATACCGTTCCATTGGATTTGCATATCAGTTGCTTACGTAGTGAAAAATAATGTTTTGAAAGCTTTTTCTGCACTGTTAAGATGCTAACATAGCTACCTTTGACAGGTTTGCAATCAGTTCCACTCCCAAGCTAGTCATGTCTTTGGTAAGAGAGCAGATCCAGTTGAGCTGTCGCTAGATGGCGATTGTTGTTCAGGTGATCTCTGTAACCATCACGCTCTTACCCACGTGACTGCTACTACTACGACTGCTCCTACAAATAGTACGTTGATTAATGCATATGCTCAAAGTGACATAACTTTAACTAAGAATCATATTTAAAAGGTGAATCACTGTGCAATTATATGTGATAAATTTTATATCATAAGTTAGTACGTAGTTCGAGTATTTCAATCCTTTATATGTGGTCAATCAATGTTTAAGATATTTGTGCATGGCTTTAAGGTCATGATATCAAGGTCGCAAAGTACTTGCAAGACGTATAATTAGAGAAGGGGTTAGAAATATTAAAATGATATTATGTCCTGTGAATAAAATCTTAGCTATTCTAAACTCTAGATATATCGACTGAACGACCCATAAAACGACCTGAAAACAATAGCTTTAAATTGCATAGCCTAATTCAAAACAAAATATACCTCTACCAGTAGAATCTATTTGTTGTCGACTTGTAAACCAAAAATATATGTAACAGTATTATTCATGCCTAGTGCTTATTATATCAACACAATATTACTTGAATAATTGTATTGAAATTTGAAATGATAAAACAAATGGGCATTATTATCCTATTAAATATTGTGTTTCTTACTCATTTTTTTTTTACTTTAGTGTGTGCATACACAGCCGCTAATCATCACTGCCCCACAAACTTCCATCTTGTGGACGGTAAATGTTATATGATTGGGAGTACCTCTCTCCGATACGATGATGCTATGGTAAGTATACTTGCAATATCCATATTCAAAATGGTATATTTGATTTCTTTGAAATTGGTACAATTTTCTGATTATTCATTTCTTTTCAATAATTTCCATGCTTAGAACTTTTGCAAGACACACTGTTCCAAACTGGCTGAGAACCTTTCTCATGGAGATTACGGAGCACTTGAACATTTTGGTAAGGTCTTTTAGAAAGGACCATATATGATAAGAATCAATTCTGCCGCCGCCCCCCCCCCCCCCCCCCCGAATGAATATTTTAGAATGTGATTCAGATATGTATAATTGTTTTTTATTTTGCAGAGGAGATTATATTAGAGATATTTCCAATACATTTTTCACATTTTAATGCACTAACAGGCTGTAAATGACGTCAGAAATGAAACTTTTTTTGCAATCCAATCAAAATAAGACCAAAATGTGCATTTTTTCCTGACGCTATTTTTTATGGAAGACATAGAGCGCAGCTTTGAACATTCAAATTTTTCTGTCAGTAATAAGTCTTCGATAGATAATCTTTGGTAAAAATATAAAGTTTGTTCAAGTCTGCGCTCAATATTTTCTGGACGAAAAACTGCTTGAAAATAAGCAGTTTTATACAAAATATGCTAAAATGGCGGGAAAAGGTGAACTTTATGATGTCATATTCCTAAATTAATGGCATTTTGATCAAATTAAAAATTACGAATAAAGGTCAGGTGTATAGCTGTGCAAAGTAAAGCTATATATAAAGTAAATTAAAATATTCATTTTAAGGGGCCATTCGAGACACTTATCATATATAGCTCTTTTTAAAGAGTATGAAATATATTGTCGTATGTGGTTTACATATATTAGTCAAACATAGCACCTCAATACATGGAATGTTTACCTGAAGAAAATTTGAATGTGTACAAGGGTGTTCGGAAAGTTCGCGGACTTCTCAAGTTTTTTTTTTTTTTCATTATATCATATCATTTTTGTGTGTATGTCATCAGACAGTTTGAAATGTAGTATTTTTTGAAAAACTAATCAGACTGTTTGAAATGTAGTATTTCTTGAAAAAACCATTACGTTATGTTTTTGACGTTACAATGTCATTAAGTGTGTCAATGGTAGCAATTCATATTAATTTTAGAAGTAAATATCATGAGTTCCATTTAATCAAATGGAAGGAAACCGCATATCAACAAAATAAATAGTTTGCATATGATAATGTGCTGATCTTGAATTTCTTGATTATAACAAAGATTGATGCCGTCCGCGAACTTTTCGAACAGCCATCTACGATGGATTCACGATACAAATAAATCAAAATTGTTCCAAGGTCGTTGAGAAACGTTTTTAGCTCACCTGAGCCGAAGGCTCAAGTGAGCTTTTCTGATCACATTTTGTCTGTAGTCCGTCTGTTTGTCTGTCTGTCTGTCTGTCCGTCCGTCCGTCTGTAAACTTTTCACATTTTCGACTTCTTCTCAAGAACCACTGGGCCAATTTCAACCAAACTTGCCACAAAGTATCCTTGGGTGAAGGGGATTCAAATTTGTTCAAATGAAGGGCCACGCCCTCTTTCAAGGGGAGATAATAAAGAATAAGGGAAAAATTAATAGCATCTTTTAAAAATCTTCTTCTCAAGAACCACAAAGCCAGGGAAGATGAAACTCTTGTGAAAACATCCTCAGGTAGTGTAGATTCAAGTTTGTTCAAATCATGACCCCCGGGGGTAGGGTGGGGCCACAGTGGAGGATCAAAGTTTTACATTGAAATATAGAGGAAAAACCTTTAAAAATCTTCTTCTCGAGAACAGCAAAGCCATGATGAGTCATATTTACATGGAAGCATCCTCAGGTAGTGTAGATTCAAGTTTGTTCAAATCATGACCCCTGGGGGTAGGGCGGGGCCACAATGGAGGATCAAAGTTTTACATAGAAATATATCGGAAAAATCTTTAAAAATCTTCTTCTCAATAACAGCAAAGCCCTAATTGGTCATATTGATATGGAAACATCCTCATGTAGTGTAGATTCAAGTTTGTCCAAATCATGACCCCTGGGGGTAGGGCGGGGCCACAATGGAGGATCAAAGTTTTACATAGAAATATATAGGAAAAATCTTTAAAAATCTTCTTCTCAATAACAGCAAAGCCCTAATTGGTCATATTTATATGAAAGCATCCTCAGGTAGTGTAGATTCAAGTTTGTTCAAATCCTGACCCCCCGGGGTAGGGCGGGGCCACAATGGAGGATCAAAGTTTTACATAGAAATATATCGGAAAAATCTTTAAAAATCTTCTTCTCAATAACAGCAAAGCCCTAATTGGTCATATTTATATGGAAGCATCCTCAGGTAGTGTAGATTCAAGTTTGTCCAAATCATGACCCCTGGGGGTAGGGCGGGGCCACAGTGGAGGATCAAAGTTTTACATAGAAAAATATAGGAAAAATCTTTAAAAATCTTCTTCTCAATAACATCAAAGCCCTAATTGGTCATATTTATATGAAAGCATCCTCAGGTAGTGTAGATTCAAATTTGTTCAAATCCTGACCCCCCGGGGTAGGGCGGGGCCACAGTGGAGGATCAAAGTTTTACATAGAAATATATAGGAAAAATCTTTAAAAATCTTCTTCTCAGGAACAGCAAAGCCCTTATTGATCATATTTATGTGGAAGTATCCTCAGGTAGTGTAGATTCAAGTTTGTTCAAATCCTGACCCCCCGGGGGTAGGGCGGGGCCACAATGGAGGATCAAAGTTTTACATAGAAATATATAGGAAAAATCTTTAAAAATCTTCCTCTCAGGAACAGCAAAGCCTTGATTGATCATATTTATGTGGAAGTATCCTCAGGTAGTGTAGATTCAAGTTTGTTCAAATCATGACCCCCTGGGTTTGGGTGGGGCCACAATGGAGGATGAAAGTCTGAAATAGAAATGTATAGGAAGATATCTTCTGATGAAGAACTGCAATGTCATGATTAGTCATTTTGATATGGAAGCATCCTCAGGTAGTGTAGATTCAAGTTTGTTAAAATGATGACCCCAGAGGATAGGGATGGGCTATAATGGGGGATCGAAAATTTTACATAGGAACATATAGGAAAATGTCTTCTTCTCAAGAACTGAAAATCATGTTTAGTCATTTTAATATGGAAGCATCCTCAGGTAGTGTAAATTCAATTTTGTTCAAATGATGACCCCCGAGGGTAGGGTGGGGCCCAATAGGGGGATCGAAAGTTTTCCATAAGAACATATAGAAAAAAATTTCTTCTCAAGAACAGAAAAGCTATGTTTAGTCATATTGATATGGAAGCATCCTCAGGTAGTGTAGATTCAAGTTTGTTCAAATGATGACCCCTGGGATAGGGAGGAGCCACAGTGGGGGATCAAATTTTGACAAAGGAATATATGGGAAATTTTTTTTAAAATCCTCTCAAGTACAACAAAGCCATTTGTTATATTGACATGGAAGCATCATCAGGCATTTTAAAATTCAAGCCCCCTCCCCCCCCCCCCCCCCGCACCCCGTAATCTTTTCAATACTGAACTGATTTGTGCTTCTGCCTTGCCAATGTGCTCAGGTGAGCGATGTGGCCCATGGGCCTCTTGTTCATGGATATCACAGAGCACTTGAACATTTTGGTAAGGTCTATTACAGAATATACATAATTATCTTGAAGAATTATCTTTTGTAATTAATGTATAATATAAAACTGTATTATCTCAATACACTGGACACCCACATGAAGGAAATTTAAATGTGAAGAACGGATCCACGATAAAAAGAAATCAAAATTGCATATCCTCTTTAAGCTTTTAAGAATTATTTAATAACTTGTAAAACAGATTCAACAATGACGAATAAGCTGTTTGTAAATTAAATTGATTTAGTGGAATAATAAATCAGGCTATTTCATAACTAATATTGATTTTTGTTTGGGATTCATTTGTTAAGTATTGTTTCTCAAAACTCTTACGTTGTTGCTTTCATTTTCAAATTTGTTCTCACAAATGAGTGACTAAATTGCTTAAGAAAATGAATATTTTTTAACTCTCTGAAATATAATCGAAACATTTTCCAAGTTGATATGATAGTGTGATATAATCGAGAGTAATGTGTATGTCACCCGAATTGTATAATATACATGGTAACAATTGCAATTTAAGATTGCTCAAAACATGTATCTGTTAGGTTGAAGAAAATAACAATTATACCTAACTCGACTTTATTAGAGGTGATATAATTACTCAAAATCAAAAACTTTTTTATAGACCTTATTGTGAATGAAAAGTTAGTTACTAGCATTTGGATTTTTATATTTTAGTAAGTGGAAGGAGCCACGTATACATTGGGGCTCGTGATCCACACAGAAATGGCGAATTTGTCTGGAACACCAGTGGTAGGCATGCAGGTAGCTTAAACTATCTTGGAGCCATATTAGGATTACACAATCCCAAACCATGCGCAAGTTACTCTCCAGTTCGCCCTGGTCTCCATGCTGAAGACTGTTCCAATTCCCTCAGACCCTTATGTCAAGCTCCAATGAAATAAAATTCTATGACACAATATTAAGCTTTGTTGCTTCTGATTTGTGAGATATTTTACACTTAATGATCTTCTTAGTCGTGAATTTAACAATGTTTCCGAAAGTTATGACGTTAAGTTGATTTTTGGTACCTATCGTGTTATCAACTTATCCAAATCCGGCGTGTAAGCTATTTGTTTTTACTTGAAAATATGTTGAATTATTGAAAAACTTAAATAAAAAATAAAATTGAAGTAAATTTACATTAAGAGAGAAAAATAAAATTTATCCTATATCTTTAAAAGTACTATAATGATATTTCTATTGTCTAAGAATTTCACATTGATGGTCGAGAGGGGGAGGGATTTATTCATATAATATACAACAACAGCCAGAAAATTTTATTTAATTAATTCCCTATTTAGACTAAATTATACTTTAGGTAGATAAGAAAGAAAAACTTTCTTTGCTTCTGTATCAGCTTCAAAATTCCCTATATGGTAGTTAGGGCTGAACAGTGCTAGACTTGTTCATGCAAAATCTTTTGAATTCCCAAGTGAAAGGGCTTCTACGTTTTTGTCTAATTTGAATGTTTCGTATAACAAATAAATACTACATTAAGAATATTGTTTTATTTACAAGGCAGGGCAGTATCAAAATTATTAAAAACTTTCTTTCCATCTTTCTTTCCAAGCAGATGTAACAAGACACGATGAACTACTTTGATTTCTCAGCAGAGGCATTTTACGAAAGTTTCATTTTAAGTTCAATAATTTCATAGTAATCATTTGAGTTGCAAGCATTTATGCACCTATATGGTGCATAAGTGTATAAATTTCCGTTCTGTCTCTGAGAGCAAGAAAATTTCTTACTTCTAAAACGGAAGTTCACTACTTTTGAACTGGGAAAGGTAATTCGTTCATTATGTATATGACCATTCTATAAATAGAAAATGCTTTGTGTCATACCGCGCAACTTTTGAATTCATAATACTTCATTTCCCGAACATTTACTATTTTATTAACTTGTAGAGGAAAACATGTTTACAAATTTAAATGCGAAGACGTAATTTTTTAAGGACTAAATAATCTATTCCATTTAGAGATTTGATAATTCTACATGGAAACTAATAATGATGTTTTGAATTCAATTTCTTTTCTTTTTTGTTTATTTTGTTTTCTTTTTCCTCTTTTTTTTTTGGTTTACATTACAAAAACTGTTTACATTAGGAACCAGTAAAGGGTTTATTTACCCTTCATGATAATTGCACTTCTTTCTTTAAAGGAAGGGTAGTTATTCTCAACAATAAGGGTAACCCTTTCTCTTTTTTTACATTTAAGAAAATTCTCATGTATAGGATTGCTACAGAGAATTTTTATCCCCGGCATATCTCGGATCAGTTGATGTACAAGTTTTTGTGAAAATCTGCGAGATTTATGTTATCTTTGATTTACGTACATATCACCAGGGGAATTTTTGTTAGAGCTATACTATAGTGGGCGACTTTATATACTGGAAAAAGTTAGGGATTGTATTTTTACTTTAATAAAAATATTTTTAAAAATTGAATTTATGTTACGACAAGGCTACAGTAGTTAAATAAACATGCTATTTATCCAAATTTAGTCTCGTTTACCACGTGCTCGAGTAGTCTTGTCGGTGCGTTGCTTTAGAAAGGATTGGAGTAAGAAAACTGAGTGGTACTAAAAAAGATGAGAGATCTCAATTCGGTTTCCTGTAGTTTACATAAATAATTTCGTTCTGGAGGGCGTAGGATTCATACAGAGACAAAATAAGGCGGCATACGAATGTGACTGAAAGCTCCAGGATAGTAGGGATCCTGGAAGCTATCAAAACGCAACGAGACATTGTAGAAAGACTCCGTGTCTAACAGAGAGTCGTTGGTTGTCTATGGATCCGGTATTTGCAGACGGGTGACGTACAAAAGAAGACCAAATTAAGGAAGTCCGAAGTATTTCACAGTCCGTGAGGTCCGTTATGTGGTCAACGTTGCTAAAAGACAAGCTTTCAAAGTGCAGTAAAGCTTAACGCTGATTTTCAGAGAGCAACAGGGAGACAAATTTCTACCCAGACGGTGAGAAACAGACTACATCAGGCTAATTTTAAGACTATGTAAAATACTCAAAAAAAATAAAACAATTAAATGTTGTGCACTGTAAGCAACTAAATCTCAAATCGGATAATTTATGAAAAAAGATATCTGTTCAAATAGACTCTTTGGTGTGTTTTTCAAGAAAGAAGACCCTATTACATTATCTAAGTTTTATGAAAAAAGCTAAACTCGATGATAGATTAAATCAAATTTTCAACTGATACATCTTACTCTACCAGTAAAATATATCTGATTTTACCAGAATCAAAAGTACGAACAGCCTCATTTCAGTAATATTTTGGAAAGTAATTTATTATCTGTATGTAGAATTAATTAAATGACTGTCAAAATGTCTTATTTCAAGTGAAAAAACGTATTTGAAGTTTTGCCAGATATGATTAATCTTTTCGAAATTTAATTAAATATGCTCTTTTTTGGAAATCCTGATCTTGCAGGAAAATGATATCCCCTCATTAGATGATTGTTTTAAAACTAAACATATCTTATCTATGTAAGTCATTTAACAAAAAAAATAATGATATGATTCTTGAATTAAAGATACCATGTTGCTGAGTCATAGAGGTGTAATGCGTCAGATAGACGAGTTACATGTCCAAAACATTCCAGTTTTCTTTTATGCAATGCTTGTGACTGATAAGACTGATAAGATATAAACTTCAAAAGAAAACTAAACATGACTGTTTTTCTTGCAATTATTGCCGGTAAGATCAATTTAAAAGTTTTCCCCGTATCCTTCTGACAAATTAAAAAAATATCCACATCTCTGCTTAAAACTATGATTTCTTTAACTGCAGTAATCTGCCTTTATGGTATTTACGGAATTTCCGCACAGACAGCATGTGATGATGTAGATACCACTGTGTGTCAGAAGTTCTACGACAAATGGGATATCTGTTTCGACCAATGTCTGTCAAAGCTTTGTCCGAGGACATGCAAAAGATGTCGTAAGACTCTCTTTCTCTCTCCCTCCCTCTCAACTCTCATTCAGTCATCAGATATTGTATTTCATTCAAATTAACAAACATTTAGAAACTTTTTGGCATGTTGATCTTAATTATCATTGTAACTGGTATTTTACAATGTACAACTTAGAACTTTGATTTGTCCGAGACTTGTTTCAGAAATGTTACAATTGTGATACTGTCTCTGATGTAAACGACTGTAATTCTACAATGGAATGTCCTGCAAACAGCATGGTATGTCTACTTGTGTGACATTATTTGTATACTGAATATTTAGGATATTTAAAGATCACCATTTCGTTGGTTTATTTTTTCCAGTGCATTGTTAGTGAGTCCTTAGGATTAGATTTTTCCATGACTTACCGATTGGGCTGTGCAACTTATGACGTGAGTATCAATACATCTAGTGTTTAATTTAGGAATTTTATTTATTTAATAACGGAAAGTATTCGAAAGGCATACAATTTTACTTAGAGAAGTTATGTTTCATTGAAAACATTTTCAATAAAGTTCAGTTGGTACTTTGTTTTCTTGCCAAAATAGAATACGGAGTGTATCTGAAATATATTGAATAAATTTCTTTATAAAATAGGTATGTTCGCGATTATTTGGAGTGACTACAACTCAAATCACTCTGATTATTGGAAAAAGGACATCTGAAAAGAGAGCAAAATTAAATGGTGATTGTTGCAGCACAGATTTGTGTAACAGGCACTCGCCTTCACCCCCAAGGATAAGGCGTCTGGAGTCAACACCTGCTACAGCCATTGAAATTAACACAACTGAAATGATGACATCATCAACAGGTTATAATTATTATTTTATGAGTAAGAATTTTTAAAAATTGTTCTATAGGAATCCAGTGTGCATTTGTCCAAATAAGTCGTTCATTCCTGAGTATATGAAAGTTACTTCTCTTCATGAAAAAAAAAAACCGTTCTTTTTTTCTTTTTCCTACAAACTCAAAAGATTCTTAGGTGGTTTCCAATTGTTTTGGTAAATTATTTTATTTTAATAAATGTAAAATTGATATTAAGCCGCTTTTATAAAAATAATAATGTTGTTCTTAATTAGATTTCTATGAAATATTGAATATATCTTACAGGTGCTATCAACTCAAAATGTTTGGATATTGACACATCAGCTTGCCAGAGGCTATCTAGTCTTAATAAAGCAATGTGCAGTGACCCTTGTGTGGTACAGGCTTGTCCAAGGACGTGTGGGCAGTGTTGTAAGAGCCATTCAAATAGACACAATGATATCCATCTTTTATTTTTATAGCATAGACCAAATACAAACATGTAAAAAAAAAATCCATTTATCGTCACGGTAGTTTATTTGGTAGAGAGCCGGAAGGCCGTGGGTTAAAATCCAGGCGCGACTGACCTATGTCGATAAAAAATAGTGAAGATGTTCCTTCGATAAGCGCTCGGCACTTTGAAGTGAAAGTTGTGGGTCTTTCGGATTAGCCCTTAAAAAAACCCCTAAGACCCCGTGTCACGGTGGGCATCGGCATGATTGAGATATCTCACTGCTCAATGGTCCTGGGTCTAGATTCGAAGCCCTTCACCAGTACATGGTGACGTCTCTATATGAGTGAAATTCTCAAACGAGACGTGTAGCAACATATAATCAATCAATAAATGAAAACTACATTGCTTTGAAAGTAATTTTGATTACGAAACATGTATTTCTATTTTTACCATAAGCATCTTGAAAAAATATAGATCCTTTTGATCATTGCAAATGGCAATGGACATACAGTAGTGTCTGAAGGTGGTACTTCCAAGCTTCATCACCTTTTGCCCAACATTTAGTCTAACAATCCCTGAATTAAACACTGCACACTTAACATAATATTTTTAGGGAAAATTATCTAGTTTAAATATTTATTTATGGACTTTTGCGAGAAGCACTGACTTTTACAGTCGACGACTTACTTGGACATTTAAACTTGCCTAATATACGGAGGTACAGAATTGATAATAGAAATAGAAAACCTTAATAGTGGGCATAGATATGGTGTTAGAGGCACCAACATGATTTACCGGTATGCAATCAACGCAAGAGATGATGGGAGGCAGAATTATATAACTTAAATTACCTTATTCGTAAAGGGTAGTATCTCCTTTCAATCTCATTTTCTGGAGGAATCAAATAAGGAAGAAAAACATCCCGGAAGGAAAACTAAGCAAGAATGTGTGAAGAGAGGGGATTGAGGGTAGGGTGGTTGTCGTTCCCTTCCTAGACAACGTAATATGTGCTTTGAAATGGACCATTATTATCGTTTAATTAACTGTTCAGCTAAATATTTATATCGCAAAAGAGCTTCCGTATATTGTCATAGCGTAAAAGTAAGCCGTCGTTTGTAAAAGTCAGCGCTTCTCGCAAAAGTCCTATATAAATCATAAGACCCCACCACCGCTTACCCAGCCACAATCCTTTCGTCTAAGGCTTTGTATTCGATTTCAGTTTTAAATACCATTAAAAACATGACATTGTCTTTAAAAAAACCCTCTCCTTTATCAGTGTCTTGAGTATATAATTGTTTACTTGTTATTTACTTTAGCGGAATGTTATTGGTGTGATCATGTAAAGAATCCTGAACAATGCAACACGACCACACAATGTGATAGAGAAGAGGTTAGAACTTGTCCATACTTTGCTTGTTAATTTTGTGTTTTTAGGTCACCTGAGTCACTCAGGTGAACTATTGCTATCCGTTCTCGTCCGTCGGCGTGCGTCGTGCGTCGTGTGTTAACATTTGAACATTTTTAGCTTCTTCTCTGAAACCGCTTAACCAATTTCAACCAAATTTGGCATATAGCATCTATGGTCTCTGCCCCCCTGGGGCCTGAGGGGTTGGGCTAAAACCACCAAAAATAATGCAATCTTTAAAAATCTTCTTCTTTACTCCAGGACATCAAGCAGTCAAACTGTTGGCATCATTGTAACAAGCATTGAGCCCTCTACCAAAATTGTGAAATTCATGGCCCAAGGGTCAGGGGTTCTGGCCCCAGGGTGGGGCTATATACATCATATAGTGAAAGTGCATTATTTCTTTGAAAATCTTCTTCTCTGCTCCTGGGTATTAAATAAAGTAACTAAGTACATAGTTATGAAGAGCAAGAATGCCTCTTCCAAAATTGTGAAATTCATGGCCCCAGGGTCAGGGGTTCTGGTGTTAGGGCGGGGCTCTATTGATTATATAATGAAAATGCCTTAATTCTTTGAAAATCTTCTTCTCTGCTCCTGGGTATTAAATAAAGTAACTAAGTACATAGTTATGATGAGCAAGAATGCCTCTTCCAAAATTGTGAAATTGATGGCCCCAGGATCAGGGGTTCTGGCCCCAGGGTGGGGCTATATACATCATATAGTGAAAGTGCATTATTTCTTTGAAAATCTTCTTCTCTGCTCCTGGTTATCAAATAAAGTAACTAAGTACATAGTTATGAAGAGCAAGAATGCCTCTTCCAAAAATGTGAAATTCATGGCCCCAGGGTCAGGGGTTCTGGTGTAAGGCAGGGCTCTATTGATTATATAATGAAAATGCATTATTTCTTTGAAAATCTTCTTCTCTGCTCCTGGGTATTAAATAAAGTAACTAAGTACATAGTTATGATGAGCAAGAATGCCTCTTCCAAAATTGTGAAATTGATGGCCCCAGGGTCAGGGGTTCTGGCCCCAGGGTGGGGCTATATACATCATATAGTGAAAGTGCATTATTTCTTTGAAAATCTTCTTCTCTGCTCCTGGTTATCAAATAAAGTAACTAAGTACATAGTTATGAAGAGCAAGAATGCCTCTTCCAAAAATGTGAAATTCATGGCCCCAGGGTCAGGGGTTCTGGTGTAAGGCAGGGCTCTATTGATTATTTAATGAAAATGCATTATTTCTTTGAAAATCTTCTTCTCTGCTCCTGGGTATTAAATAAAGTAACTAAGTACATAGTTATGATGAGCAAGAATGCCTCTTCCAAAATTGTGAAATTGATGGCCCAAGGGTCAGGGGTTCTGGTGTTAGGGCGGGGCTCTTTTGACTACATAGTGAAAATGCATTAATTCTCTGAAAATCTTCTTCTCTGCTCCTGGGTATTATTTAAACAAACAAAGTGCATGGTTATGATGCATAAGGATGCCTTTTCAAAAATTGTAAATTTCATGGTCCCAGGGTCAGGGGTTCTGGTGATAGGGCGGGGCTCTATTGATTATATAGTGAAAGTGCATTAATTCTTTGAAAATTTTCTTCTCTGCTCCTGGGTATTATTTAAACAAACAAAGTGCATGGTTATGATGCATAAGGATGCCTTTTTAAAAATTGTGAATTTCATGGTCCCAGGGTCAGGGGTTCTGGTGTTAGGGCAGGGCTCTTTTGACTACATAGTGAAAATGCATTAATTCTCTGAAAATCTTCTTCTCTGCTCCTGGGTATTATTTAAACAAACAAAGTGCATGGTAATGATGCATAAGGATGCCTTTTCAAAAATTGTGAATTTCATGGTCCCAGGGTCAGGGGTTCTGGTGATAGGGCGGGGCTCTATTGATTATATAGTGAAAGTGCATTAATTCTTTGAAAATTTTCTTCTCTGCTCCTGGGTATCATTTAAACAAACAAAGTGCATGGTTATGATGCATAAGGATGCCTTTTTAAAAATTGTGAATTTCATGGTCCCAGGGTCAGGGGTTCTGGTGTTAGGGCGGGGCTCTATTGATTATATAGTGAAAATGCATTGATTCTTTGAAAATCTTCTTCTCTGCTACTGGAGATTATTTAAACAAACTAAGTGCATGATTATGATAGGCAAGGATGCCTCTTACAAATTTTTTAAATATATGGCCTCAGTTTTTGGGGTTCTTGAGGAAAGGGGGGGGCTCTATTGATTATATAGTGAAAAAGCATTAATTCTATTAATTAATCAGTAATTAATCCTGTCTGCTCCTTAGCGTTGAGCTGATAAATAAATTGCTTAGCTATGATGAAAATGGGAGCTTCGAACAGAATTTTTAAATCTTTTGGTCCTAGGGTCAGGGGTTCTGGCATAATGGGGGGGGGGGTTGATAATATAGTGGAAAAGTGTTAATACTTCGAAGTCCATAGTTATGATGATGAGGGTAACTCTTCCAAATTTGTAAATTTCTTGACTCTTGGTCTTGGGTTCTGGTGTTAGGGTAAGGCTTTGTTGAATCTGTAGTGAAAATGCATTGTACCTGTGAAATTCTTTTCTGCTTCTGGGCATATCGGAAGAAAACAGAGTAAAAGTTTAAATGATATAAGTAAGCGTATTTCTACCAGATTTTTGAACATCTGGACCATTTGTCTAAGCATTCTAGTCCTGGGCAGGGCTCTATTAATTTGTATTCTACTGAGAGAAGTTATTCCCCTTTTCCGTTCACCTTTGATAATTAATCACTGTAAATAATGTATTTGAAAGGTTAATAGAATAAGATAGTTATGCAAGAATGTTTATCATATAATTCAAAAAGTATTTTCTTAGTTTTAATAATCAGGTAGACCTGTAAGTAACAGATAAATAAAAATGAGACAAAAATAACTTATCTTATTAAAAGTTCTTCAAAGACCGTAAGAGAGGTCAATGCTAGAGGTCTTAATATGGGTTTAAAAATAGTAAAGAAGCACTAATAGTTTGTTAATAGTCTGCATGGTGATAGTGTTAAGTGGGGGACAGATTAGAACTTAATTTATGAGTTGACACTGAATACTAGACTAATTATTTTGTTGATCCTGATCTTCCTACTTCTCTTGCTTTAGGGCAACAAAGCTTCATCTATCAGTGTATTTAACTTCTAAATTGTCGTATTATACTCAGGTGACCGTTAAGGCCCATGGGCCTCTTGTTATTTTATGTTGTGAATTATGTTTGAGAACTATTGCTAAGAAGTAAGGGAATTTTTTAGAACTAAAAATCATAATTTTAACACATTGCAGGCGTGCTATGTATTGGAGACTCTTTCATACAGTGGTGAACATTCCTTCAACGTTGGATGTATGCACCAGAAGGCAAGTAAATCAATTACTGTTTTAATTCAGAACTAGAATAACGTTCCATTTGCCTTGCATATCAGTGCACGATTTGTATTATATTAGTGAAAGATAATATTTGTGAATATTTTGAAACTGTATTTAGTACCCATTAGATGCAAACACAGTTACCTTTGACAGGTCTGCAATCAGTTCCACTCCCAAGCTAGTCATGTCTTTGGTAAGAGAGCAGATCTAGTTGAGCTGTCGCTAGATGGCGATTGTTGTTCAGGTGATCTCTGTAACCATCACGCTCTGACCAACGTGACAGCTACTACTACGGCTGCTCCTACAAATAGTATGTTAAGTATGCATACCCCTTCTGGGTAGGGTCAAAGGGGGGTCATACTGGTTTTGGCACGGTTTTCTAAAATCTCATAAAATGTGTAATGCACCATAAACCATGAAATATGGTTGAAATGGATTTAAAATTTAACAACATATTTGCCCATAAACATGTGAAGTGATTTTCACTCATGGTCATATATCAGTGATCAACATCAATGTACAGTTAGAAAGATACATCTCAAAAGTTAATAAACATGTACCGGAATGAATTAAAGCTTTGCTATGTTGTTTCTGAAGACCTAATAGTGGATTTTGACCCAGGATCCAAGGTCATATTTCAAAGGTAAGGAACTGCCCAACCACATGGTGAAATCGTGATCGAAGTCTTATGTCGATAGATAGTTCTGTTCAATATATCAATTCTTCAACGATGTCAATTAATACTTGAGAAGTGTTTTACATGGATTCAATATATGAATTCTTCAACGATGTCAATTAATACTTGAGAAGTGTTTTACATGGATTCTATGTCATATCATCAAGACCTTATAATGTTGGCAAGACGTATAATTAGAGAAAGTGGTTACAGTGGTAAAAAAATCTTTTGATTTGCTTTGGTCAAGTCTAAAAGTTTTACTATTCAGCACCGTCAGGGTACCTCAGCCGGTACTCAGCGTTCGGCACTTTTGCGGTGAAATTTGCGGTTCTTTCGGATGATACCTTAAAAACCGAGACCCCGTGTAACGGTAAGCGTTGGCACAAAAAAGATCAATGCTCATTAGCCCTGAGTGCCGAGTAAAGGTGTAGATTTGCACCCATTTCAAAGGTATATGGTGACGTCTCTATATGAGGGAAAAATTCTCGAATGGAATGTGAAATAACTAACAGTCGCACAATCTAATATTCAGCCTTCTTGATAAATAAAGTATAAATTCAAATCACGACTTAAATCACGGCATATTAAAGCTTTATATCGAATTAACTAGTTCCGAACAAAATACACCCCTACATAGAGAATATTTACTTTCTCGACCTTTAAACCAAAAAAGTCTCAGTATTCGTTATTCAAGTGCTTATTGAAGCTACGCAACAGTATCAGTAATACTCTTTTAGATGGAAACATCACACAGTATCTTATAAAATAGTGTGTTTCTAATTTAATTCTTTTGTGTTTAGTGTGTGCATACACGGCCGCTAATCATCACTGCCCCACAAACTTCCATCTTGTGGACGGTAAATGTTATATGATTGGGAGTACCTCTCTACAATACGAGGATGCTTTGGTAAGTACAACTGTAATATCCATATTCAAATTGCAATATTCAGTCTTCTTGAAATTTGTACGATTTACTAATTATTCATTTCTTTTCCAATAATTTCAATACTTAGAACTTTTGTAAGACACACTGTTCCAAACTGGCTGAGAACCTATCTCATGGAGATTACGGAGCACTTGAACATTTTGGTAGGATCTCATAGAGTTTTTTTAATGAGTATGAAATATTGTCATGTGTAGTAGTCAAATAAAACATTTCGATACATGGGACGTGTACGTTTAAAAAAATTCAAATGTATACTATTGGTACACGATACAAATAAATCTAAATTGCATCATAAGTGAGCTGTCGATTTTATATGAAACTGATTAAATAGAAATATGATTCTGGTTATTGTTAAATTGCTTTTCATTTTTGAGGCAAAGGAATTAAAATAATAATCATCAAATTTGGTTTACTTTTGTTTTCATTCTCAATTTTTTTTTCATGTAATGGAAGGCTAAACCTTTAAAGAAAATAAAATCTTTGGTACCCTATTTAAAATAACTAGAGACTCAAAGTTGATATTAATCTAAGATAATTCAAAATCAAACATTTGAAATTTATTAAAGACCTCATTCCCAATGATACGTTGGTAATTTGGATTTTTTGTGATCCTAGTACGTGGAGACAACGTATACATTGGAGCACGGGATCCACACAGAAATGGTGAGTTTGTCTGGAACACCAGTGGAAGACATGCAGGTAGTTTAAACTATCTTGGAGGCCTTTTAGGATTACACAATCCCAGAACATGTGCAAGTTACTCAGCAGTTCGCCCTGGCCTATATGCTGAAGATTGTTCCAATGCTCTAAGACCATTATGTCAGGCTAGAATGAAATAAAATTATATGTCACATCTATCAGGATTTGTTGCTTCTGATTTGAAAGATATCCTACAGTATATGGTCAAGATTTTCGAAACTGTCCTAGTGACTTGCTGTCTTAAGGTCCTCATCGTTTAGAATGAAAATACTGGTAACTAAACTAAATAGGCTAATGATGATGTAATTCAGATGCGTGAAATTAATTATTTATTTGGTAAAAGGTTAAATTTCGTCGATAATAAATTGTTACAACTTTTTTTATGTTAAAATGTTACTTGATATTGAAAAATAAAATTAAGTTGAATTAACCTTAAGAGAAAATGTATCCCTATAGAAATATTCACCACTTGAAAATATGTATACATCTTGTTTTCATATCATTTTGCAAGACATGGTAATTTCTATTAATAGTCATTATTCAAATTTACTAAAACTCTTACTTTATTTCGAGATCAGCTGCAAGTTAATTCCACCCGATGCATCCAGCAAGTTTAACTATTTGCGAGTATTTGACTCCATGAACTAGTGTGTTTACTAGGCACTGATATTTTCTTTTTCATTTCACAACATTTTATGCACAAGAATATCCTTATATTTGTTTGGAAAAGAAAACATTTATGCTATTAATATCCACAGGAAGTTCTTTTTCACTTCTGGAACAGAAATACAACATCTGTATTAGGAAAACGTAAGTTGTTCGAGTTATTGATAGCTCTATACATTGACGACGCTTCGAGCCAATTCACACAACCTTTGGTATCAGCGTATTCCATTTCCCATCCATCTACTTTTTGAACGAAACTGAGAGGTACGTATATTTACTAGCTCAAATACAGATATTTTATATCCAATTTATCCATGCTCAATTAAGTAATTACATAAATCCAGAGAAAACTAATTCTTCTGTGTTTTGTTTTGAATGTTTGCTTTCATTATCTTATTTGATTATTTATTTTTTTCCTCTTTTCTAATTTTATTTACTGTTTGCCCAAAAAGTGACTGTATAATTCTTATTCAAAAGCTAACTGGGATCAGTTCATATAATTTCTTATGAGGAGAAATACTGCACTGATTCTTTATGACTTTGACATATTTTGCTGTTCCTACAGTAAATGCATCAGATGTATTCATTGTTAGATTGCCTTATAAAGTATTGTGCTGAAATTCTTCCTAATTCATACAATACAATAAATACACAATTACAATGTCTTCACTTTGCATATGAAATACGTTTGCCATTGAACTTATGGCTTCTTGAACTCAAGTCAAAACAATGACAGAAAAATTCTTGTAAGTAGTCCTTAGAATTGTTCGACCAATAAATTGTGAATCCTGTAAATTTGCATTATCTTTGATTTAAGTACATATGATCGTAGGCGTTATCGTCACGATCTATACATTGGTAGGCGACTTTTACTTACTGTGAGACTTCAAATGCACGATTCGCCATGAGGCTTATTGTAGGTAATATGTTCTTACTGCATTTAATATGAATACTTCAATTAAACCTTCAAAATTTATTTTAATATTTTTTGCAATCATTCATATTATCCACATATACTTTGCAAATTATTGACAGCTTTTCCTCCTTGCATTAAAGTCTTAATAAAATTACATTAATATATAAAGATAATATCTAATTCTTTGAAGTATAGAAGAAAGAAATGTGAAATACTACCATAACTGTATGAGGAATTTTGGGCAATTGGGCGTCTTAAAATGGAAGTTTTTGTATATTTTAGGCGTGCTATTATTTACCCTGGGGGTAGTGTGGAGTCTAGAAAATACATGTGACGACATAGATGATGACATCTGTCGAACATTTCAGGCTAAAGTCAGTGTCTGTGAAGACGCATGTCTTTCAAAGTTGTGTCCCAGGACCTGCAATAAGTGCCGTATGCCATATTTGATATATGATTATTTGATGTATTTTTAAGTCAACATTTGGTAAATTCTATTGTCATTAAAATGATCTTATTAGCAAATACAACCTATCACTTGGTCGTATTTTGACTGACATTTTTCATACAAATTGTAAGATTTTTGTTTTATACTAAATGTGACTACGTATTATTATTTCTACCTGATCAATACATAGGGCTAATGGCGGGTGTGACGGTCAATAGAGAATCCTTGGCAACTTAATCCACCTCTGGAATTTCCAGTGGTCGGTGTTTTATACCCTGTTTACAGATTTTTATTGTTTGTAGGTTTTATGAGATCAATCACTGTTCATTATCTTCATCTGATTCAGTCTTTTCCACTTACGCTCAGGTTTTTAAGATATTAATATGAAGCAGTCAGAAAGAACAGAAGTGAACTATCCGACAATGAATAAAGGAATTGTTATGCTTAGTTTATAACAGAAAAAAAATATCAATTAAAAAAAAAAATCTTACCCCTCGCAAACGAAGTTGGGGGTGGGGAGGGGGTTTATTGGAATCAGCATGTCCGTCTGTCTGTAGACAGGATTTTGTCTGGACCTGTTTTCCAAGACTCTTGCATGGATTTGTCTGAAATTTTGTAATCCCATTATTCACTATATGAAGATGGATACCTGGTATTTTTCATAATAATTGGATTTTCACAGTTTTTTTTTTTCATTTTTATAGACTTAGTCATTTAAGGTTCATGTAGGTTTGATACATAGAATGTAAAACTGCCAGTTGGTACATCTGTAACAAATGTGAATTGCAGATTAAAACTACTCATTAAAACTCAAAAATATCAACGAGTATTAATAAAATGTTTTTGTAAATAATCTCTATAAATCTAAGAGTCATACAGTAACCTTATTAAAAATTGCATCAAAATTACACAGTTCTTTTTTATTATTATTATTTAAAGCTTTTTAGCAAAATTTAAATAAGAATCTTTGTTTTCAACAGAATGACATTACATAAATGTAATTTTTTCTATTGTGCTACAGACTCACGGTGCATTACACAGCAGATAGTGTAAATCCTTGGAAGTAATGAGTGGACATGCATCCAGTTAAAGAGTAATTAATGATTTCAATGTGGGAAGCTGTTAGAGCACCTGTGATCTAGCAGGTGTTATCATATTTCCTGGGAATTTGGCAGAAGAATTAAAGATATCTGTTCTCTATAGCTCTCTTAATTATAATTCATTAATTATAGTCTGTCAAATTAAAATACATATTTACAGGATGACCAGTCTATTATCTTAAAAATGAATTTAATATAAAGTTATCAAGATAAATTTGATATAGTATAAATAATAATATGATATTTTTTCAACAAACAAATTGCAGAGTATCATGTATCACAAAGATAACAAAGTGTTGCAATTTTTTTTTTTCAGTCTAATAAAATAAAATATAATTATTAGTATTGATGTTTTATTAGACTGCACCTTAGGATAATAAGCAAATAAATTTTCACTCTAAATGTTTAAACAAATGTAAACATCTCCTAGGTCCTTAGAAAAAAATATTTAGTGACTTTGCACCTTTTCTGAAAAACCCAGCGGGGGTATTTGTCCATTTTGGACAGTACGCTCTAGTTATTTAATATACAACATGAAGCTATATGTATATTCATTGAAAGAATAATCACACTATAATTTGTACATTGTATATCTTACTCTATTTTTTTTTCTATTTTCAAGAGAATCAGACCGTAAGTTGCATACAGCTTTAATTGATTTTGTCTGAAGTTGTGTTTTATGTGCTGTTAAGATTAATGAATTCTCGTTTTTCACAAACACTTATTTAGCAAGGAAATGCTATAGCTGTAATGACGTCTCCTCGTTAGATGATTGCAATACAACAAGTATATGTCCGGATTTCACCTACGTAAGTGAATTTATCAGATAGATATATATGATATATATAATCAAAAACCTTTTTTTAGTTCTGCTTCAAAGGTGTATAAATTAATTTATATCACCGTACATAATGAATCTTACGAGGAATCGTCACTGGTATATTATAGCAAATCGACAACGACTTTCTCTTTTTATTGTATTTATTAAGAAAACAATCAAATATCGTTACATTAAGAAGGAATTTCGCTTAGTTAAAGAAAATAAGACCCGGTGATTATCAAGTATGTTTAAGTGAAATAGTATGTAATCATTATGTCTTTTTAAAAAACAACGTATTCAAGTGTTGTCACATATATTAATACTGTACCTTTAGTTAATAATCTATACTTATAAATTAATAAATTTTGCAAATAAACTCCGAAACGGGTGCACCAGAGTTCTTACTAACTCCACTTTGAATACACTAGATACAAGATGATGTCCGTAAACTATATTCAGATTTCACTTGCATAGCAAGTATCGTACATTAAATTAAAAGTCTGTTTTCATTTTCTATAAACAGCCACGAAATAGCAAAAACGTGAGTACGATGGCGGTTCCGGTTGGCGGATCTAAGTTACTGGCAATTTTTAATGAACTGACAACAGGCAATCGTTTATTTATTTCATAAAACGTCATCACTGAATTATTCAATCCAAACTTGATTTAAATGATATAAAAGAAATAAGTTGGAATAACCGATTAAAAAGAGAAATGTGCAAATTATTTTCTTCATTCGCCGATCGTAACATTGACGGAAACTTCTAGAACATCATATAGCATCGAACCCGATGCTAAAAAGGAAAACGAGGCGATTATAGCTACATGGACATAAAAAAAGCTTTTGTGTGAATGGTCATTGAAATAATGGTAAATCATTTATAACACTATAGTTTGTGAATAATTATATCGAAAGACTATTGGCAGGTTTTCCTAATAAATTTATAGGTAAAATTTGTATATTCCTCACTGAGAGCATAGTGGCAACGAACCCGAAGTACAATTTGTTCTTCGTAATAAATTTTGCTTACATGAAAAGAGAAAATTAATGAATAAGGTATTGTTCAAATACAATTAATAAAATTTTGTCCTTATCAATACATTTCAGTTTTTTTTTTCCTGAATACACGCTTTTGTATCAAATACTCGCTATTAGTAAGGCGTTAAAAGCTAATGTTTACAAAAAAAAAAAACAATTTATCATTAAAATGTGCATATTCTCTGCTTTTATCCTTGAAGGAAATGAAATAAGAACACCTGAAGTACAATATCCATAACATAGTATAACAGGTTTCACAAAAAACTTCAATTAATGAAGTTGTTATTTTTCATGTTTTTACAAAAGGGGGGGGGGGGGTTGACGTACATCTACTTCTGCTCCAAAACTAAATGCAAAGTATTTCTCTCTGCTATAAGCCTGTAGGCTGTCAGTAGAAACCTTACAATATATATTATTGGAATTTTTCTGTCAGTAGTTGTATAACTTCAATTCCCCGGGCTTGCGCGGGATTTCATCTAGTGTCTTATATTTCAAGCACAAAACCCTGCCAGTAAGGTTTTGTAATTAGAGTTTTTATGATGTTTCAGGATTGTTTAGTACATGAAGGTATAGCGTCTGACTTTACAATTTCCTATAAGCTTGGATGTGCCACAAAGGATGTAAGTAATATAACAATTTTCAACCCTGGCATATAAATTTAATTTCTAATAAAATCAATTTTGAATTATTTTTTGTCATTTGCTGTCTATTCAAATTCAGGCAAACAGATTGACCTCTTCAAGAATATACTGAAAGAAAGTATTTCTTAATGCAAATTGTTAGCTCACCTGAGCTGAAAGCTCAAGTGAGCTTTTCTGATCACCCGTTGTCCGTCGTCCGTCCGTCCGTCTGTCCGTCTGTCCGTCTGTCCGTCCGTCCGTCTGTAAACTTTTCACATTTTCAACTTCTTCTCAAGAACCACTGGGCCAATTTTAACCAAACTTGGTACAAAGTATCCCTGGGTGAAGGGGAGTTTAAATTGTAAAAATAAAGGGCCAAGTCCCCTTACAAGGGGAGATAATCAAGAAAAGACAAAAATAGGGTGGGGTCATTAAAAAATCTTCTTCTCAAGAACCACTGGGCCAGAAAAGCTGAAACTTATGTGGAAGCATCCTTGGGTAGTGTAGATTCTAAATTGTTAAAATCATGACCCCCGGGGGTAGGGCGGGGCCACAATAGGGAATCCAAGTTTTACATTGAAATTTATAGGAAAAATCTTTTAAAATCTTCTTCTCAAGAACCACTGGGCCAGAAAAGCTGAAACTTATGTGGAAGCATCCTTGGGTAATGTAGATTCTAAATTGTTAAAATCATGACCCCTGGGGGTAGGGCGGGGCCACAATAGGGAATCCAAGTTTTACATTGAAATATATAGGAAAAATCTTAAAAAATCTTCTTCTCAAGAACCACTGGGCCAGAAAAGCTGAAACTTATATGGAAGCATCCTGGGATAGTGTAGATTCTAAATTGTTAAAATCATGACCCCCGGGTGTAGGGCGGGGCCACAATAGGGAATCCAAGTTTTACATTGACATATAGAGGAATAAATCTTTAAAAATCTTCTTCTGAAGAACCACTGGGCCAGAAAAGCTGAAACTTACATGGAAGCATCCTGGGATAATGTAGATTTTAAATTGTTAAAATCATGACCCCTGGGGGTAGGGCGGGGCCACAATAGGGAATCCAAGTTTTACACTGCAATATATAGGAAAATTCTTTAAAAATCTTCTTCTGAAGAACCACTGGGCCAGAAAAGCTGAAACTTATTTGGAAGCATCCTTGGGTAGTGTAGATTCTAAATTGTTAAAATCATGACCCCCGGGGGTAGGGCAGGGCCACAATAGGGAATTCAAGTTTTACATTGAAATATATCGGAAAAATCTTTAAAAATCTTCTTCTCAAGTACCACTGGGCCACAAAAGCTGAAACTTAAGTGGAAGCATCCTTGGGTAGTGTAGATTCTAAATTGTTAAAATCATGACCCCCGGGGGTAGGGCGGGGCCACAATAGGGAATCCAAGTTTTACATTGAAATATATAGGAAAAATTTTAAAAAATCTTCTTCTGAAGAACCACTGGGCCAGAAAAGCTGAAACTTATGTGGAAGCATCCTTGGGTAGTGTAGAATCTAAATTGTTAAAATCATGACCCCTGGGGGTAGGGCGGGGCCACAATAGGGAATCCAAGTTTTACATTGAAATATATAGGAAAAATTTTAAAAAATCTCTTTCTCAAGAACCACTGGGCCAGAAAAGCTGAAACTTATATGGAAGCATCCTTGGGTAGTGTAGATTCTAAATTGTTAAAATCATGACCCCGGGGGATAGGCGGGGCCACAATAGGGAATCCAAGTTTTACATTGAAATATATAGGAAAAATCTTAAAAAATCTTCTTCTCAAGAACCACTTGGCCAGAAAAGCTGAAACTTATGTGGAAGCATCCTTGGGTAGTGTAGATTCTAAATTGTTCAAACAGGACCCCCTGGGGGTAGGGCGGGGCCACAATACGTATTACAAGGGGGGGGGGAATTTGGTAAAGAACAGCATGGCCAAAGTTACTCAGGTGAGCGATGTGGCCCATGGGCCTCTTGTTTTTATATTCTCTTGATGGGGCAAGATTTTTTTTAGATATAATAAAGAAGAAAATTTGTCCTATATAGTTTCTTATGAGCTTTTGAGAAGTGTCTAGACATTTCATTCTAGAATTCTGCATCATATTTTAGTTCTTATATTAAATTTGGAATCTACAACGCAAATTAAACTGCATTTAATTCAAACCAACGATTAAATTCCATACAAGGAGCATCAAGGGAGGAACGATATTTTGTGGCGGAAGGCTTTTCAGACGAAAATGAACATTTTTTTTTCTCTTTTGAAGTATTTACAGTACTGGTAAGGTTAGATTCCTATTTTTCCATGCAGGCTGCACAAAGAGTTATTTTGTGCAGTTATATGTTTTATGCTGTTCCAGAAGTATTTATTAAATTAACTTTTATGAATTCTACCATCGTTTTGTGACAAATATAATCTGAAAGTCAGGGGGGAAATAGTGCCAGTTTTAACTTAAAACTTTTCAGATAAATCTAAAAATTTACATCATAGACCCCACTTTTGCTTTTCTTTTCTGAATCTATAAGATAACTTTGATCATTCTGCTTAAATTCAGTAAAAATTTAAGACGTTAAAATAAATTGCTTGCTTGTTAATCTTTTCATGCCAGAAAAATTACATTTTGTGAGTGCAAAAAGATCAAATAATTGATTATGCAAAGTAATGTAAGACTTTTTCCTTTGTCACAATTTTTCATATGTCTTTTCAGGATAGAATAAAAGTATATTCAGTCCCATTATTTATCTGGATAAAAAAAAAAATGATGAGTGATTTATTTCAAAGACACAATTTCAGTGCAGTGCAAAAAAGTGCCATAAAGCCAACAGAAGCGTATTCACCCCCTATTTTGTTTCGATTTTTAATGAAGCTATGTGTTTACACCGGTAGGCAGGGGATGCCCACTTCTCCATGGCACCTGATCCCACCTCTGATGTTTTAGAGGTCCGTGTTTGCTCTGCTCCAAAATTGGTATTGTTTAATGGACTTTTGAGCTTGAATACTGTTCGTTATCTCCATACATTTCATACTAAAAATATACCTAAAAATTGAAGACTTTTGATATGAGGATTCAACCTCTTTAAATGCATTTTATGTGTAATATAGACCAATGAATCTATGAATCCGCATTAAATAAATCCTTAATATTAACACACACCAATATCTATCACAAATAGACCACAAATAGATCGATTCGAGTAATTGCCTCTTTAACTTCCGATTTTATAATTTTGGATATAGTGTTTAAATAGAAACTTCTTATATGAAAAAATAAATGATTAATAGATTTGGAATTCATTCAGTTTTTCTTTTTTTGAATCCGACATAATAAGAATATTTGTGCTACAGTTTGGTGTGGTTATAGCTAATTCATAATTGTTTTTCGTGTATTTGAGATGTCCACTTTCTGGTGGATCGAGACTAAATGCTAAAATTCATATGTTGTAAACTGCTGTTGAATCATCTTTGTTCTTGGTGGATCCGTGTTTTTTTTTTTATTTCACAGCCCACTCTTACCCACGAATTTGCGTCCCCACGAACAATTTGTCACATTACTATTGAATCATATGATTGTTTATACGAACTAACCACGAAATTACGTCTCCACTAATCAGAAAAAGTTTGGTTGCCCACAAACATTGGCCATTACAATGGTTTAACAGAATCAATATAAATCTCATCAATTTTTTTTGAATAGTGAAATGGTGCTATGTTTTCTCAAGGTGTGTATTGCTTTATTCGGTGAATCGACCACCACCACCACCACCACATCAGCCACACCTATCACCACAACACAAGCGACCACACCAGTGACCACAACACAAGCGACCACCACCAGAGGAGCGCCTACTCTGGTGGGTAAAAAGAAGAGAAACCGTATTGACGGTGAATGTTGTAGTACTGATCTATGTAACAGACATGTCCCTGTAAAGAGGAAGAGACAGATTATTATCATGACAGGAACCATACCGGATAGAACTGATGTCATGACTACAACAACGATTTATTCGACTTCATCAAGTGGTATTTATTTGTATTTTTATTCTTGTTAAATCTTAAATTCTCAGAGAAAAGGATGTAGATTTTGTACCAAAAATGATGAAAAAGATGCTAAAGGTTTGAATTCAATGACATACTGATATTATAACTTTTTTTTCTATTATAATCCGAATTCTTATGATTATACTGTACATTTTTCCGTCCACACACACTACGTCCTCAACAATGATTATAGAATTTCAATTAAACTTACCACAATGCACCGTAATTCAGATAATTAATGTACAAGTGATACTAAGTGATTCTAATCACCTTTACACTTGTTATTTAAAATTTTCGTAAGTGCGTCAGGATAACAAAGATTGTACAAAAAAAGGTAACTTGCTGTCCCGAAGAAGTCTGACAGAAATAAATGTATATACTTTATAAAAGACCTTCAGCTTTTATCTTTTTAGCATGTGCTGATATCGACATTGCTTCCTGTCAAAAACTTGCTTCTCTCAAGAGGGACATGTGTAATGATGACTGTTTAGTGCAAGCCTGTCCTCGCACCTGTGGGAAATGCTGTTAGTCTTTCGAGAAGTCATTGAAAGGAAATGCTAAAAAATGTTATTCTGGAGCAACTCAAAAATCATAATGCAAACATTTTCCTGTACACAAAAACGTTTTCCCCCTTTTGTAAGAAGAAAGAATATGGTTCTTTTGCACTGTAACTTAAAGCTTATTTTTTTTAAAATTACAATCTTATATGGCTTTGTAGCTGAGTGTTATTCCTGTCCATTTGTGGGATCCCCAGAAAACTGTTCCAGTACTTCTGTCTGTTTACCAGGGGAGGTCCGTTACTACAGAAATTAAACTAGAATTAATCATTATATTGTACATAAATCTTACAGAAAATAAATCAAATGCATTATACTCGTAATATTAATTGGTTAATGAAATTTGAAATAACAGCAAAAATACATAGCTTTTAAACTCCATCTTACACTGAATAAACATAAATTAGCGTACATCTAAATGATTACTTCTTTAAATTTTAACAACAAAGATGACAACTTTTTTTCAGAAATGCTATGTACTAGAAAAATATATGGATAATGCTGAACACGGTTATCAAGTAGGATGTCTTCATGAAAATGTAAGTTGTTTATTTGCAAACATTATCTAAAGAATGCACCTTTTTATTTTTAAAATTGAAATAGACAATAAAACCCCAAAATTAAAAGAAATTTAAAGAAAATTGATAAACATAATAATGCATCCTAGGTGTGTAGAAGATTCCATGATAATGCTGGAAATGTATTTGGTCGAAGGAGTGACCACGTTGGTTTGACTTTGGACGGGAATTGTTGCAATGGAGACCTTTGTAATCACCACGCCCTTTTTCACCCCACATCAACCACTACGCATGCACCAACACATGCACAGTCTACCACTCCAGCACCATGTGCGTTATTGTTTAGAATTGAATATTTATTTTTGAAGTATACATCTCTATAGCTCAGTAGCTAAGTACTTCGATACTAGCTTGAAAATACGGATATATATTTAATTGCTGTGGTAAAATTTAGGATTGTCTCCCCCATGCATAGCTCTGATCCTTCGACGTATTTGACTTCAGTCTTTGGCACCTTTTCTAAGCTATTCAAAGTCTTTTTATTTAAATATTTTGGATTTTCAATTTTTGGACATGAGCATCACGAGATAACTAACTCGTTTTAATGAGTAAAAACATTGTTGAAACGGTTTAAATTAACTTGTTCTAGCGAGTAAATTATCTCCTTAAAACAATTTAATGAAAAATATTGATTGAAGCATGATATTTAAAGCTTTTGATGTAGTAGTTTCGAAATGCAACAATAAAAATATATACATAGTAGTTTTATCGATATTAATATGCTAGTATTTCTAGGGAAAAGGAAGATGGAGAAGAATTTTGAAGAAGAGGGGTATGGGGGAGACATGGGGGCAGGTAGATTGTCCCCACTGACGTAGATATCAGTAAACATCATCCTGATTAATAAAAAATCAAAATATTTGCAAGTTTAGTAAAAATTTTATGATTTATTTTATTATAAAAATCACCAATCTGTCTTTGATACAAGTATTATGTGCTTGCACGGTATACATAATAAATATTGTGAGGAGTAAAATAAATAACGACAGGTCCCTCTTCCGGTTTTAATATTCAATTCCTAAATACAAGTAGTGCTGTGCCCATTCGAGGATACATCAAAAGTAGCAATATTGTAAAAGTGACACTGGCTATGTAAACTTTGTAAATATTTGATGTTCTGTCACCCTGTGGTAAACACATAGACGTGATCCTCAACACTCTTGTGCACCAACCCCCAACTCAAAAAAAATATCGACAGTGAATCATGACAGAATATCATATAAACTGTAAATATCAGCAGATCATATACACCTTTTTATTACTTAGAATGATATATCATTTTTGCTTCATTGAAGATAATCTTCATAAGCTTAATCACGAGTTAAAGGGGGTGGAGGGTCAGCCAAGAGAAACATTGGACAAGCAAAAAGGAAAAAGAGATTTGATAATTCAATTATGTTATTTTCGAGATATATTATCAACTCAGACAAAACAGCTTGAGGAAGGGGCACAATAATACTCTTGCCACTCCCTCTCTTCAAAAGTGGTGAGGGGGGAGGGGGGTATTAGGCCCTTATAACTACCCCTATGGTCTGACAGCTGACGTATCAATCCCACTTCTTCAAAAACTAAAAAATAATGATATATCTATAACACTATAATCATATATGATAGCAAATATATGGTACAAGTTTTGACTCTGAGTCCCGAGTGAAGTGACGTTTCATTAGAATTCCCACCCTGAGGAGTTAATTAACATGTAATAGCAATATTTGTTTCACTTTTTTCTCTGGAAATATTGATATATTTATATATATATATATATATATTCTTATTTCTCCATATTCATAAAACTTAAGTAAATTTATGTAATTTACCAAAATATTTACAATTCTAAAAATAAGTAATAATATATTAATATATACCAAGTTGTGGACCTAGGCTGCATACATAGGTGTCACAGCTACATTGTAGAAACCATATCTGGACCTGAACCATACAACGTATAGTTGTATTTACTAATTTCACAATATACAATATTTACATATTCTTTCAGGTCAGATCTCATCATAAAAGATATTTCATATATCAGTGTAACTTTTAAAACAGATCTCTATAGATTTATATTCATTCAAATCATTTGCTATTATTATTTACACATCTTCCATTTAATCATCAAATACTATTATAACTTCATTCATACTCATTCATTCAACAAAGATAAAGTGTTAGTAAAAGAAATTAAAGAACTTACTGTGATCAGGTCTTATAGTCCAGTCAAAAATATTTGTACTGTATATATAACTAATCAGACAAGATCCCAGCACTATGGCTTGTGGCTGGATTCAAAGTGAATTTTAAAAGAACAAAGAGTAACTCACTAAGGAATTTGACCTCAATGACCTACCAATAAAATCTCTGCAAAACAAGAATAGCCAATCGACTATTTCTAACCTCTAAACTGGTTCTCATATATACTAATGAATAAACTAGAGAGTTCTAACTATGAAAGATAACTCTAAATCTAAAATAAGTATACCATGCAATATGTGCAGTAAGGTTAGTAAATGTAATTGTCAAACGGAGTTTAAGTTTAAGTTCATATTTATTTATTTATGGCAATGTGTTTATTTATTAAATTATTTTATATTCAATTTATTTACAGTTTAAAATATATATAGCAAATAACCCATTATTATATATATATATATATATATATATATATATATATATATATATATATATATATATATATATATATATATATATATATATATATATATATATATATATATATATATATATATATATATATATATATATATATATATATATATATATATATATATATATATATATATATATATATATATATATATATATATATATTAAAATAAAATCCAAGATAAACAAAGTTCACATTTAATTATTACACTAAGCGCTTTCGCCGTGAGGCTCTTCAGAGTGTAACAAAGTTTATAAAAACAATACAACTTGGTTGTTATGACGTCGTTATTGTGACGTCATAAAGGCAGCCTTATATATTGGCGCAGGTAAATGTCATTAGGGCGCCAAAAGTAAAGTCATGCGCACTCGAATTAGACTCGATCTCGTTAAGTTAAAACACAAGATACAATTCAAAATATGTGTATAAATAAGGAGATATAACACTTTATCTTGAGAAGACACCTTAAAATAAGACATTGTACAAGTTATGACACAAATGTAGAGACTTTAACGCTTCTTTACAAAAAAGATGATCATTTTGCCTTTTAAAAAATACAACATTCTGAAATCGTCATGATGAAGGAGATTAATGGCATCTGGAGTAGTTTCAAATGAATTTGAATTCCATATAGGAGCTGAATAAAATGTAGACAGATATGATAATCTAGCTTTAAAAAAGAAAATTTTAAATTCTATAAACTGAAATTTTTACTATTTTACATTTGTAAAACACAGAAAATGCATATTTTTCTTTCAAAAAATAAATTTTCAACAAAGAACAATATAATTTAAACATTGAAAGCATCAAAGGTTATAGAGTTTAATGGCAAAAGAAGTTCGTAACGTAATTCACTGTATCTGTGTGACAATGAGATATTATTATTTTGTTTAATTAGTACTTATCTGGAAACTGATTGTAATTTTTTTTTTCAAATATCACTTCCACGATAAAAATTGATGAAATATATCGGCTAAGATTATAGTTGTCCAACAAAGATCCAATTTTCTTTGAATTCCGTCAGTTTGTGAAACGAGTTTTGTGAGAGTTTCTTTTATGTATAAAAATAGCGTATAATGATTTATTCACATTAGGGTTTTTTGCAGGTTAAATACCTGTAATTTTTAAAATAAAGCAATCTTTTCGTAAATCGAGCACTTAAGACAGAGTTAATTATCTTGTCATAATGTGATTAACACATTCTCAAACATCACATCTCAAACATAAAGGAAAATTACCGCAATTTTTTAATTAAGAAATAATGTATCATTTTTAAACATCTATCGGGATATAAATACGGGTTGGTCACGAGATCAAAATCCATAAAGCTTGTACGAACCCGTATTTATATCCCGATAGATGTTTAAAAATGATACATTATTACTTCGTATTTACATTTATGACTTATTTATATTTTATATTTTCCTGATTATAATACTTTACGTGTGAAATGTTTTATTTTTCAAACTCAACGGCACGTATTTGATCCATTGATTGCGCGTCGACCCTTTATGACGTCACTGAGAAATAACGTCGAACGTTTATGACGCGAGGAACCCGTGTTTATACGGATATAGATACGCGTTGCTTTTAATAGTGTTATATAAAAGAAACGTTTGCAAATATAAATATCATGCAATATGCGTTGTATTCCTTTTCTGGTCTACGTTGCAAATATCAAGAAACAAGAATTTACTTTTTTGTAAATTGATCTTAATGTACTTTTAATAGGCATTTTTGTATTTGAGAAATGTGATTATTTTATTGTGAATTATCTTTTTTTAATTTCTAACTGACTTTCTTTTTATAGTAATAAATTTCAGGATAATTGATACATTATATATATAATGACTACATATAAATATACCAAAGGTTCGTTAAACAAAGCTGACATAGCTGGGAAAACTAAACTAAACTTCTTTTCATCAAAGACATTATCATGGTTTCTGTTGGTTGCTTTATATTGCAGACGGATGCAAGTATACGCATAATAGTCACTGCCCTAATGGGTTTACCTTAGTTGGAGGGAAATGTATTCTTGTTCGGCTGCATTTAACGACGTACAGCGGAGCAAAGGTAACCTGCAAAGAAGTATAAAAAAAAATAATTACAAAAGAGCGAAGGTAATTTACAAGTAGTATCAAAAGTGAATGACGAAAGAGCGAAGGTGACTTAGCAAGTAGTATCAGAAGTGATTTACAAAAAAGCAAAGGTAACATACTAAGGAATAGCAAAAGATAATTACAAAAAAGTAATAGCATGTTACAAAGTGGTATCAAAAGTTTTAAAATTCCAAAAAAGCCATAGCATGTTACAAAGTGGTATCAAAAGTTAATTCCAAAAAAGCCATGGTAAGTTACAAAGTGGTATCAAAAGCTAATTCCAAAAGAGCCATGGTAAGTTACAAAGTGGTATCAAAAGTTAATTACAAAAGAGCCATAGTATGTTACAAAGTGGTATCTAAAGTGCATTACAAAAATAAAAAGGTAACTAACATACAAACATGGGCAGCAGAGATAACTTATAAGGTGGAAAAGATACCTTACAAAAGAAAATAGGAAGAATGTCTTTCAGAAAAGCACCCACATTGAGAAGTTATACTAAATTTTATAGTATAACATACAAATGGTGTCAATGGTGTTTTATAGAATATCATGCAAATTAAGATCTATGAAAGGTAAACAAAAAGTGTATGGATTTTTGAAGTTCTTTATTTGCTTCTTTTTATTGGGGATGGGTTTTTTCCTCACATTACACTAAAAGTTTTTAAAGAACTATTCTTAATCAGCAGTGGGTTATTTTTTTTTTAATGCTTTAATGTAATTTGTATGACAACAATTTAAAAGATGTTCAATTTATAGGAAAAAAAATGATTTATTATTTCGATTATAGGATTCCTGCAAAAATCATCACTGCGCAAAACTAATGGATAATATATCTGAACGTGACGCAGCTAATATCCGTCTTTACATCAATCGGCTTATTCCTGGTAGGTTGTGTACTGATTGATTGATTGTTATTGTTATCGTTTAACGCCGAGTCGGCAATATTTCAGCCATATTTCGGTGGAAGTTTTGTACTGATCCTTTATTGTAATAGGGTTATCCTTAATTTTTTTCCATAACTTCTCTCTCCACTCATCTTCTTACAGTTCGCAATAGTTCAAGCAATTAGATTGCCTTTAAACATTTTCATATTGTAACATATTAAAATAATATAGTTTTATGAATTACTTGAAAACTAATGTGTACATTGAATATGACAAAATTTATTCTTTAAGTTAGTTATTCGTTTTACGTTTTTGCTATTACCATTTATAGATATATCTCCTGATGGCAAAGCGTTGCTGGTTGGTGCTCACACCAACTCCCATCATCACCTGGTGTGGGATTCATCCGGGCATATGGTTCCAGGTGTCCCTCACGATCCAGCTCCCAACACGTGTGTCGTCCTCAGGACCGATGACCACAACGATCACCACCACGGACATTTCTTACGCCCCACACCCTGTGATCATCATTACTTTTATATTTGTGAGGCGGAATTTAAATGAACTACAACGCTGTTATTTTTTCCCCTTTTTTGGGTGGTGAGGGGGATTTGCTTTTCGTTTTGACAGAAAAAATAGTGATTAAGAATGTGGAATAGTTGAAACTCTTAAACATACTCAGCGATTGCATTTCAGCTTCAACTGATGTGTTTTGTTCTTTTTCATCGTTCCTGTGGTCCGTAAAAAGCTTAGAATTACGGACCCAAATTTGGCAAACAATGACCACGTTTGACGAGTTACACATAACTTATGAAGTAAACATTTCATGCAATGGTATCAATGGGGGGGGGGGGGGTGCTACTTAAATTTCAACAAAATAACGCAATAAAATCATGACAAAATATCCAAAATATCTAGACCTGTTTATTCTTCTTGCAAATTTCAAGTTCATTGACCAACCACCAATTTTTGCTCACTGATTAAAATCTTAGATAAATAATAACTTTATTTAATATTTCAATATATCACTAATCAATAGTCAATATTATCCATTCTCTAATTTTCTAAAACAGATTTTGTGTAAAAAGTGTTTTTACACAATTTCGTGTTTTGAATGTTTCGCTGTGCAAGAACTACGCAATAAACCTTCTTCATTACGACAAAGGTCTTCACAGAGACACTACAGGAATTGATGGTTTTGGATGCACGAAGTCATATTGACATGCAAATTTTAGTATTTTTATTTAAACTTGTTTTTAAATCACAAATCTACATAATTTTATTTTTCTTTGACGGCTTATTTCGAGGTACAATTATTCAATTAGATTTGATTTAATAAATTGGCAGTCGTATATTTTCACTGCACTGTTGCTCCCAAGAGAGAGAAGGGGGTGGATCAATTAAGGGTCATGTAAACCTTGTACAGATGTACAAAATTTCATTTATTAGACAATATTAGAAAATCATTCCCATCATTGGTGGAGAAGACTTTCAAATACTCTAAATATTAAACGATTAAACCCAAATTATTAGATGATTGCTAGAATCATTACAATTGAAATCACTAGTATCTCTTTTTCTTGTATTCTATTTCTATTCTAATTCTGTTTCTGCTATGAGAGAAACTTCAGACGTATCGTGTTTTAATTTATTCAAGAAGTGATGTAAATCAAATGTGCATTCTCGAAAAACTCATAAAAAAAAAAATTCAGAAAACATGAAATAATAATTTGTTTTCCAAAATTAATAACCTATGGATGTTCAATACTTTACACAACCATTTATGGCGTTAAATTAAAGACTAGGCTACATAACTTTATAAATCACAGCTTCTTCAATAAAAATGTAACTCAGATATTGTTGTTAGCCACCTACAAAATTACTTTGTTGAATTTGCTTTTTTCATTTGTTTGTCAATCTGATATATATCAGATGAACTCGAAATAAAAATACAACACAGATTTTATTAGTCTGACAATTCAAGCTTTGAAACTTTGAAAAGACAACACAAGTACAGAGATACTCACCAATAATGGGAGGTGCTGGCTGTACTCAAACAGAACCACCCACGTGTACAGCAATCCCTATAAATAACGCAGAGTGGGGATCCCATGGTATTCACACGTATTACGTCACGATAAAAGCAGAGAACGTAGTGGATCTCGCTACATTTGGTGTTTCAGAACCTTACGACCATAATGCGAAGCTTCCTTCAACTGGCATTGACTGTTTCATATTTTTTATCTTTTACTTGCTAGAGATGTTTATGGCAAACTAAACAAAACAATATGGAAAAAGGACGACAAGCTTTTCCATGTAACTTCCCTTATCTATATAGTAACATTTCACTTTCACCTGCATACGGTGTTTATATCTCCCAGCTGATTCAGTACACAAGAGTATGTTCTAAGTATAATCAATTTAAAACATAGGCAGGTTCCTAACAAAAAAGGTTAATATTACAGGGCTTCCAAAAATCTCGTTTAAAGTCAGAATTTCGCATGTTTTATTATAGTTATAATGACCTCGTTTGCTAATACAAACTATCGTCGAGTCGTATTTTGACCAACATGTTTTATACCACGTGTTCGTCCATTTTTTTTTTCTTATTAATTTCCACTATGGATTACTCCATGTACCAGATCTATACTGAGAGCTAAAGCGGGTTTGTCTTGTTTACAATATGTATTATTTAAGGATTTTTGAGATCGATCACTTTTCGTTATCTTCACCTTTTCAAAATGTTATAAAAAGAATCAAGTCCAACCAAAGTCTTTAAGTTTGACAGTAAAGAAATTGTCCCATCTTCTACTCACTATAATCTTGGACTTACATTTTCGAATTCTGGGAAATGGACAAACCACATCGATAATGTTACTAAACTGGCTTTAAAAGAAATTGCACTTCTTTGTAAATTGAAACAATCATTAAATTGTGATTTCTTAACAAAGATGTTTATTACATTTATCAAGCCCTTATTTGAATATGCATCAAAAGTATTGGAAAATATTTCCGCAGCTGACTGTGAAAGGCTGGAGAAACTTCAATTAGAAGCTGCACGTATTGTAACCGGCCTTCCTATTTACGTTCCTCGTGACTCTTTACACCATGAAACAGAATATGGGAAACACTCGCTTATAAACGAGAAAAGAGAAGTTATGTTTAATGTTTAAAAAAAAAACATGGTCTTGCGCCAGAGTATTTATCAAATCTATTACCTCCTGAAGTCTCACAAACAACCCAATAAGATTTACGTAATTTTAATAATATTGTCATACCCCAATGTAGAACAAACTTATTTAAAAAACTCATTCTTTCCATTAACAATATGGATCATGAAACGTCTTGCCTACTGAGAACAGAAACCTTGATATTGTAAATGCTTTCAAAAAAAGACTCCTTAAAGATGAATCTCCCCAAAAATATTTTTTCTTTTGGTGAAAAGAAAAAAAATCAATTTTTACTAGACTGAGTCACGACGTAAGTCTCCGTAAGTCAGATCTGTTTAAATTTAGGCTTTCAGATAACACTGCATGCTCTTGTGGATATACCAATGAAAACACTGAACACTTCTTTTTGTATTGTAAAAATTATGCTGAAATAAGAACAGAATTATTTCACACCATACAAAATAACAAAGAAGCAACAAACCTTGACATAATTCTATTTGGGGACCCAAACTTGGGCCAACATTATAATATGAAATTTTTAAAGCCGTACACAAATTTAATTAAAAATCTAAAAGATTTGTTTTGAATAACCAGCGTAACTATTCTGTATCTATTACAACCCCCTTCCTTTCTTTCCTTGCACCCCTTCCACCCCTTTCTAGTTTCCTTGCACTTCATTGTACATTTGTTTGTTGTACACCACGTGTATATGTGCCATTTTGTTTATGTTGGAGAGGACAATCTAAATCGGTATCCAATCCTGTTGATTACGTTTCAATAAAATATGTTTAAATACAAAAATAATCAAGTATCACATTTCAAACGTTCTGCGATGGGTTTTTTTTCTATTCAATCAATAATAACTCCGAATTGGTATTTCTCTCGTGTTTTTTTTTCATAGTGCAAATGGGCAAGTATGATGTCATGAAATTCTATTTACGTTGGCTGGATTATACGTGGTATATCCTTACAGGTAAATAATATAAGGAAGGGAAAAAGAATGTTACTTTGTTTTCCGGGATGTCAAATATTTATAAATGATTTCATTTTTTGGCTTGGTTTAAATAATGGTATTTTGTTTACAATCATAATTTACATTTAGAATTTTATTGAAGTTTATTTTTTTAAAATTTTGTATTACTCCTTTATATAGCTATAAAACGTATCATTTTAAGTTGCAATCGTAAAAGTTGCATCATACCACCACTAATATGCACGTTACAAAAATAATTTTTATTTCTAGTATTGTTTGTCTATATTTTTAGTATTGTTTTTCTAGAGGCTAAGCATATGCAGTGTTTTGTATTCATACATAAGAATAATGAAGAAAAAGGGAAAAATCAAAATGGATTTTTGTAATATATCTTACTTTGGCAAAGTAAGCATAATTTGATTATTTTCCTGACTTACAACTTGTGCTTTTGATTGTAATTCAATTAGAGACAAGGTGATGGTAAATGAATTAAATTTTTATTGTAATTGACCTCATCTCTGGTTTAAATTCATCTGTATGGAAACCTTTTCTAGCATTGTCAAAGGCCAAACGTTATATTGTCTAATCATCAATGCAACTTATAATGTAACGATCTTATGTAATACCTCCCAATATTTCTATCAATAATTTATGCAGCTATAGAGAAATAAACAAAGCACCCTGTTTTGTATATACAGGGATGAACAATTGCAATCATTGCAGACAAAAAGTACATTACCTGCTAAGAAGTTAAGTAAAGTAGATCCGATGAAGAGGAATGTCGCACTATTTAAAGTATGTTATCTTCAGGTTAGAAAGTACGTTAGTTTTTTTTTTTTACTGGAATGCGCATGCTGGAGAAAGATCATTTCAGCTTCACATTACTATCTAAAAAACACATTTTATATAAGATTTGAGTTTTGTCATCTAATTTGTACAAACAAATATAAAAAGAAGTTCCAATGCAGGAACTGGAGCATGTAAGCGAATATTTATTTTTTTAAACTGATGATAAAAACTGCAAAACTGTAAAATACTAAAATTTCTGAAATTTCTAGAATTTAATGATATCATCTATTTATTAAACTTACTGTACCTTCCATTTTAGCATTGAAATTACAGTGAATGAAACAATGCATAAAGTACTTTAGTGATTCTATATTGATTATAGCGACGTATGAGTATACAGGGTGATAATATTGCTAAGGTAGTTTCATAAACCCCCTCCCCTAAAATGTTTCACTGTCTAACAATAAATTAAATGAATCAGTAGAAAAGAATCAATTGTCCAGAAAACTACATTTGCGCATAATGTCAGGTGTCAGAATATACAATATTCTAAGAGTCCTTCTATATCGTGCAGAATCCTGGAAGTTGACATCCAAAACAATCAACAGAAGAGAAGTCTTCCAGATCAGATTCGATGGATACTGTGTATATTCTGGATAATGACAATCAGCAATGAGGTATTGCCTTCCAGATCAGGTTCGATGGATACTGTGTATATTCTGGATAATGACAATCAACAATGAGGTATTGTGCAGGAGAACAAAACACCCTCCCTGGATATCAAGAGGGGAAGATGGAGGAGCATAGGTCACTCTTTAGAATGCACCCAGATTCCATCCTTATGATTGCAATGAAAAAAGACACCAGCAGGGAAGAGAAAGGGAGAAAGACTTGGAAAATATAGAGACGGTACACCAAAAGAGAATTGAAAGAAAGAGCACAATGGTAAGGGGAGATCCAACATTGGTCAGAGGACAAGCTGTGATGAAATACTCTGGTAATTGCCTCATGTGAGAACCAGCCTACTAAGGATTAAGAAATTAAGTAAAAGTAATATAGTACAAGTGGATAATATACAGGAGAAGACTGTTCTCGTACAATTGTAATTAAACATGAATAACCCTAATATACATGAACTATAGGAATACCTCATTGCTTCGTGCTATATTAAATAAAGCTACCGATTTTACACATACCCTTAAAAATCTAAATACTGAAAGCACTAATCCTTAAAATTGATGCTTTTTAAAAGATTTCCCAACTGTAGGATAGCTTATTTCATTTTCAAAGCTGTCTAAATTGTAAAAATGATGTATTGAGACTACAAATTATAGTCCAAAAGCTTGGTAAATTACCTGTACACAACGATCGAAGGTTCAGCAATAGAATTCCTGAGCAATGTTTTTTTTAATTAATCAGCTCCAAATGTAGAATAAAAATACCCCCTGGTCATTGATATGCATTATCAAAGGTCAAATTTGAGGCTATTTAAGCCGAAATGGGAAGGTCTTATCTCTAATTGCAGTTCATAAATAGCAATACACATATTTATAGAGTATCAGAAGTACATCGTGCCATCTGTGATAAGTCAAACACGTAAACATAGTCTTATGTATGCCTACAAATAAAAGTGATATCTACACATATTGCAGGGTAGATATATACTTGTTAAACAAATCATAGAAATAATTTTACCGTTGCATGAAAAATATATGCAAAAATCCTGTATTTTTTTTTTATTCTTAGATAGTTTGGCATTTATTGAACCTTACTGAAAGGTTCTGTCTTCAGAACTTGCTTGGGAATGAGAAAATTTCCATTCTAATCAATATGTATATTCAGGTAACTAGTCATTGATATGCTTAACAGTTTCACAAAAAAATATAATAATTTCAATAAACTATAAATGAAGACCCATTTATTATTCCAAATAATCCTTTCTGTTACTGCATGTTGCATCAAGATTATTTGAGAGGTTTTTTTCTTCTTCTTTTTTTATTTTGCCTACACATTTTTGACAAGCACCGGTAGTCTTTGTGGTGAAGGTCATACTTGAGAGATGCGTGATTTTCTTAGGGATTACTTTGTCTGACGTCAGTCTGTCTGTCCGTCTGTCACATATTACATCTTGAGAACTGTAAAAGTTAGACATTTGATATTTGTCTCATGCATTGCTTCAAAGAATGACTTCTAAATATCAAGGTTACCGACCTCATTACCTCTAAACTTGAGCTTTGACTTTCTTTTCAAAATACACGATATTACCGGTATTCTTTGACTTTTAAGAGGTTATTTTGTGTTATTTGGCAAGTGCATTACTTGTAATATAACGTTGAAAAATATCAGCGTTACAGTCCATCTGACCTTGACAATCAAAATTGTATTGAGGTTTGATAACGATAACATAAAACAATAGCCAAACGTTGGCATCTAAGTGCAGAAATTTGGCGATAGAAAATTTTAAAAGTTTAAAAGATCTGTCTATGGGGCAGTTTTTGTTCAAGATAAATCTTTTTTATCGGGGTACAGAACAGAGATTAGAGATAAAATAGAGATCATTTTCTGTTACGTAAATCTGAATCTTAGCATAAGAATTACTGACATAAGTTTCAGCTTGTATCAAACATTGAACAATCTGTAATAGCAAGCAGCCAATCAGTTTCACGTAGACATTACTACAATTAGTATAGGTCACATTTAGATGTTCTTGCCTGAAATTCAAATGCCACTTTTGAAATATTTTTTCAGCACAAGAAATTAGCTTAAAATTATAAGGACAATCAAGTTTGTAACTTAGAATTGCATCATAAAAACGCAATATTTTTACTTGCACTTACTTATGTATATTCAAAAAATTTCTTTCGGAAGACATATTTCATGCAGTTTCTTTTTGCTTTACTTCTTTTTTATCTCTACTCTCTAAATATGACATGCAAGCTTTTTTTATCCCCCCCCCCTGAAAAGCGGGGGTGTATAGTGATAGGGGCGTCCGTCCGTCCGTCAGTCTGTTACGCTTTGGGGTACACATCTCTTATCCGCTCTTATACCACTGAATAAAATTTAATAAGTCTTTCACAGAATCTTTGTTACATTGTGCCATTGTGCACATCTTAATTTATTTTTTGATCGGACACTTATTTCGGTCTCTCATAGAAAAACATGAACTTTGCCATTATAATCATATGGGAGGCGGAGGTATTATTTTGTAAGTTCAGTGCTCACAGTTCCTCTAGTTTTCTCTACAATTATGTCATACAAATTTCTTAAATGTTTTCAGCTGCATGCCAAAGTTTTATTGTTCGGGAGAAGGAATAAAATGCTTCAGTAACAAGGAATATGTGAATGATTTACAGTAATCTCCGCAACAGAACAAGAGTTTATGAATAAAATAAATTCTTTACAATTTGGAATGAGTGCATTGCACTGAGGGTTTATAGGTAATCCTCGATATCATTTATCTTAAGCCTTTTGTACCTTCCTGAAGAGGTCATCTGAACAATACGCTATGAAGAATAATTTAGGTAATCCTATTCTTTTGACATTTTCTTGAAAAATCTTCATTAAGGCATCTAGAACTTGTTCTAAATTCACTTTGTTTCACTAATTCTAAATTAACTTCAACAGTTTCCTTCATTTTAAATTGTATTCACCCCAATGTTTTCCTTGTCAGACAGAAATGGTTTAGGCATTATATTTACCAACCGGAAGTGCTCTTCTGCATATCTCTATGTTAAGATTACCACTGATTTCATTTTTTCTTTCTTTTTGGATTGAAAACTTTTGCGATTTTACTTTCAGCTATTTTCCCTGAAACATAAATTACAAAATAATTTGAATTACTTCAAGGGCTTCTAATATATTTTTGGTCAAGTTAGATGTGTAAATTATCAAAAAAGGATAAAACAAAAATAGTTTATCAATAATTGTTCATGATTTTCAAATTTCTAATAAAACTTATCTCTTATTTATTCTAAGGTATATTTCTGTGTATCCTTGGTGTAGCGTGGGGTCAGGACTCTCTGTGTGACGACATAGACATGGATGTATGTCGAACATTCAATCTTCACGTCAACATATGTGCGGATCCGTGTCTTTCTAAACTCTGTCCTAGGACCTGCGACAAGTGTCGTAAGAAAAATATATTTTGTTTTTTAACCTCAACGTCAAACAACCTTATTGCAGTATTCAATCAAAATACACTACAAAAAAGTTAACATAAATGAATTGAATAAGAAGTTACTTACGTACATATTTATCTGGGTTTTTTTTTTTTTGTTTTTTTGTTTTGTTTTTGTTTTTTGTTTTTTTTACTTAAGCATTTAAATTTAAGGAAAAATTATTTGAAGCATCCTATGAAATGACACTTTGAATACACTGGATTTTCTTTAATTTGATCACACAACAAGGTTAATCAATTACAAATATAAAATATCCAACCGATGGGCAGGATGTTTATATATTCATATTGTACTGAATGAATAGTTAAAATACGCGTTAACTAAATACAATTGGTGACGTCATTGAGTTTATTGATATTATAGCATATATATGTAATATTCATAAAGCAATTACAAGATCTACAAATTTCATAAAACAGTAAGTTTCTTTCTTAACAAGTCCAGTAACTTTGCCATTTTCTGCAAAAATATTTCCAAGTTTATTTTGATATTGAAATATGCATGTTCTAGAAGCAGTGGATGAAAAAAAAAAACCCTTTGAACTATCACTTGTTTTGCTTTTTGAAACGCAACAGATGTAAATCTAACATTTTAAGCAAAAAAAAGCTACCACGAAATAACGAAAATACATATAGTATTTTTCGGGCTTTTTACTTACATAAGACTTTATTTAGATTAATGATTCCAAATTTAAAAAAAAACAACCAAAGTATATCAAATAGAAAGCCATCGTAAATGAACTCCAAACACTTAATCTTATCATTGTATGTTAACAATATTCTGTACAGCACGGCATTTTTTTTTTTAATTTTTCAAATAGTGAAATTACTATCACTCTTTATTTAATTATTTCCTGAAGAAGTTCTTTCTTCAGGAAAAATAGATCTTAAAAGATGTGTAAACAGATTAAACCATCAATGATATAATTTCAACTTTGTTTCTTTGATTTTCTTCTTTAGAAAAATAGTATTGTTATTGTTTGTTATAATTACATTTTTCGAAATCTCATACAGCTAGAAAGTGCTACAGTTGTAACGATGTTTCCTCGTTGGATAGGTGTAATACAACACGTATATGTCCGGACCGTACCTATGTGAGTTGACAACAAATAAATATTTATTTTTCGCAATACTTATACAAAAAAATAATCTACTATTAACGATTATCTTTACAGAAATCAATTTTCTAAAAAACAAATTTTCTTTTATTCATTAAGTTTTTTGGTAAAAGAATATACATACGTAATTGGCATTCTACTAATTTCATGTGTAACACTTATATTTTATTCATTTCACATTTTGTGTATACATACTGTAGATTCATAAATATACGCGAGGAATTAATTATCACGTAATTTCGTGAGAAGCACCTCGCTCGAAATAAAATTACTCGCTTTAATTTTTATATAGCTAAAATACATGTAAAACTCGGGACCAACATTCCAACCGCAAATTCCTGTTCTTGAGATTTGACATCTAACTGTAATTTCGCGATATTAAGTATACGCGAAAAATAAGAAATCCACAGTAATACATGATCATATCATACTAATAAAATTTCCAATTTTCAAAACATTTCATGCATACGTAAATAGCAATGTTATCGTTCTTACATACATGTAGTATAATTTCACTATTTCTTATATATACAGCAGATCACTTAAGTTTCGCGACACCTTATTTTTACGAGATTGTTACGTGGTATTTATAAGAAAGACAAAATTTTCACGAGTTTTGATCATTGCTATGTATAATATTTAATAATACACATAATAATACACATTCATAATAAACATTCTGATTGTTCACACAAGTACTCTGAAGTTGACATTAAAAAGATGCTTGAGTTTCTGATTGACAATATCTATGTGGTTTTTGGAGACCAGGTCTTCCAACAATCTATTGGAATTCCCATGGGTACCAATTGCGCCCCGCTATTAGCAGACCTTTTTGTATTCATATGAAGCAGAATTTGTTCAAAATCTTGTACGTGAAAAAAATAAAACACTTGCTGTGGCTTTCAACTCAACATTTAGATATATCGACGACGTATTGTCAATTAACAATGGCTATTTCCATTCTTATGTCGATACGATATATCCTTGTGAACTTGAGATAAAAGATACCACAGAGTCTGACACATCTGTTTCATATTTGGATATTTTACTTGAAAAAGACGTTAATGGTAATCTAACAACCAAGCTTTATGATAAACGTGATGACTTTAACTTTTCAATCGTCAGCTTCCCTTACTTATGCAGCAATATACCTTCATCACCTGCATACGGGGTATATATCTCTCAGTTGATTCGATACGCAAGAGCATGCTCTACGTATGTACAATTTCTAAAACGAGGTAAATTATTGACAAATAAGTTGATGAAACAAGAATATCAGCTGTCTCGTTTAAAGTCATCATTTCGTAAGTTCTATGGTCGATACAATGACCTTGTCAGCAAATACAATTTATCATTGAGTCAAATGCTGACTGACGTTTTTCACACTAATTGTTAGGCCATTATTTACACACTGAATTGTCGACGGATTTTTCCGTGATTTCCCGATCATGACAAGGAGCACACGGCGGATGTGACCGGTCGGCAGGGGATGCTCACTCCTCCATGGCACCTGATCCCACCTCTGATGTTTGGAGGTCCGTGTTTGCTCTGCTCCTATTTTGTATTGATTAATGGACTTTTGAGCTTGAATACTGTTCGTTATCTCCATATATTTCACGGTAGTACACGGTAACGAAATTTTTGTGACCAATCCATCTCGCATAATTACTCCAAAATAAAGTTCTAGCGAAAAATGGGTGATTTACAGTATACAGTTTAATTTCATATATTACCATAGTAATGAAGTTTCTTCTTGCAACGATTTCTACAATTAAAACTTTTTTTATAAATGTAATCCCACCTTTAGAAATGCTTAGTACATGAAGGAATAGCCTCGGACTTCTCGATTACCTACCAGCTTGGATGTGCCACAGATCTAGTAGGTAGCTTATTTCTGAATTACCTACATGTATATATTTATTTTTCTATGATTTATGATTGATTTTACCGAGTGAGGTCTATATACACTTTTTAATGTATTGGAAACAGTGTTTGCTTTGTTATAACGCATGATATGAATTATAAGGATAATGTTTTTTAAATCATATATCACAGCATTCTTGGAGGTCCTGAAATCTTGATTGTAACCTTTTCTTTTTTTTAGGTGTGTTCTAGTTTATTTGGTGATGGAAGTGTATTAGGCAGAAAGAGAAGGGGTATAAATGGAGAATGCTGTAATACTGACCTGTGCAACAAGCATGATCCAACTAAAAAGAGGCAGATAGTCATCAGTTTAATAACTACCACAGAAGCCAGTACAACAAACCTGACTGATTTAACCACTGTATCTACCACGGCCATACCAACGATTGGTTCTCCATCCCCAACATTACCCCCAATCAATACACAAACAAGTATTATAACGTCCATAAACACTGAGAATATTACGACTGTGCTACCTGAGATTACTACCTCAAAACGACCTGGTAGTTTTTTTATGTTTTGGTTAAGAGAAATGATAGATCAGTAACGAAACAAAGTATAGAGTCGGAGTAATCAATGAAAAGAAAATGCATTGAATAATCACCTCAAAATATTCACTCTTATTGAAAAACAAACAAGACTAAACTGAGATTTTATTTTAAGGTTTAGTAACAATTTAAAAAATATGGCACGTTTAAAACAAAGATACAAAAATAATTATCTTCAACTTTTTAACTCAAAAAATCATTAAAATTAGATACATCAAGACAATTTTATTCTAAGCTTGTGCTGATATCGACACGGCTGCCTGTCAAAAACTTGCTTTTCTGAAGAGGGACATGTGTAATGATGACTGTTTGGTCCAAGCCTGTCCACGCACCTGTGGGAAATGCCGTAAGAATATAAGATCACATCATAGTTATGACTTATTTACCCTTTACTGAATATCACTATTAAAGTAATTTTTTTTTCCAAAATAGCAATCAAAGAAGATGACATTTATTTCGTATTTCTCAAGATTTTAAAAAGTTTTCCTCGTGAATTATTCTGAATAGAATTGATATAATTTATAACCTTTTAATAGCTGAGTGTTATTCCTGCATTTTTACGGAAGCTCCAGAAAACTGTACAGATAGAACAATCTGCTTACAGGGTGAGGTAAGTTACCATTAAACCGTCGTATCCTTTCTGTCATTGTAGAGTAGGATATTTTTATCTTTTTTGTCAATTTTTGGTTATGGTATTGCAATGTTACATGTATTTATTATAGTATTTTTGCTTAAGGTTTACCAATAAGCAGAATTTCTTTTTGCACAGTAATCAGATCACTAGATGAAGAGTTTAGTAAGAAACAGATTACAATGAATCCTTAGTTTTATTTCTCCCAGGTAACAAAGATTTCATTTTTTTTTTTTTTTTTTTTTTTTTTTTTTTTTTGAACAGAAGAATAAATACGTTTTTGAGAACAAGAAACGTGACTCATTTTCAGAAATGTTATGTAGTGGAAGAGTACTTGGATAGTGGGAAACATGGATACCGTGCTGGATGTCTTCAAGAGAATGTAAGATATTTACATATTATATCCCTTTGTCTTTAAGTAAGCACGTATTATAGATTTGTCCTTTTTCTCTCCGTCACAAGTCGCAAGAGTACTATGTGGTAAAGTTGTTGTGTAGTCTGTTGGTATACTAATTATCGTTAAAACTATCCTGCATGTTTTCAGTCATTGTCATCATTTTTTAAACCTCTTCTTTCTCGTAAGGATGAACGTATTTTCATTATTTATAAAATACATGAATTTAGTTCTCCCGTGTGGCGCAGTGGTTAGAGCGTTCGCTCTAGAGTCTCGGAGTAAGGAGTTGATCCTTACGGCGCGGGTTCGATTCCCAGTGTGGGACGTGGAGACCGGTCCTTCGGATGAGACCGTATAAACCGAGGTCCCATGTCGCAGTAGCTGCTGGCATGAAGAAATCATTCACTGCTAAAAGGCCCTTAGTGCCGAGTATAGGTCAAAATTTGTCGCTCTCCACCGGCAAGTGGTGGCGTCTCCATATGAGTGAACGTTTAACAATAAGCAAACAAACAAACAAATATGAATTTATTTTAAAGGTGTGTTCAAAGTTCCATTTAAACGCTGGCAATGTCTTTGGACGAAGAAGCGACTACTTAACTCTGATTTTAGCTGGAGATTGCTGCAATGGAGACTTATGTAATCACCACACCATTACCCACACTACGACAACCACAACATCAACCACACACGCGCCATCACAAACTCAATCTACCACCGCCCCTCCAGGTCAATATTGTACAATTTATCATTTTTATTTTTATTTGTCTGTTTGTTTATATGTTTGTTTTTGTTTTCTGGGTTTTGTTTTTCGTGTGTGAGTGTGTGTGTGTTTGTTTGTTTGTTTTCCCTCTTGCACAACCACATGTTTGTAAAAACAATTTTTGAAACACTTATTATAATCGTAGTATATTGAAACTTATTCCGTAGCATATGAAAAATATATTTGATTTTCATATCTTTGTGTAGACGGATGTATGTATTTACCGGGACATCACTGCCCTACTGGTTTTAGTCTTGTGGGTGGAAAATGTCTTTTGATAGGGTCACAATTGTCAACATACGACAGTGCAAAGGTAACTTAAGACCTAAAGTAAGCCATTCACATAATGACACTTGTTTGTGTAATGAATTACTATCAAGTTTTGATATTAGCAAGAAAATACATTGAATAAAAAAACTTTAACATGATACAATTTGTAAAAGCACATAAAATTTTTATAATGTTGAAATATATTGAATCATTTCTTAACATAGTTATAACTAAATTAATTGATGATGTATAAATAGTTTTTACGTTCGTTGATAGCCTTTATTTTCTTTGATATTATGTCATTGATGAAGAATTAATTCTAACAAGCAATAGCAATAAAAAATCCCGCATCATTGTCTTACCTCAGACTTCTTTGATCCTCGTAAATCAACATCGAAAATGGCCTTTTTACGAAATCAACGATTGCTTCTATTCCAAGGTTTAAACCCCTATCCACGGCTATTTACATGTGCAGGTGACTTTCATGTGTAGATAGAAACTTTCCTAATTTTACACTTTCGAGTGGTCAGTCTCAGGTGCACCCGTCTTCTTTTTCTCTGTTTACGATGCATCTGTCCCCAGTATGAGAAGAAATAGGCCTCGAACATAAAGTCTTTATACAGCCACATCTATTTTTTATCAGCAAATTGCAATTTAATTTGTCTATGAACTGGTCTTTTAACAATCTCTTCAACAGCAAAAGACTAAAATCATTAATTTAAAAATCTTTTTTTTTTTTTTTTGTCAGTGACCTTCTCCATAGACTAACTTTATCATAATCTTCGCTGTATAATCTTTTTCTAAATTTACTATTCCATTGTGCTCTTTATATCTGCATGACATAAAGTGAGTGCTGCCTATTGATGATGCTGTAAACATTTTGCTGACAAGCGACGATGTGCTATTACAATTCTGTATTTGAAGGAAGGTTGTAATGTTTCCAGTGCAGTATATTTTATAACATTTATTCGAGGACGTAATATTTTTATTTTAAGTTTAGAAGTTGTTTCCCCCTACTTTCAGATTTGATTATAATGATTATATGGAGATAATCTTAAAGGCATCATTTAAAAAAAGTTATCAAATGTAACCAAATTAAATTCCCTTTCTTTTTTTAAAGATCTCGTGCAAGTATCATTGCTCAAGTCTGATGGAAAATATATCAGACCGTGACGTAGACAGCATCCGTATATTGATGGATAGCATGTTTTGGGGTGAGTTTGATAGTATCATTCTTAATTTCCTTTTTCTATTCACTATTTCTTGATTAACCTATATATATATATATATATATATATATATATATATATATATATATATATATATATATATATATATATATATATATATATATATATATATATATATATATATATATATATATATATAATTTTACAGGTCTACCGAATGATAAGAAGGTGTTAATTGTTGGCGCCCACACTGATACCCATAATCGACTGGTTTGGGACACATCCGGTCAAAGAGTTTCAGGTGTCCCTCATGATTTGCATGGTAACGACTGTCTTGTCATAGAGGGACATGGGGGTCCTCACGGCCATTCTCTTAAGCCTTCTTCATGTGACCATCTTTATTATTATATTTGTGAGGGAAAATTTAAATAAAGAATACTGTAATCTCATCTTTGTCCTCTTTTATTAATTATTAAGAAACATTGATATACATAGCATATAGACAAGTGACAATAAATACAATAAATAATGTGATAATATCAATCAAAGATTAAGCGATGAATAAATGTATGTTGAAGAAGAATCTTTTTATCTATTTATAATAGATATGTTTTACTTATATGTCATTAATTATATATAAAACTGACATATATTTGAGTTTACGGTATACAACCTTTCCATGTTAGCATGGTGCGCCACTTTGTGATGTTCAACTGCCCCAATGCTAACTTAAACCCAAGTGATTTTGTGGAGCTTCTCGCAACATATTTTGCAATTTATAAAATTTTACAAACTTTTTGAGAACTTTATGAATTTTTACTTTGTCATATGATGTACTATATTGATAGGTGGGAGTGACCGGTCGACAGAGGATGCTTACTCCTCCATGACACCTGATCCCACCTCTGATGTTTTGAGGTCTGCATTTGCTCTGCTCCCAATTTGTCTTGTTTCAATGGACTTTTGAGCTTGATTACTGTTCGTTATCTTCATATTTCATATTGATAGGTACGAGGGGTGATCAAAAAGTTCGCAAACTAATTGAATTACTTCCTTAAAAGCTATAAAATGAGGTTTCAGTGCTCATTATTTTTTAAAGTAGTCCTCTCCGATTATAATGCACATCTGCCATTGTTCTGCTCATGCGCGAATCACGTGATCCACGCGGTCACGTGACATGCTCCGTGGCGTTCTGTTCACAGAAGCTATTAGATTTTTCCGAGTTTTATATTTCTTACCATGCAAGTTATTTTTTATAACAAGAACAGTACAACTGTCAGAAATGGCCAAATCTCGGCAATAGGATGGGTGGATAAGGACATCCCTTCCCATAATTAGCATGGTGATCATCAAAACCCGAGTCCTGTGTCTCGGGAACGTCGTTTATTCAATGTGGATAAAGTATGGACGAACTTTTTTCTAATCATATCTCATATGTTTAAAGTCTAAAGTAAACGATATTTTAGGGATTTAATAATTATATTATTGTTAAGATATTCAACTATTTTTCTAATCGTAACTTGGCGATCTTTCATAACAAATTGCTCAACTAAGGACACATCTTTTCCTCGGCTTGCTTTCGCTGGGCAACAGAACAAACATCATTTTTAACCATCTCCCTGCCTTCACTAAAACAATCAATCCAATTAATGATTGAACCTCTGGTAAGTCTTTTGTCTTTATAAACCTTGTACAAATAATCATATTCTACTGCAAAGGAATTTCTAAGATATACGTTAAACCTCACAGCCGTTCGTTGCTCGAGTACGACTGAGTCAACCATTTTTTGTCACAAGTCACCTACATATTGACGTCATTTCCACTTTGTGATGTCACAAACACGGAGCAAAACATTATATAACACCTGCTATTTATAGAATATATGTATGTCTTTATGTGTGCCAAATTTCATTCTGATCTGAATAGTGGTTTTGTGAATATAGTGATAGTTCGCGAACTTTTTGATCACCCCTCGTATATCATGCCGATTTCACGAAATTATAAAAAGAATCTCAGGTACAAGATCAATTTGTACGACTAAACTTCATTTTTTATTTCAAAAAAAAACAAACAAAACATTTAATGCATTGAAGGATATTATTAGTTTAAGGCGTCAACAAAATCTGAATTTTCATTATAAATTCACTATGACAAATGTTTCCAGCTAATCGTGCAACCGACAATTGAAATAAAAATTGAGACATTACAGTTATATAAAAACTACAATATTTTCTTTGTCTCCGCTGTTTTCACAAAGCATTGTATGTTTGGATTCATTCCTCACACTCGAGTTATTATTTGATAATCTTTGCGATAATTTATCGTTTAATTTTGCTTTGTGTTTATCGGGCATTCTTGTGATTTTCATGTAGTAGAAGTCCATGTATATTTGGGAATACCAAACAATTCACTCCGATAGTTTTCTGCTGCTTGTCTTAATTTTTTTCCTCAATGAATATGTTGTAAAAGACTAATGATTTTACGTTGGTTGTAAGAACATATTTATTTCCTCTCAAGAGTACATACTTACTATTTCTAATATAAATATACGGTGCCTATTCACAGATATATGTATTTAAAAGTTTTCTAAATATTGTCTTCAGAATAAGGTATTCACATAAAATATTGGCAGTGAAGAAAAATTGTTATCGCTAGATTGTTATAAGAATATAAGGAAATCTTAATTTAAATATGCATTGTAAAACTTAAGAAAAAAAGACAGTTGAAAAGAGATAAAACAAGAAAAATAATGCTTAGCTTTTATGAGAGCATGCAACTGCGCCTTGAATTTTTGTTAACGTGATAGCGTTTCTAAAACACAGATGTACATATACTGTATGTACATTTGCAAAAACGTTAAATTTGGATTATGTATTTGAGTTTAAGGCATATTGTTGTAAATGTCTGGACTGCAGTATACATTAAATAATTCCCAGTACAGGAAAGATTCGTAAGTGTTTTCATTCATAAATTTTATACAAGTTTTCAAATTAAACACATCTTTAATCATACTCCCTTACTTTTATATTTTAGATTATATAGTTTCTTTTGTAAATTATATAATTCCTTTACATAAATTATCTTTCATCCAAATCTAAAGGAGCTACATAAAGTACATGTATGCATAAGTATAATGATGTCAAGTATTTATCACTGTCTATTTTAACATATCGTGGTAATGATTTTTAAAAGAGAGTATTATAATTTCAATTATTTTTACAGCATGAACCTGCTTGATGGAACAATATAACACATGAATAGAACAATGACATACTTCACTGGAACAATGAAAACTGTATTGAAAAAATGACCCACTTCAAAGTAACAATAAAACACTTCATACTAAAACTAAAGCATAACTTCACATGCATTTTGCTTAGGAATGATGCAGAGATATCAGGAACTGACAAGGGATACCAACAATAACTTGCCTTTTAATTCCATATTGTACAAGTTCCGAATGTAGCTCGCTACAAATGTTGATCGTAAAACTTTATTTTATTTAACATGATATCTGATATAAACTTGAAATGGAGACTTTAGTAACTAATGAGATCTCCTAATCGAATGTTATTTTAAATGTACCTTTTCGTAATTTTGCAGCACCATGTACTTTTATACATTGTTTAATTTACAAAGACAATCATTCTGTATGATTAGCATTGCCTTAGCACTCATAGTTCAAGGAGTCATACATTTCGTAAGAAAATATGCCGTATCTTATTCGAGTTGTTTCTATGGTTATCATAATAGATAAGCCATTGGACTGAAGCTATTGACATGACCATGAGGACTTTAATTCATCTTATAGGTTTGTTATACTTTCTCATTAGATATAAATACTGACATTTTTCTTGTACTTTAGTGTATGCTTAATCTGCAAATTATCAAATACAATTTTAAAGATGTCTCAGTTATGTGTAATTTTATAGGATCATTTTATAAAACTTAATGGAATATAGTATACCAGGAAGTATGTTATCAGAATGAATAAATTAACAGGTCCCAAAAGGAAAGAAGGTTTATACGCTGAATTTTATAGTCTTTTGAGCTCACCTGAGCCGAAGGCTGATCGAGAGGTGTCCGGCGTTTGTCTAATGTATATCGTGTATCATCTGTAAACTTTTCACATTTTTGACTTCTTCTCAAGAACCACAAAGCCAATTTTAACTGCACTTGCAACAAAGCATTCTTGGGTAAAAAGAATTCATTTGTTTAAATGAGGAGTCAGGAGTCACACTCAATGAAGGGGAGATAATTTAAAATAGTGTTATAATTAATGGCATCTTTTAAAAATCTTATCAAGAACCAGGAAAAATGAAAATTATGTGAAAACTTCTAACATAGTTAGATTCAAAATCGTTCAAATCTTACCTCCAGGGCTATGGCATAGCCACAACAAGCGATCGTATTATTACAAAGAAATATATTGGGGGAAATACTTCAAAAATCCTCTTTACAAGGAAAGCAAACGTCTTGATTAATAATATAAATACTGAAGTATCCTTAGGGAGTGCAGATGTACTTTCATTTCTACGTAAATATCTATATATTTCTTTTTTATCTAAAACTTAAATATAGCAAATATTGTGTAAAAGCATTTAAATTTCCTTAAAGAGAAGCGAACAGGAATTGCATGCATTTTACTCAATAATAGCACAGTGAACCTCAAACTCCTCAGTTAAAAAGAAAGTCATTTAATTCTACAAACAATCAAATCCTATTACGCAATTCAGAATCTATTGACATGATTAACGTATAACATAAACACTTTTCAGGCGTAGTCATCCAGTTTATTGGAATATGGTCCCAGCAGCTCTGTGACGATGTGGATGATCAAGTGTGTCAAGGCTTTGCTGCCAATATCAACATCTGTAGTGATCCCTGCTTATCAAAACTCTGTCCAAGAACATGCAATCTTTGTCGTAAGTTTGTTATCTCCTTTTGTGTTAATATTTCTTTATTTCTATTCCTCCTTCTTTCTTCATTTTAAGTTGTTTTTTCCCAAAGTCCTGTCATAATATATAAATTGACGCTTATTTTAAGAGGAAAATAACTATAGTTAAATGAGATACATTTTAAATACGATTATGCTCAATACATTCCCATTTTGAATGGAATCGAGTCAAATCTTTGTAAAGCAATGCAGGTCTTTGGTTTTTGTGGACACATTCATCTTTTGAAGATTATATTTGATAAAATACTGACAGTTCAATGTTTTGGCTCAGATAATTGTTATCAGCATATGTGAATATACCTTTCTACTCAAACAGCATAATATTTTCTTCTCATTCCTGTTCCAAAAATGTCATTTATTATTAGATATCATATATTTTGTCACTAAATGTATAAAACGTAAAGCAAGATTTAATCATATATAAATATTGTTTGTCATGCAGTTTACTTAATAATCAATTACTTTGAAATGATTAACTTGATAACTTCAACTTTTATATCGTCAACTTCCATATGTAGTAATATACCCTAATCACCTGCATATGGGGTTTATGTCTCCCAGTTGATTCGATACACAAGAGCATGCTCTACGATCGATCCATTTTCAAAAGAGGCAAGCTATTAACCAACAAGTTGATGAAACAAGGATATCAACAGTTTCGTTTGAAGTCATCATTTCGCAAGTTATATGGTCAATACAATGATCTTATCAGCAAATACAATCCATCATTAGGTCAAATGCTCACTGACTTTATTCATACTAATTGTTAAGCCATTATTTAAACACGGAAATTGCTATGGAATTTTCCGTTTACCTGATCATGACAAGGAGCACACGGCGGGTGTGAACGGTGGACATGGGATACCTTCTCCTCCATGGCACATGATCCCGCCTCTGATATTTTTGGAGATCTGTCTTTGCTCTGCTCCCAATTTGTATTGTTTAAATGGACTATGAGATTGAAAACTATTCTCCATATCCATATTTCATTTATAAGATCATTTGATAAAGTTAACAAGAACTTTACATTATCCCGATGGTTTTAGATACCAGATAACTAATCATAAATACAGACATAAACTAAGCACAAAGGAGATACATTTTCTCAGATTAATACCTTTCAGTATGTCAAAATGTCTTTGATATTATTTAGCACTCAAATGTTACCATTGTGATGGAGTTTCCTCGCCTTCAATGTGCAACACCACCATGATTTGTACAGACAAATCTTACGTAAGCAATATTATACAATTAGCATATACTGTGAAATAACCTTAATTCTTGGGGATCAATGTTCGTGGGTAAGCAATATTTTACTTATTCGTGGGGACGTAATTTCCTGGGTTATTTGTTTATACAGTAGATTCAATACAAAATAAACGCTCGTTGGGATATAAATTTGTGGGTAAGGTTGACCAACAAAATCCAAGAATTAACATTGATCCCCCTCGAATAATGATGATTCCACAGAACAATGCCAAAACAGAAAAGGTAAAGTAATGCATCTTATAGGTATCTTATACTTATGCCACAAAAAATATAAGTATCGAGTAAACGTCTTTGATATTCTGTTATGCACAATTCTTTTTTAGAAAAAAAATCTTAATATTATCTATAATCTATAAAGTACATATAATTGGTCTCTAGAACCTAACGACTGGTATGGTATAATTATTTTTAGTCCTGTATCGTAACTGAGTCATTAGGAGCCGATTTCTCCATCAATTACAGACAAGGCTGCGCCAGTTCAGATGTAAGTTATATCAATTTATATAGTACAAATTAATACACACATGAATATGGCTAAAACTGTGAAATTTGTTTTGCCAAATAAGACCGTAAACAAAGATTATTACTACTTTAAAGGCATTGTTTGCAAGAAAATAAAAAGAACTATTTTTTTCTTTTATTTTGATTACTTTATCATTATTGAATAATGATAATCCAATCTCTTAATAATCACATCTTTGATCTTGTATAGGTCTGTACACGACTTTTTGGATCTGGAACACCGACACTCATTGGACGTAGGTCAAACCTTGAGGGTGAATGTTGTGATAGCGACCTTTGTAACAGAAATCGTCCCGTAGGTAAAAGACAGGTAGACTTCTTTCCTACGACAACCACAATGCGTCCGAGAACGACAACACCTACGTTTGGAACAACCACACCCCCAATGATGACCACAATGCGTCCACGAACGACAACTCCTACGTTTGCAACTCAAACAACAACGCCTCCTATGACGTCAACACCACCAATGATGACGACTTCCCAACAACGTAAAGATATTAATACTTTAATTAAATACTTTAATTAAATACTCGTGTCCCACAAACAGAATACATAAGAATGACCTTCATTCAATACCTTTCAACAATAATTCCTCATAAAGATCAGAAGCCAAGAAGAAGTTATGTATAGATTATCATGTACTATCACTAGAAATATATATGTATTGGAAAAAATCTGCTTATACATTAAAAACACTAAAATATATGAAGAATTAAAAAGAGAGTTCGTCTCTATTTGTTTCGACATTTGTCGGATTCCTCGGATAAGGTGAACTGTTTTGCCTGCAGGCAAACATAAAAATTCTTGTTAGGGGCTCGCGTTCAAATATCTTCGTTAGCGTTATTAGCGGAATTATAAGTTTGGCAGTACAACTTGGTCACACTGATTGATTAAGTATAGCTAAGCATAATTTTATCTTTTGTAATCTATATTTTTCTTATGTAAAAATTTTATTTTTTTATAGCTAATTTATCCTCTAAGTGTGATGATATCGATCATGCATCTTGCCAGCGTCTCGCCACGATCAAACGAAACATGTGTACCGATGACTGTATGGTACAAGCCTGCCCCAGAACATGTGGAAAATGCGGTAAGGTTACCGTTTTTGCAAGGCGTTTCGTCACTGAATTTTTTGATGCTGTGGTGAAGAGGAAGGTTGCGGATCGATTGTCCTTTAAATTTATGAACATTAGAAGAGAAATTAAAATCTTCTTTTAATACACTAGTGAAAATATATTTGGTGTACCTTTCTCCATAGCCGAATGTTACTCGTGTCAACATGTCTCAAGTCCTGCTAACTGCACAAACCATGCTGTTTGTGAACCAGGGGAGGTAACTTTTTTCATATCTCTAAAAGAAATGATTACAAAAGATAACGTATCTTCACAATCTCAATGCATTGTGATATCGTTACTTTATACAAACCCTTGACAAATGTCGCTATTTAAAAGTCGGGCTAGAACGCTACAATATTATTTGTTCCCCGGGTCTTAGATTGGAACTAATCAGAAAACGGTTTTAATAGTGGGTAAAGTTTTTTTTAAGCAAAACTGACTTCTGGATTAAATGGAAAATGACAATTGTTAGATTTGCGATTCCTTACCCTAAATCAAATATCGGAGATAAGTTTTTAGAAGATCTTTTACCTCACAATTACAAAAAAGGAGGTACTGGGCTATGAGCCACTAGAAAACGACGGATTGTCGAAGTATGTTGCAAAGCCTTGACATTGTGAAGATGAAGGTAACTTTGAAACTTGTACTTTGATCAATAAATCATGTAACAATTTTTAAGTACAATTTGTTCTTGGACAGAAATGCTACGTCCTGAAAACATTGAGCTTTAGCGGTGAGCAAGGATATAAAATGGGATGCATGCTTGACAGTGTAGGTAATTCACAATTAACCAGTGATTTCGGTGAATGAATAAATATTACTGAAAATACATGTATGAAAGATTTTGAGAACTGAAATTGTTATCCGACATAGAGGAGGTTTGTGTGAGATCCACTGAATGTAGAAACTTTTCTAGCTATCTTGCTATTCTGTTGTACAGGTATGCAAGCAGTTTAACACTCAGGCTGGGAATGTGTTTGGTAAGAGGAATGATCCTGTTGAGCTCTCTGTTGATGGTGATTGTTGCACAGGGGATCTTTGTAACCACGTGGCACTAACACATGGATCAACATTCACCACCAAGGCACCACCAACTGGAGGTAACATCTAATTCATTCTTAGTAATTAAAAAAAAATCAAAAATTTATTTACTGGATATTTACTGGATATTACTGGATAAAGTATCTCTTTTCAAATATGATTTCATCATTGAGACAAAAATAATTCTTGTTCAATATAATATTTGGTTGAAGTTTGAAAAAAAAATTGGAATTTTTTTTTAATAAGAAACTTCAGATTTTACTATTGATTATTGCATATAATAAATATCTAATAAAACATATAAAGAAGAGGCAGTTGACATTCAAATTTTTAATGAAATATTATTTGTAAAAATGAAAATAAAAATTTGATAATGCATGTATTATCTATCGATGAAATCTTCAATAAACATCCTCAGAAACATCTTCAAGAAAATAGTACATAAAAGAAATATGGGTAATCATATATTTAAAAGATATTAAAATGAAATTGCGAATTGAAAGAAAACTTGATTATTTTTTCTAATTTTGAGCCCATTTTGATTTTAAAATAAACTGATCTTTACTGGGATTAAATAGAGGAGAAATATTTGACAATTTCACAAAAATACAAGATTGCTTAGCTGTAATATAGTAGGAGCAGAGCAAACACGAACCTCTAACACATCAGAGGTGGGACTAGGTGCAATGGAGGATTGACTGAAAACAGGTTTATAGATTGGTTCAATAAATTTATAGATATGTTCAACTTCTTACAATAAAAAGATAGGTTCAACTTCTTAGAATAAGAAAACTAAAATCATAAAAGCTAAAATTATCTGCCTATTGGTACGTTCAGAAGGTGATTAGTACAAAAATATTTCATACTTGAAATTCCTTCACATCCTATTGTCCTCACATAAGTAACAAAAAGATAATATTTTCGAGGACCTGATTAATTTAACAATATTCTGTTTTGTAGCTGGGTGCCGGTACACAGCTGCCAATCACCATTGTCCTACAAATTTTCACTTGGTGGATGGAAAATGTATGATGGTTGGACCAATCCAAATGTCATATGCTAAAGCCGAGGTACGATACTATTTCTGTTGGTGTTTTTGTCGTTTTGAGTGCTTTGATAAATTCTCAATTTTTTAAAAAAATTTCGTTCTGTGCATTTTTACTACATAATATCCTCACTTTATGGTGTGTTATATATTATCTTTATCATGCTTATAGGCCTACTGCCATAGTCATTGCTCCATTTTGATGGAAAATTTCTCAGGAAAGGAAGCACGTGCTATATCGTATTTCGTTCAAACACAGTTACGTGGTATGTAGATTAGACCGTAAATATTTCATACACACTTTAAGATTTTTACTAAGTTGTTATCATTTTTTGTCTCATTTGCATTTTATCAACGTTCCTAAAAATATTTCTTGATTCTATTTTCAAAATACTTTTTTTAATATATTTCATCACAAAACACGGCATGCAAAATAAAAATACTCTTGACAAAAAGTATATAATGTAGGCTATTTTTCATTTTGTGCATCCTATAGGATACATTTAGCTGATTCTTATTCACATTAAAGTTCTTCTATAACTTGTACATATATTATAGGTCGATCAAATTATGTATATATTGGAGCCCAGGATGCTGACCATGATGGGGATTACAACTGGAACCTAGCGGGAACTGTAGTAGCTCACTCTTCGACCCCCGTGAGTGGACATTACTGTCTGACTTACTCTGCATCAACAAGAGGAGTACATCCGGTCTCGTGTTCGTCACTTCACTACTTCCTCTGTCAAGCACAAATGAAATAAAATGAGAGTTTGGAATTTTTTTTTTAATTTTTGGCAGGATGTGCGCTTAGGGAAAATTAAATTTCATAGAAATCTTATTTATATTTATTGAAATTCTAGTGATAATCAGGGTTCTTTAAGTTCATGAAAGAGGAAAATCTGTCTAAAAGTATTTATCATACATAATTTTGCTAACTCTGATTAAAGGATGGAGACATAAGCAGAGAAAAAATTCTTCCCATGAATACTTACTGTTAATGTTGTATTTAAACACTCATTGCATGTCTATCTTGGGGAGGAATTGCCTTTTTAAGCCTCAATAACCTCAAATACCTGGTAGAACAAGAAGATGACAAAGATGAAAAAATTAAACTAATTGATAAGATAGACCCTATTTTTATTTTTGTTTTGTGAATGACTATGATTTTTATGCTTAATTTCGACTAGTCACGATAACCTAGCAGTAAGTCGTTTACCTGGTTTGGTTCTAGTTCGCCGCGAGCGTCAAACGTGAGACGTAAACATTGATAGCGAAAGTTCTTTTACCAAGCGACCGGCATTGAAAGTGAAAGTCAGGTTTTTTTTGGATGGGACCTTAAAAACCGCGGTCCCTTGTCACGGTAGGCTTTGGCGTGATAAAGAAACCTTACTGATCAAAGGTCTTGAGTATTGCGTAAAGGTCTAAATTTAATGCCTTCACTATTATATGGAAGAAATATTCTCGAATGGGACGTAAAACATCATACAATCAATCAATCAATCAAAATAAGGTATGTGTCATTGCAGTTATACCCGAGTACAAAATGTGCATGTAATTAAACTTATCACCATGTGTGTTTAGTTCCATTTATCAAAAATGGAATACATATGCTTTTACAATGAGAAAGGTGAAGATAACAAACAGTGATCTATCTCCAAAGATCAATAAACAATACAATTCTGTGTAGAGGGCATAGAAAACGAACCCCCTGGAAATACCAGAGGTGGGAGCAGGAGCCTAGGAGGAGTAAGCATCCCCTGTTGATCGGTCATACCCGCTGTGAGCCCTATGTATTGATCAGGTAGACAGAGCATTCCGTAGTCAAATTCAGTATAAAAACAAAGGCCTAACAATTGGTATGATACAATTTGGCCAAAATACGACCCAATGATCGGTTATATTTGCCAACAAGGTCATTATAACGACCATACCGTTAACGAAATATTGACTTTAAACGAGGTTGTTGAAATCCCTATAACATCAACGCATCTGTCAGTAGGCTGCCTCTTTAAAAAGTGAACGTATACGGAACATGCTCTTGAGTATCGAATAAGTTGGGATATGTAAACACCGCATGAAGGTGAAGCGAGATATTACATGTACTAAATAAATAAGGAAAGATGACGATGGAAAAGTTTAAGTCATCTCGTTTTGTCATAAAATTAAGTTTTTAGTTGGTCTCGTCTATAGTCATTAAAATTTCCAAATATGAAGCATATTTGGTAGACTCTTGGTTTCTTTTATTTCAGATTCAGTGGGATATATCGAATCGACATATGAATGAAAGTAACTATTTTTAATTGATAATACATCGTCAATATATCTAAAGGCCGAGTTGAAGGCCAAAGCAAGTGTTTTCTTCTTCTCATGTAGATTTTGTAATTAAATTATGCCTCATAGGAATATGAAGGCAGGTCGGCTAATAAAGGAGCACAACTAGTGTTTTGGTTGAAAAAGCAACATAAATGAAGGGGGAAAAAACAAGTCAAAAAGAATATTTTTAGTAGATGATTACATGTACAATCCAATTTAATTAAAATACTTGAATTTGGAAATTTATTTAAACAAAGCAGTTCCTGTACCTGTCAATTCCAATGTTTTTGTTAAATCAAAAAAATACTTCCGTACATTTCTATTTACTGAGAATATAGATAAAATTAATAAATACGCCATCTCCTTTAACAGCGCTACAACAGTGGCAAATATGTTTTAATTGGTAAAATCTGAGGCCACGATTGCTTGAACATAGCGCCCTAATTATTAGACCAGCAAGCATCTCAAGAAATACCAAAGTAAGTCTTGGTTCATCAGATCTGTTGACAATAAATTACACTATATTTACACTATACTGATATGAAATATGAAGATAATGAACAGTATTCAATCTCGAAAGTCCAATGAAACGATACAAATTTGGAGCATAGCAAACACGGACCTCAAAATTTAGAGGTGGGATCAGGTGCCATGGAGGTGTGAGCATCCCCTGCCAACAGGTCACAACTTGTCATGATCAAAAAAAAAAAAAACCTGGAAAAATCCGTAGACAGTTCAGTGTATAAATAATGGCCAAACAATTAGTATGAAAAACGTCAGTCAGCATTTGACTCAATGATAGGTTTTCTGTGCTGATAAGGTCATTGTATCGACAATAAAAATTGCCAAATGATGACTTCAAACGAGACCATTGAGGCCAATATAAGAAATACCTTTGTTTCCCCTAACGCGACCGACCCACTTAAATCGTGCCGACTGAAATTTTTTTTTAAATAAGATTATTTAAATATTTTTTTTTATTGTTTATCAACTTTATAAAATTCAATTTCATCAAAATTCGTTTTTTTTTTTTTTATAAAAAACGGCGGCTTTTGTTTTACTCTCATTTGGCGCCCATAACGTGAGGCCACAGAGGGTTAGTCCGTGTTTTAAAACAACGATGACGCATCAATTTTATTATATATCGTTAACTTATTAGAATCCTACACTCTTGAAACATTTCGTGAATTAAATATACCATGACTAAGGAGTGTTAAGATGGTATTTACAAATATGTCTTCTAAAATTAACGTACGTAGTAAGCATGGCAAAGTCTGCCTCATGAGCAGATGAGGAGCCCACCTTGTGTATGCATATCAATAAATTCCACTGCATTTTATTCGTTTCGATCTAATAAACTTTTCATATATGATCCTATTTTTACTATATAGGACCATAGGAGTTGTAAATATGTCTTTGTATTATTATTTCATCTTGATAAATATAATTCAGATATCGTTTCTTCATTCCTTTTATTTATGGGGTAAACTTCGTGACTATAACATTAGATATATGAAACATCAATCATTTTAGATATGGTTTTGTTGAATTAAATATTGTTTATACATGAACACTCTCCAAATAATGTTGAAATCTTTAAAATTGGCTTATGGCACGGCTTCCTGAGACGTCCAGTGTATTTTTCTTTAGGTTGTTTCTTTGCTTTAAAATACCTTTAACTAGAACTGTCCAAAAGGGACAAATACCCCCTGCTGGGTTTTTCAGAGAAGGTACCAAATTACTAATGTTTTCTAGATGTGAGAGGTGTTCACAATTTGCTTAAACATTTAGAGTGAAAATTTAATTCATTATATTTTTTTTAATGAATGAAACTAAGGTGCAGCCTAATAAAACATCAATACTAATAATTACAGTGTTTTTTATTACATTGAAAAAAATAGTTTGCAACTATCTGTCATCTTTGTGAGACATGACACTCTGCAAATTAATTGTTGAAAAAAAATTATCATAATTAATTATACGAAATCAAATTGATCTTAATACCTTTATATCAAACTCATTTTAAAAATAAAAGGCTGGTTCCAGTAACTATGTATTTTGACAGACATAAATTACAATTAAGAGACTTAGACAACAGAGATCTTTATTTCTTTCTGCCCAATTCCCAGGAGATATAGATAAGACCTGCTTGATCAGAGATGCCCTAACAGCTTCCCACACTGAACTCATTAATTAATCTTTAACTGGATGCATGTCCACTCATTACTCCTAAGGGACAAATGGATTTACACTATCTGCTGTGTAATGTAAAAACTGTTTTTAATACTTTGTGATTTATTTTTTTTTAGTTCTAATGAGTTGTTTTAAGCTGTAGTTCACATTTTTGTACATATGTTCTAGATTCTATGTCTCAAACCTTAGACATGAACCCGAAATGACTAAGTCAATAAAAATGGGAAAAAAAACCCTGTAAAATGCAGAAAAATTATCAAATAATGTTGAAAATACCAGGTGCACATCTTCATATGGTAAATAATAAGTGTACAGATTTTCATACAAATCTATGCAATAGTCTCTGGGAACAGATCCGGACAAAACCACATAATAAAAATGAAAAAACACCTGTAAAATGCAAAAAAGATTATCCAATCATTATGAAAATATCAGGTGCACACCTTCATATAGCGAATAATAAATGTACAAATTTTCAGACAAATCCTTGCAACAGTTTCCAAGAAATGGTCCGGACAAAATCTCGTCTACAGACAGACGGACAGACAGACAGACGGACAGACAGACGGACAAGCTGATTCCAATATACCCCCCCTAAACTTCGTTTGCAGGGGGTATAAAAATTGTTGGGCCGACAACATTTGAAAACCTGCCTGGTGGAGGGCTCCTTATTTAGACTTTTACTCGGCACTTATGGCTATTGATCATTAAGCATCAGTAAGGGATCATTTCTTGCCAATATTTATACTACTACATTGGACCTTCGTTTTTTACTGTCTCATTCGACTGATCATGCAGTCTCCACGTCGGGACCTGTGACTTAGAATAAGCTTCAAAATTACGTCGTGACTCCAAAACGAAACACTAGAATTACTGCGTCACGCGAGGCCCTCGACATTTTGCCTGTGTAAGTCCTCGGATGTCCGATGGTTGAGTATTTGCGAATCTTGTCTTTTTGTAAATATTCGATTTCAATAAATTTACGCTGGCCTGAGATATTTCACAAGTTCAAATGAATAATATTTGTGAATTAATTTACCATACATGTTGCTTCATTTGTATGATATTCGGTTTAAAAATCGGTTTCTTTTGTTCTTTCTTATTTATGAAGATATAATTCAATTTTTTTTCATAATGTATTTTCAAAACTGCTGTCAGAAAAAAAAATAATTTACCTACCTACCTACCCAACTTGAGATTTTAGGGTCGGGTTAGGGGAAACAAAGATATTTTTAATAATTGCCTGATATCCTTGT